ACCCCTGGTGCCTGGCTTTTTCCAGGGCGAGATTTAAACTTCTAAGCGCCTGGATGTGCTGGGTTCACACTGCGGGCCCAGTGGACGCTTCCACGACCAAGAACTTGATAAAGGACTGAGAACCCCTCAGATTCTTGACCATGATAGACATTAGGCGGAAGAGAGCACTGGGACTGGGTCATCGTCTGCTCCCCTCCTGACTATGTCCGCACCCCGTGAAGTGGGGCACCAGCCACCCCGCCTTGTGACTTGACACTGGAGTGAGCACCGCGCAGAGTCTCCCCCTCTGCTATGGCCCTCTCCCCCTCTGCTCTGGCCCTCCCCTGCCTGGATGGCTTTGCCCCGGGCCTGTCCAGTCCCTGCAGCCAGCCAGGACAAAGTTGAGGGTCAGTCTCCCAGCGGCCTTGGCTGGGGCAGCCATGGTTAGATAATGGGGCAACCCCACAGCTGCAAGTGAGCCGAGGCTTCGCGTGCCCTTATCGGATCAATTTCTTGGGTTTCAACACCCTTTGTCCTGGGCCTCTCACCTGCTGCCCTCCTGCTCACAGTTGTTCTTGAAACGGACTTTATTCAGGAATCAAAGCCAAGATTTGGGGGTGCACAAATGTCCTCTCTTGGTGACAGACAGGACGCTGGACTGGGTGAGCTCTGCAAGGGATTCATTTGGGGTCACTTTCTAACCTCCTCTTGCCTGTGCCCCAGGACCACAGACCTCACCCCCACCTGTGACCTTCCTCCACTGGCTCCCCAACAAATCCCCCAACCTGCTCTGACCTCAGTCTACAAAGTGGAGGTATTTACCCGCAAGCCCCAGGAAGCTTCTAGGGAGGAGAGCGGTTCTGGGGTACATCCAGCCAAGCGCTCCCCCATCTGCCACCACCCTCCTCCTGACACCCTCTCCCATCCTCCTGCCTCCACACTCAGTCTCCAGCAGAAACCAGGCAGTGCCTCAGTCTCCCTCGGTGTCCCCCAACCTCCACCTGTAGAAAACACAGCCCCATGCGGGAGTTCTGGGGGAAGGACCCAGCTCATCTTTGGGATGGGACACGGACAGGAACTGAGGCTGTGAAACATGAAGCCTCGATCAATGAAAACCGAGGCTGGAAACGCTGGCAGCCTCCAGAGCTGGGTGCTTGCTGAGGGCTGGACGAGCCAGCAGCAGGTCCCTGACGATTATTCTGCTGGGGCTCAGGGGGTAATGCCTGCGGGGTTTGGCACATCTGTTCAGAGGACTAAGTCCATGCTTTTCAACAGCCGGTTCCGACCACTGCTGGTCACAGAGGTAAGAAGTTTGCAGTCCCGGGACCTGTGGACAGCTCGTGCGAACACGGTGTCACCAGAGAACTCTCTGTAGCCACAGAGGAAAAGAGAACCGCGCAGTTCCTGGCAACACGGATGCAATCAGAGGTCATTTTGCTGACCGAAATAACACATTGGTCATGATGCTGAGCGAAATAAGACAGTGGCAGGACAGCTCCGGAATGATCTCACTCTTGTGCTGTCTAGATAAACAAATCCAGGGTGCGAGCAATGTGGACCAATAAATCTCATACAGGACTACAGGCCTGAGAGTATCAGGGTTTTATTATGGGGGGAGGGGTGCGGGGGGACAATATGTTGACAAGAAGTGACAGGGAAGCCCATGGATAGTGCTAAGGGAGGTGACCGTGAGCACCAAATGGGTTTGGTACCCACTGTCAATCAACAAAGAATTGGGGGAGGAAGCCTGGGCCGGAGGTGACAGAGGAACAGGGTGGCGGTCATGGGCAGGTGGGGTATTGAGTCTGTACGCGAGCTCTATACACTTAAACACTATTTGTAAACCTATTACCTAAACTACAACATAAAGAGGCTTAAAAAAATAGTGTGATATCTCATGGAATTCCCACTTTTTAAAGACTATCTTAAGAAACTGATTATTTGGATCTAATGATGGTTCCAGCCACAAAACTAAAAAGTGAATCAGATGCCCGAGGAATCACTGGATGTTGGACATTAACCCTAAGGTTTTACTTGACTGATTTTTCACAATTTCACTGATGAGTGAATTTCCCCTTTCCTTCCCCCCAGAGAAACGTACAGTGCTCTTAACAAGCACCCCTAATCCCCTGAGTTTATCTTTAACCTTTTCTTTGTGTTTTACAAATCCCCAAGTCAGGCTTGGTTACTTATGTGACTCTGGACTTTGAATTTGAAATGAATTACTTGCTTTTCTATTTTCCCTGTAACTTTTCCTTTTTCACTATAAAGCAATGTTCTTTGCTTAAACACAGAAAGAACATAATGCTATGCTCCTAATATTTGGGAGTCTATTGACTCAAATATATCTACTCCTGGGCATCCATCATAATTACTTGACTCAGGCTTTGGTTGCCATAGTTCCTAACACCCCAAAACGGGGATCTCAACTGTGGGACCTGGATGTAGCCAGGGCGAGCGGAATAGCTACTCCAGCATCAACATGGACAATCTAGAAAGCATAAAAGCACAGTCTTGATGCAAGCTGTTATAACCAAAGAGACAGGACCCCTGTGGGGAAGGAAGAGCTGAACTGGCGGCCTGAGGAGCTAGTCTGGGATTTATGGTAGAAGCCCAGCAGCTTTGCCCTCAGAGCCCAGAGAACTAAGTTTTGAAATCGATATCTCTTAACTGTGTTTATACAAATAACTTCAAGTATTAATAAGAAGTAAACTTAATTAATATTTACTAGTAACTAGGGAAAGAGAAAAGCAATATAATGCTTATCACCCCTGGGCGAATCTCTCATAGCCCCTGCGAGACAGAGCGTCTCCTTGAGTTAATCCCCCCAAGAGAATCGTCTCTGTTGAAACACTTTACCACGTAAATGATCGATCACACCTATGTGCAGTCCTATACCTTGAGCCCCCTCAGATGTGCTGGAAGTGTGCTAGCAACTCTGCATTAAATGGGCCATTTTGACCATCAGTCTGTGGTCCCCCGTCTCTTTGTTCTTCTGCTAGGGAGGTCAGGGAGGCAGCTCTCAGTCACCAAACACACACACACACACACACACACACACACACACTCACAACTGGACACAGGTACTGGGCAGTGAGGGAGAGCAGGGCACACACTGGATGTCGGTCTCCTCTGTCATTCTGGCTGCTTCCCCAGCTTCTGAGTGGGTGATGGGAGGCCGGAAGGTTCTGGAAGGGAGCCAGTCACCTCCGGTCGGGGCCCAGCCCCCACATACACCCTCAGTGGCCTCTCGCTGCTCTTCAGACTCCCCAGGAGCCTTGGGGCTGATGCAAGCAGGACTGGATGTTCTCTCAGTGGCGAGAATGAGGGAGAAAAGGAAACCCAGCCAGTGCTTTTCACGTTTAATTAAAATGTATTTCTGGGCCCAGAGAGATAGTACAGTGGGTAGGGCAAGTTCAATGCTCAGCACCCCATACACAGCCCCCAGAGCACTGCCAGGAGTGATCCCCGAGTGCAGAGCCAGGAGTAAGCCCTGAGCACCACTGGGTGTGGCCCAAAATCAAAAACGAAGAAAAGGGTCTCTGCAGACAGGGCACAAAGAGCTGGAGCGGTTGCTCAAGGCCCCAGTGGACCTTTCTGCCTCCCTCGGGGACTTCCGAGATGAGTCTCAGCTCCTGGGGCCTGGCGTTCGCCATGGCCTAATCTTGAACTTGTATGATCAGAAATTCCACCCAGTTCTCTCCAGAGTCTGTGTTTTCCTGTTGAATTGCCCGTGAGCATAAGATCATGTGTGCACATGGAGACAATAACTGCCACAGCCCAAGGGATGCCCCCAAACTCTGGGTCTGTTGGCCCTGCCCCCACCGGTTCAGCTGATGGCCCAGGGGCGAGCCTTGATGAGTCCTCCCCATAGGGACAGCCCCGCCCCTGGCCAAGGGACAGCAGAGCCAGTGGGGTCCCCACGGGCACTGCTGACAGCTGCAGAGGGAGGACGCATCTCCGCCTGTCAGCCCACACGCTACTGACCGTTGGCTCTCGGAAAGAAAAGAAGAAAGGAAGAAAGTTCAATTTATTTTCCATCATGCAGATCCATCCACAGGGGACGGAAGGATTCCGGGGTTTGTCAGGGAGAACTCTGCCCGCTTCCCTCGCATCTGTCTGCCCTCTGACCACACTCAGAAACTTCTAGAACAAAAAGCCAACAGCATGAAACGCTCTGGCGGCATTTACCCCTGACCTCTATGTGTGGGGACTGTTTCATCCCTGCCCTGCACCTGGTGCAGGGGAAGGGCGCCATCAGGTTGAGAGGCAAGAATGTCAGATTAGCATGTTTCAGAAAACAGAGTTAAGAAAACCTGGAGGGAAGCAAAACAAGCAGCCCCAGCGGGTCGCCCGAGCACTGTCTCCTGCTGAGGACTGCGAGGAGGCTCACCCCCGCCACACACACACACACACACACACACACACACACACGCACGCACACACCCCACCGCAGTAGAATTCGCATGTTGGTCACAGGCGAGAGCTCTGAGCTGAGCCCTGTGATTCACCTGACCGTGGGCAGGCAGACTCAGGTGGGCAAACAGGCCAGGTGTTCTCCCGAGCACCTCGGAGAAAGGGTCGGCTGTGTGGGTGAGATGCCAGTCTCCCGGCTTCCTGGACCCGGGGCTTATACAGCGAGATTAACAGATCTGCGATACGGGCCAGCACTCGGATTTCTCTGCGCTCACAGAGGAAGGATTGTCTGAGGCACCAGTGTGAGGCAGGGACACACAACCAACTCCTGGGGTAGGGGACGTTCCGGCAAACACAACATCTCTCCTCCCGGGGCACTTCAGAAGAGCAGCGAGCACCTCGGCCCGTCGGAGGGCTGGAGGGGGGGTTGGGCGGGGAGCCTGGCCCCGGAGCCATCTGGACCCGACGCAGACGCTGGCTTTCTAGAGGAGACTGGCCCTCACCCTTTGACTTTTGATCGAGCTCTGTGCTGAGCTGGCAGGGCTGCTCACCCCACTCACAGGCTCCCCCCGGCAGTGCTCCCAGGACCGCTCCCTGCAGGAACCATGCCCACCGTGGATGACCTGCTGGAGCACATCGGGGAATTCCACCGGTTCCAGCAACAGACGTTTGTCCTCCTGGCTCTGTTCTCGGCCACCTTCGCCCCCATCTACGTGGGCGTCGTCTTCCTGGGCTTCACCCCCGACCACCACTGCCGGAGTCCAGGGGCAGTCGAGCTGAGCGCCCGGTGCGGATGGAGCCTGGCCGAGGAGCTCAACTTCACCGTGCCGGGCCTGGGGCCCGCAGGGGATCCCTACCCCCGCCAGTGCCTCAGTTTCCTCGTGGACTGGAACCGCAGCAGCCTGGGCTGCGTGGACCCGCTGGCCGGCCTGGCCCCCAACAGGAGTCAGCTGCCGCTGGGGCCCTGTGCACACGGCTGGGAGTATGACACGCCCGGCTCGTCCATCGTCACCGAGGTGAGTGCGGGCAGGAGGCAGCCAGAGAGACCGACACAGAGGCAGGAGTGCCGCCGGGAGCAGGGGAGGCCCGGGCACGCTCTCTGCCCCCAGCAGGTCTTATTAAAACCTTCACGCCCAGCACAAACAGGCCGCCTGGCCCCTGCCGGAGTCTGCGGGGGCTGGTGAAAGCTGCACTGGACGCTGAGTACAGGGATCTAGTTGGTGCAAGTTGCCATGAGGGCAGCCAGCAAGAGCTCGGGAGAAATCCTGGAATAACGCTGGGAAGGGATATCTTGTGGCCTCCTCTTGTCCCGGAAGCCCAACCTCCCACCCACCCAGAGGCATCCCCCTGCACCCACAGCTCCCCTGAGCCTCGCCTCCTGTGAGAGCAGCATGTGTGTCTTCAGAGCTAGGATTTTTCTCTTTCATTTGTTTGGAGGGTTCTTAGAAAGGTGTCTGGGTTGACATGTCCTCCTGGGAACTGTCGGTTAGATTCTTTGGTTTGGAGGGTTTTATTTATGCTTTATTATCCACTGCCCCTCTCGGAGAGCCCGGCAAGCTGCTGAGAGTATCTCGCCCACACAGCAAAGTCTGGCAAGCTCCCCATGACATATTCAATATGCCAAACACAGTAACAACAACTCTCAAATGGAGACGTTACTGGGTCCGCTCAAGCCAATCGATGAACAAAGGGAGGACAGTGACAGTGTTATTGTTATTATTATTATTATTATTATTATTATTTTAAGCACCATGACTTACAATATTGATAACGGCAGGGTTTCAAATGCCACAGCCTCCACCATGGTCCTATACCCCCACCCCCTACGCTGATAAGCATTCTATTAAGACTAGTTCTCTGTTTCTGCTGCTTTTGAATACGTGGCTCTTGAATATTGTTGTTTCTTTATAGCCCACATATAAGGGAGGGTGTTCTGTGTCTGCTCCTCTTCTTCTAACTTCACTCAGCCTAATTCGCTTCAGTCACATCCTCGTAGCGGCAACTGGATGATTTGATCTGAGAGCCAAGCAGTATTCCAGTTTCCCAACTGTTCCTGAACACTTGTTTTATTGGGTTTTTGTTTGTTTGTTTGTTTGGTTGGTTGGTTTTTTTTTTTTGGCTTTTCGGGTCACTCCTGGTGATGCACAGGGGTTACTCCTGGCTCTGCACTCAGGGGTTACCCCTGGCGGTGCTCTGGGAACCATATGGGATGCTGGGAATCGAATCCGAATTGGACGCATGCAAGGAAAACACCCTACCTGCTGTGCTATTGCTCCAGCCCCCAGACACTTGTTTTTTTTTTTACTTTTGCATAATTTTTTAAAATTTTTATTAGTGAAACACCATGAGGTAGTTGTAGACTTACAAATTTTTGTGCTTGGGTTTCAGTTATACAATGATCGAGTACCCATCCCTCCACCAGTGCCCATGGCTTGGAGGCCAGCCGTACACGCTAGGGAAAAAGACTGCTCAGACAGAGAAGGGAGCACCAAATAAAGGATTTTGGGAGGATTCTCCCAGGATGGGAGATGCATGCTGAACGTAGACTATAGACTGAACATGATTGCCACTCAATGCCTCTTTTGCAAACCGCAGCACCCAAAAGGTGAGAGAAGGCAAAACTGACACTTGTTTTTTAAAGACACAAGCACAGTGCCTCATCTCGAGCCCTGGAGAGAAAACGAGCTGGAGCGTTTCTTTCACTGGAAGTGAAGCCAAAGGGGAGGGTGGTCTCCGGGGCCACTCTTGGTGGAGCTCAGGCACCAACGCAGTCCTGGGTCCTGCACATGCATGGCATGAGCCCCTGACCTCAGAGCTATCTCCCCAGCTCCAAGGAGCCCTTTTCAAGCTCAAAAGGGTTCACCAAGTTCTCTGAAGTTGGGGCCGGGGCCGTAGGTCTGGACCCATGCCCTTTCCAGAGGCTTCCTCGGGGTCTCCCATCAGCTAAGAGACAAAGGGAAGACAGGGTTTTGGAGCAGAAAGAAAGTGTGTGAGGTCCCAGCGAATGGAAGCATTTCAGGGACTTGGTGCTCGCGACCCCTCAGAAGCCCCACCCCGTGCCACTTATTCTGGGTGAGAGGCTGACCTCGGGCCCATTCACACACCCACTGACCTCTGCATGGCAGCAGCAGAAAGGGGAGATGACCAGGCACTCTGGTGAGCCCCGAGTAGTCCAGGGGTGCTAATTTCCAAGAGGGCAGGCTTCCCCCCCACACGGGGCAGCAGTTCACGTGGGAAGGGAGGAAGCTTTGTCCCCCCAGCCGCTGTCCACCCTGTCCTCGCCCACAGCACAAACACAGGCCAGGGTGCTTCAGCCGTGGAGTGAAAATTAGTGTAAGGAGCAGCAGGTGTGCGGGCCTCCGGTCCCGTCCATTGGTGGTGAGGAATATTTGGCCAGCTGGGTCTAACTGGATCTCCCTCTGTTCTCTCCCGGGCTACCCTTTGGCCCGCTGCAGTTCAACCTCGTGTGCACCAACGCCTGGATGCTGGACTTGTTTCAGTCAGTTGTGAACGTGGGGTTTTTTATCGGTTCCGTGGCCGTTGGCTACATAGCAGACAGGTAAGTGGACAGAAAGAGCCCCCTACTTGGAAAGTCCCCAGACTCCAGGCCCCGCCCCAAAGCCTGTTTACAGCCTCAAAGCACACAGACCCCCGCGATCCCCTGCTCCCTTTGTGAGGCCCCATGATAACTTGCGTTTCTGCCGCTGCTTTGAGATTCAGGATGAGATTGTTTACTTAAATCCTCTGGGGCCGCGGCAGGGATACTTCCGCACAGGCAGTGGGTTTGGTTTCGGGAGGGGTTGTTCGGAAATACGGGGTCAGCAGAGGCAGCCACGGGTCAGACCCCCCTTATAATTCTTACTTTGCTCTTTAGCTTCATCACACACACACACACACACACACACACACACACACATACACACACCGGTCTGAGCCATCCTGCACCCCCCTTCAACTGCCCTCATGCCCCTACTGACCTCCTCCTCCATATCAGGGGACCGTGGGATCCCCAGATTGGATGCCACGTGACCTGTGTGAAACCCTGGATGCAACTTGGCAGAAGGGCAAATACACCAGAGGCTCCCAAACTTGGTTGGTAAGAGGCTTACCAACCCCTTTTCAAAAAGGAAAAATCTTTCAGTGGGCCCTGCCCCAGAAACCTGCCCTCTTTAGGCAAACAGACAGAAGGCGACGACCCCCCATGGGCACCCAAGGCCACAAGCACCCTCTGGGGTGGTCTTTCTTGTCCATTTGGAAAAGACTGAATGGATGGGGGAACCCCCGGCTCTGCACACACAGCCGTTCCCTGCAGAGACAAGGAAAGGCTCCTTCCTGGTACGCTGGGCCGATGCTCCAGCAGCCAGAGCGAGCTGGTCTGCAGCTCCCACTGCGACTGCCTCTCAGTGGCATTGGCTGCTCCCGTGCCTGGTCCTCACCCACCTTCCTAGAGCTGCAGCGGCTTCCGGTTTCCTGCAAGACCCCGATTTCCGGCTTTCTCTGCTCTGTTCGCAGCCACCTTGACGGTCTTTCACATTCTCAGGAGGGACAGGGATAGAGCATGACAAGGATGTCCCAGTACTTGGCCATCAGCGCTAATGCCAACCATTTATTTGTTTATTTTACTTTAGCAGTCATTTTTATTTTTTTCTAAAAATGAAACTTTTTAGTTGTTTTGTATTTTTTTTATTGAATCACTATGAGATAGACCCTTACAAAGCTGTTCAGGATTAAATTTCAGTCACACAGTGTTCCAACACCCATCCCTCCACCAGTGTACATTTCCCAGCACCAGTGTCCCCAGGTTCCTTCCCTTCACCCCCCACCCCCATCCCCTGCCTACCTCTATGGCAGGTGCTTTTCTTCTCTCTCTCTCTCTCTCTCTCTCTCTCTCTCTCTCTCTCTCTCTCTCTCTCTCTCTCTCCCCCCTTCCATCTGTGTCTCTCTCTCCCTCTCCCTTTCTCTCTCCCCCCTCCCCCTTTTGTACTAATGCCAACCATTTAGAAAGTACTTTCAGCATTCTGTGAGCTCAGCATTTGGTCTATTTGGGTTTGAGAATCATTCCTGGGGGTGTTCAGGGGTCACTCCAGGCAGTGCTTAGGGGACCATATGGAGTACAGGGAGTCAACCCACAGTCAGTCGTGTGCAAAGCAAGTTCCTTAATCCCTGTAACCTCTCCCTGGCCCCAAACTCAGCATTCTGGTTGGTGTGATTTTCTATAGCCACTGGCCACCTCATAGGTTCATGCTTCTAACATGCATCTCTGGCGAGGCAGCTCGTATGTAAGATCCTGAGCACTTTTTGACCTCCCCAGCTGTACCTGTGGCAGGTACCACTTTCAGGCCACCCCAAGGCTGCATCCCAGCTCGGCCTTTGGCTAAGAGCATGAGCAAACCCAACTCTGTGAGCATAATATTAAATGTGAATGGAACACTCTCTCCCATGCTGTTCAGTTGTCTGGCTGGGTTAAAGCTTGCTAAAGTGTTAATGGTTAATAGCCGGGTTTACCCATCCTGCCCTGCTCTGTCCTCGAGCATTTAGACTTTCCCTGCTGGGTCCACTGAGGCACTGGGGGAGGAGCACAGGCAGGCGCTGGGCCACCCACCCCGCACTTCTGAATCTGCTCAGTCCATCAGAGGCCTCCCTGGGTCCAGGGCTTTTATATTTATTGCCACGGCCATGAGGGAACCTGGGTGGAATGAACCCCTTTCTTAGGCCAAGCGAGACCCTCATGGAGACTGGTTCAGAACCCAGCCTCCTGGCACAGGGATCCCTGCACCCCCTCCCATCATCACCCGCTCCCCATCTCTGCCTTCACCGAAAGGACCAGGTACAAACCCTGAGCCTGCTGGAGCGGAGGCGAGCACTCGGCGTGCTGAGCTTCAGGGTAGAGGGATGAGTTAATTATTTCCCACCCACTCAAAGAGCAGGAGAGGGCTCAGAACTCTGTCCTGGCCCTGCATTCCTGACAGCTCAGCCTGGCAATTGCCCACCTTCCAGATGACCTCAGTGTGTTACTCCTGCTGCTCACCCCGAGTGTTGAAATCCCAGCGGCAGCCCAAGTTCTTTGCTCTTCCCTGACAACTGTGCGCAGACCTCTACTGCTTTTCCTTCCACTCTGTAAGGTTCGGGCTTAACGGGCCTCCTCCAGCCCTGCTTGTGTGATCGGAAAGCCTGTGCCAGGAAACTGCCACCTCACGTTCCTGTCCCGGGCAGTCTCTCTGCTGCATGCTTCATGCCCATTCCTGAGCCATTTTCCAAGTTGGCACAAAGGGACAGGCATCCGGATACCCATTCTGTGGTACAAGGGAGCTCATCAAGGGCACGTGCCAGTGGTTCACACTTGGAAATGTGCCATTGGATAGACTGCACCAATAGAAATGGGTTTTATTGCCAAAATTTCCTCTGACACTAGTTTGACACCATTCAACCAAGTGGGGCACTATTCGTATACCTGTCATTAGTAATGGCGAGAAACACAAATTGCAATGCCAAAATTAAGCCAACGCTCAACAAAATCTCTTTTGAAGAGTTTTTAAGCAAGGACCACGGGATGCTGAGGAAACTCTTAGAAAGCAACCAGGAGGAAGTTGTGAGAAAGAACATCCTCCTAGAGCAGAATGATGAGTCTCGGACCCGCTCTGCTCCCCTGAGGGCGAGCGTTTTGGCGGAAGGGAGAAGCAGGGAGCGGCAGTTTGAGAAGCAGCCTTTTCTAGTTTATTCATCATCCACAACCCCCTAAAGGACAGGCCTGAGGCACACCTGAGCCTCATGTCAACTCACACCGAGTCCAGACAGGAGCTGTTTAGTGCCGTGTTGGGGAGTGAAGAACCACTGCCCCTTTCTCACCGATGTCCCAGAGTAGCAACTCCCAGAGGACCCACTTCAGAGAATCAGAGTGAGGTGGGGGACGACTGGAAAACAAGTACTTTCCTTTACATGCTATTCCCCGATGAATAGCCCAAAGCACAGAGTGGCCAAACCCAGCAAGAAAAACCTGCCAGAGGCTCATTTTGTACAATGAACCCCCTGCCTTTAATATTCTCTTCCTAATATTAACATTCTCTGGGTGGTTTTTTCTATTTTAAGATGGACATATTTTTTATTGAGTCACTGTGAGATAGTTATAAAGTTTTCATGATTGAGTTTTAGTCACACAATGATCGAACACCTTCCCTCCACCAGTGTACATTTCCCACCACCAATAATGCCCCCAATATCCCTCCCCCCTCATCCCAGCCCTCTCCCTGCTTCTATGGCAGACAATTTCCTCTTATTCTCTCTCTACTTTGGAACATTATGGTTTTGTAATACGGTACTGAGAGGCCATCATGTTTGGTCCTTTATCAACTTTCGGCACACATCTCCCATCCCTAACGATCCCTCAAACCATCATTGACTTAGTGATCCCTTCTCTATCCCAGCTGCCTTCTCCCTCAGCTCATGAGGCAGGCTTCCAACTATGGAGCAATCTTTCTGGTCCTTGTCTCTACTGTCGTTGAGTGTTAGTCTTATATTATATTATATTATATTATATTATATTCCACAAATGAGTGCATTCATTCTGTCTGTCCCTCTCTTTATGACTCATTTCACTTAGCATGATACTCTCCATGACCATCCACTTACAAGCAAATTTCATGGCTTCATTTTTCCTAACAGCTGCATAGTATTCCATTGTGTAGATGTACCATAGTTTCTTTAACCAGTCGTCTGTTCTCAGGCACTCCGGTATTAGTCACTAATATTAAGCTGTCAGTGCAGCTATATTTTTATTTATAGCTGGGATTAACACAATCTTGGGAAAGCCTAGTCAGCTCTCGTGAGCCAGCAAACCTCACTAGATTTCCCGGTGGAACTCGAGGGGAGCAGGACCAGCCCCTTACCGACCCCACCTCTTAGGACCATCCAGACAGGAGCTGCCTGGCTGCATCTGGCATTGCTGGATGTTCTACCCCTTTCAGAGCAAATCAGTCTCTGGAGATCTCATTCTCCTTCGTTGTGAGAGGAGACTGGGACTCTGGGAAATGAAAGCAGAGCTTCTTGGATATTCCTCGCCCAGCTGAGGGCACCTTCCCACAGCGCTCAAGGCTGCACTTTGGTTTTAGGGTAGGGACAGCTGCCCACAAGACTCCAAACCAAGACTCAGCCCTCCCTTCTCCTGAGGGCACCCCAGAGTTTTCAGCCGAGGGGACCAGTATGTCCATGAATTTCAGGTGCTTGGCTTTCGTCTCCTCAGGGATTAATCTGTGGATCTGAAAAAAACTCAGAGATCGCCAAACTCCCCACATTTTAAAACCAGGCTCCCCACTTCCCTCTGTGCTGCTCTGGGACTATCTTCAAGTCACCACGTCTATGAAACTTCAATCTTCAAACAACTTGTGGACCAACCACCAGCTGGTGGCCCTGCCAGCCGGCCACAGGGAAGGGTATACAGCACAGCAACAAAGACCATTTCCATGGAGAAGACAAATGCCACCCTCACTAAAGGCAGCATCAAAAATGGGGAGATGCTGGATGCTGAATTTGGGTCTTTTAAAGTAACACAGCCCTGGGGTGGGCAGCTGGTGGAGTTGCTTATTGTCAAGGCCCAGGTCCTGGGGATCTGGGGGGCTGGAAGTCATTCCTCCATGAGACCCCCACCCCCAACCAGCACGGGGCAAGCAAGTGCTGCAGCCGGGGGTGGGGCTTATTGTGCTAAGTAATCACCCCCCACACAGACACAGACACAACATACAGATGCCAGCAACTGCAGGGGACCCTTTCTGGAGCCACCTGCTTGAAGGGGCTGCTGCACTCCGTGTGATTCCTAGCTCCTGCTCTGGACCTCGGCTTATTTTTCCACACAGCCATGCATAACCTAGTCTTGTTCCATCTCCACTCGGCTCTGCAGGTTTGGCCGCCAGCTCTGCCTCTTGACGACCATCCTCATCAACGCGGTTGCGGGGCTGCTCATGGCCGTCGCCCCGACCTACACGTGGATGCTGATCTTCCGCCTGATCCAGGGACTGGTCAGCAAAGCGAGCTGGCTCATAGGCTACATCCTGAGTAAGAACCTGGGGCCCCACGGCGAGGACGGGCATGAGGCCAAATGCAGTCCAGCAGGCGTGGGCCGGGAAGTGGGAGATGGGCTCAGCTTGACTACAGCGAGGAGAGATGTTTGTTTTCTGTGTCCAGAGAAGTTTGGACATCATTTCCGTCCACTTGAGCTATTGGCTTCCGGCCTCATTCGTGAGCCCAGGTCCTCAGAAGACAGACGAGTCTGCTTGTGGAGCACTGGCCTGGGGGGGTGCCTGGTGTGACTTTGCACTCGCTGACATTGCAGAAGTATTTGTCGCTGCATTTCTATCAATTTATAGAGTGACCGTCTTTAACACGCTACGAAGCCTTTAAAGCCTGACTGCCTTCCCTCAGGCCAGAGAGCTAGTCCAGGGGGTGAGGAAGGCATTTTTCTCTTACATGAAGCCAACGTGAGCTTGATTCTCGACCTCATGTGGTGACCTCCACATGATCTCCTGAGAACTGCCAGGGGTGACCCGGGAGCATTGTCGGGTGGGGTTCAAAACCTCCCACAGAAAATGTTATGGTTCTGGGAGTAAGTGGGGTTTCTCCCTGCTGAGCATGGATGTAAGGTGAGGGCTCCCTGAGTGCAGACAGGTGGCATCCCCTCAGACCTCTGCCACAGGCAGTCAGGCACAGGGTAGAGTATGCCACCATGAACTCGAGGAGGGGAGAAACCAGGTCTTGGGGAGCAAGGAGCCCTGACTTAGCATGCTTTCTGATTTCTGACCTGTATATACTCCCCCATGCCACATCTAAGACCCCATGGCTGGGGTCAGCGAGAGAGTACGGGGGTAAGAGCACTGGCCTTCATACAGCTGCCCCTGATCACATCCCTGGCACCACACACGACCAGCCAAGCACCTCCAGCACAAGACCCAGGCAGCCCCTAAGTACCAAGGGGTAAAGCCCTAGCCCTCCCCCAAACAATGCCAATGGGTGTAACGACCAGCTGGCAACGTTCCTGAGAGCTAAGAAATCAGTTCCTCCAAGCCAGACCCGGCTGACTCTCCCAGCCACTCACAAAACAAACAAACACTGTCCTCCCATTGTTCATCGATTTGCTTGAGCAGGTCCAGTAACGTCTCCATTTTGAGACTTATTGTTACTGTGTTTGGCATATTGAATACGTCACTGGTAGCTTGCAACGCTTTGCCATGCGGGCAAGATACTCTCAGTAGCTTGCCAGGCTCTCCAAGAGGAGTGGAGGAATCGAACCCGGCTTGGCCGGGCTGGCTGTGCGCAAGGCAAACACCCTACCACTGTGCTATCACTACGGCCCCCTATGCTATTGCTCCAGCTCCAGCGACTCACACGGGCGCAAAAGTCCCACTTGTCCTGGATCACCAGCTCCCTCAAAGCCATCCCACCTGATACTGACACATGCCATCGACCCTTCAGTGATCTCCTCATGGCACTAGATCAGAGCGGGCTTTGGGAATGAAATCCAAATTTGCCCCTGGCAGTCTATTTTTCAAAAATCACCTGGTTGGGCTGGAGCAATAGCACAGCGGGGGGGGGGGGGGGGGGCATTTGTCTTGCATGCGGCCAACCGGGTTCGATTCCCAGCATCTCATATGGTTCCCTGAGCACCGCCAGGAATAATTCCTGAATGCAAAGCCAGGAGTGACCCTTGTGCATTGCCGGGTATGACCCAAAAAGAAAAAAGAAAAAAAATTTAAAAATCACCTGGTTCCTGTGGGCTGACTTTTAACCTACTAATGTGGGACCACAAGATTTTTTTCTTCAGTAACACAACAGCCATAACAATAACAAAATATGCCTCGCGGAGCATTTAGAGCTTTTCGGAGAAAATTCTAGCATGGGGGTGACGTGTCTACATGGCATTCTGCTTTCCCCGGGGTGGACAGCTAGCTGGCTGTGCTGACCACTGGGCTCTCTGCAGTCACAGAGTTTGTCGGGCTGAGCTACCGCAGAACGGTGGGGATTTTTTACCAAGTTGCCTTTACTGTGGGGCTCCTGGTGCTGGCCGGGGTGGCCTACGCCATCCCCAACTGGAGGTGGCTGCAGTTCACCGTGACCCTGCCCACCCTCTGCTTCTTGCTCTACTACTGGTAAGTACACTTGGACCAGGACAGAGTCCGTTCCCTCTGACCCCCTGTGGCCCATTCGCCCACCCCCATTCCCCTGGGCCCCTCCCCCATTCCCCGCCTCTCTGCCCCTTTTGTCACACCCCCTCTCCTCTACACCTCCTGAGGTATATTCCCCCCCTCCACATACACACACACACAGCAGCCCATTTCTTCACTCACTTGTCCTAGGAAGCCCTGGCCCAGGTTTCGGGGGTATCTATCGTGAGTGACCCTCTGTGTCCCCACGTCCACTCTGAACCTACTCCACATGGCCCATGTCCTACTCAGGGTCACACAGGCCCCCGTCCTGCACCCGCATGCTCAGCCCGTGTCCAGTTCTGGCTTTCCTCAGCATCAACCCTGTTCCCCGGCCCTGGACAGACAGCTCAGCCTGCCCACAGTGTGCAGACACCCCTCTCCACACCCCCTTCCGCCGCTCCCCACCCCTTGCCCTGCCAGGAGCCCGGGGCTGCCCTGCTCCTTGGTCTGAGCTCCGCAGCCCGCTGCCCCCACACCACCTCCCCCTTAGGGAGAGCCTTGTCCGGGGCACACAGGACGCGGGTCGCCTTTGGGAGGAGAGAGGGCCACAAAGTCCCTGGCCCAGCTATGTTTCCTCTCTGGACCCAGCTGAGCTGAACCTCAGTGGGCACAGAAACTGGGTTATGATGGGGGTGGGGGGTGAACGCGCCCCCCAGCGGTGCTGCTGGTCATTGCCTTGCCCAGGTGCATCCCCGAATCCCCCAGATGGCTGATTTCCCAGAACAAAACTGACCAAGCCCTGAAGGTCATCAAGTACATGGCGAAGAAAAACAGGAAGCCCCTGCCCGCCTCTCTACAGGTGAGCCCCGAAAGCAGGGAGCTTGGGGGACACCAAAGTCTTTCCACTGAGGGTGCGGAAAGGCTTTCCGTAGACAAGAGGACTTCGCTGGTGTGCTTCCTGGGACCCGCCTGCACCAGGATAATGTAACACTAAGGAAACCCCAAATCCTTCAAGGCCGAGAGAGGAGGGATGGAGAGAGTCAGGTGGAGTGCACACACATGGCCAACCCAGTACTCACTGCCCCAAGTTCCTCTGGAACTGGCAAAAGGTCGCTCAGTGCCCGCCAGCTGTGTCTGACCTGGGCATCATGTCCCGGGACCTGTGCATCCACCCAGGACCACAGGGAAGAAGGTGTTCCCGCAGGAGAGAAACCCAGATCAGTAAGACAGCGCAGATCCAGGGGAGACATTCCCCGCACCTCGTTTTAGCAGTGAGGGCGCCCGTGTCCCTGTGGTCGGTCAGTGTTTGCCTCTGGGGGCCCCATGAGCCTGAACTTAACCCTTTCCCTTCTCAGGGGCTGGTAATGAGAAAAGTGCGCTTGTCAGACAAAGAAAGGCAAACGTTGGCGCACAGCAATCCCAAGTGGGGCCTAGGGCTCCCTGCAGGATGGGACATCTCCAGGATGTCCAAAAGGGTCTTGGGGCCCTCTCCTTGTCCCTTCCTCTCTGGTTTCCGGCTAGGGGGCTCATGCACTCCCACCAAGGGTTCTCAGGGTACATCATTTTGAGGGTATGTCTAGGCGATGAGTCATGGCCCCATCCAAGCTTAGGGTCACGTGAGGCTGGTCCCCTCTGCTCCTGTACATCTCCCCACATCCCTCTGCTGCTCTAGGAATCAGCAACAGAAGAAAGGGGGGCAGTTTTCAAGAGCCCCCAACTCCAGAGCCCAGGAGTGTGAATCCCAGCTCCAGCACCCCTGAGGCCCCTGAAGAGCAGAAGGCCTCAAGGTGCCAGCGCCTCTGCCCAGGACTCACAGTCGAGTGGCCAGACTTGGGAACACAGATTCGGGTGCAGCCATGCTGGGCTGGAGGAAAGTTCTGAGTGGGTCCCTGAGGAACAGCAGTTGTAGAGGCAGGGAACACAGCTCTCTAGACGCCCAGCATACCTCCCACCCCTGCGGCCCTACCTTCCCTTCTATGCCGTGGGGTAAACTCTGGAACCCTTGCTGGCTTGGGAAAATAAAATGGGGGGTATATGTGAAGGGTTGGGCTGGACAGTGAGCACGAGGCCACTATCTATCATGAGTGGACAGGGTTGTGGCATCCATCATTTCCAACAAGTTACCTTCCAAGCTCCCGTCCCAAAGCATTCATCAAAGCTTGCTTCATCTTGGCCTGCCTCAAAACCCAGAAGGACAGGGTTGCAGGGACCCAGCAGGAATCCAGGTCAGCATAATCGGTCCAAACTGCTCTCACAGCACTTCCCTTCTCAGAGTCTCAAGCCCGAAGAGGAGGACGTTGGTGAGAAGTTGAATCCCTCCTTCCTGGACTTGGTCAGAACCCCCCAGATCCGGAAGCATACTTTGATCTTGATGTACAACTGGTAAGGGCTTCTGCTGGACCCTTTGAGCCCGCCTCCTCACTAGAGCCCCTGGGGAGTGGCAGGAGGGGACACACTTGGTGACATCAGGTACCTGGCACTGTTGGTTGAACTTGAGGTTTGCACTTTCCATCATTTCTTTTCATGTACAGCAGGGGAATTTGTTCCAATCAACTCTCAATCATGAGCAGTTTCTATGAGCCAAAGCATAGACGCACAAAAACAATATCCAGTCTGGAAGTGACATAGTGCTCACAGGGTTCTCTAGCCGTGTGGGGTGTGCTGACTCCCGGGAAGATGGGGAGACTGACAAGGGCTGTGTGTTCATGCTAGACACCAGGTCACCTAAAGCGTGAGGGACCATGCAACCAGAAAGTTTAGGAAAACAATTTCCGTGCCCTGAGGTCATTGGGAAAGACTCTCTAGAAAGGTTGACTGATAACAGAGAGGGCTCCAAATGGACCCTTCTGAGTCATGGTTCTGAAAGTATTTACAGAAAGAAGATAATTGCTTTTCTGAATTTCCAACAAGTTAGCTTCCAGCTCTAGTCCCAAAGCATCCATCAGTGCTTGCTTCATCTTGGCCTGCCTGAGGATCTCCTGGGAGGTCCAAGACCAGACCACACACTTCAGGCCCCTCCAGAGACAACGAGGGAACTGAAAGGCCCAGGAAGCCCCTTGCTTTCCTCAATTCTTCAAGACATAGTGTATATATATATATATATATATATATATATATATATATACTACTTATTTACTTATATACAATATCTCAAACTAAGAGCCATTATGTAAATAAATCGTGATAAATGTTAACTTTACCTGATTGTATGAGGCTGGCAAGGGAAGACTTCCTTTTTTTACATTCTTTTGGGGTGAGGGGCTGGAGCGAGATAGCACAGTGGGTAAGGTGTTTGCCTTGCAAGCGGCCAACATGGCTGACCCGAGTTCGATTCCTCCACCCCTCTCGAAGAGCCCAGCAAGCTATTGAGAGTATCTTGCCCACACAGCAAAGCCTGGCAAGCTCCCCATGACGTATTCAATATGCCAAACACAGTAACAAGTCTCACGATGGAGATGTTACTGGGCCCGCTCGAGCAAATCGATGAATAACGGGAGGACCGTGACCGTGACTGGTGACTTTTGGGGTGAAATCCACTTGCTGAATAATTGTGCACGAGTAGAATGATGCTTCTCTCCACAATCTCTAACTGCAAGCTATGAGCTGTCTGCTTTGCCCCAACCTCACTTGGAGCACGCTCCCCATCCCAAGAGCCTCAGGACAGCCCACGCCAGCCCAACCAAGATTTACAATCACTGACAAGAGCTCATCGGGAATTAATTTAACAACCTTCACAATCCTGTGTAAATGGCAACGCCGACACTTGGCTTCACTCTTCTTCTCTCCTACTGTGAACGCATGTGACTCTCGCCCATTGACCTCATCCTTTCCATTACAGATGATAAAGGCCTTCAGTCAGCAAAGCTAGAAACAGTGTCAAAATGCAGTGTATACCATGGTAAAGATAAATACCCAGGAAGCGCATGTGCCCACTGGGGAGTTTGGAACCCATGTGGGGCTCCTGTTTTTCTTCATTCTTTTCGCATGAAGTAGTCAAACCTTCTGATTCCAACTGAACTAGAAAACCACAAATAGGAGCCGCAGATAGCCTGATACAGGGGGCTCAGTAAATGACTCTTGAAAAGGAGGCATCTTCCATTTCTATCTGGCCAAGGAAAGTTATCCTAATGCCCCCCTTATTCTGGGTCTGAGTTTGCAACCCATCACCCCAGTGAATTAGATGGTGCAGAAACACTGGCACACACAGAATAGCCATGCCAGTGACAGAGAGAAGTGACTTAAATTCTACTTTTGTTTCTCCAGAAGTTTCTCCCTTCTGGCGACTGGTCTTGGTGCTTGGCTTGACCTGGGCTCTCCTCTTTGCTCAGGTTCACAAGCTCTGTTCTCTACCAGGGCCTCATCATGCACATGGGCCTTGCAGGGAGCAACATCTACCTGGATTTCTTCTACTCGGCCTTGGTTGAATTCCCCTCCGCCTTCATCATCATCTTCACCATAGACCGCATCGGTCGCCGGTACCCATGGGCTGCATCAAACATCGTGGCAGGGGCAGCCTGTCTTGTCTCCGTGTTTATCCCTGATGGTAAGTTGCAGGCCAAGCGTACCTTTCTTCCAAGTCCTGAGAGGAAGGAATGTGAAGGCCCTTGGAGATGAGGCCATGAGATACAGTATCCAAATCTATTTGGAAAGAATAAACTTTGTGGGGCTGGAGAGATAGCACAGCAGGTAGGGCGTTTGCCTTGCACGCGGCCAACTCAAGTTTGATTCCCAGCATCCCATATGGTCCCCTGAGCACCACCAGGAGTAACTCCTGAGTCCAGAGCCAGGAGTAACCCCTGTGCATTGCCAAGTGTGACCCAAAAAGAAAAAAAAAGAATAAACTTTGCATCTGGGACTTTCCTGAGAAAATTCATGGGCCTCATCTTGCCTTTAAAAACAATCGCACTCAAAGATTTCCCAGTAGAACAGAAACATACAAAATAGCCCAAAGGGACAGAATCACACCAGTGGCAGCCTGACAGGGCAGTCTTACCCAAAGGATGGTGGCTCAACCCATGACAGACAATGGGATATAGTCTCAGCCAATGGCAGATTAACAGGATAGAGTCTCACTCGATGGCAGATGGAGTCTCAACCAACGGTAACCCAGACTAATGAAACAAGAGCAGCTCTGAGGACCTATGACACAGAAGCTCAAGCTGGCCTAGAGAACATGGGTTTTGGAGTTAATAAAACTTTTGTTTTATTGTTTTTTGGTTTTGGTGTACTTTTTCTTTTGGGGTCACACCTGGCAATGCACAGGGGTTACTCCTGGCCCTTCACTCAGGAATCACTCCTGGCGGTGCTCAGGGGACCATATGGGATGCTGGGAATTGAACCCAGGTGAGCGGCATGCAAGCCAAACGCCCTACCCACTGTGTTATTGCTCCAGCCCCTGGTGTTAACTTTTATTCCAGCATTTCCCCCAGATCTGAGTTAAGGCAACTGCCTTGGTCTCCCTGCATTATGCTGGAGGAAAATTTAGAAAACTTAAGTAGTTGCCATCAATGAACAAATTTCATTCCCTTCTTCCCTTTTAAAATGTTTCATCAATGAGGTAAGTAAACGCCTGTGTATCAGGCTACTCCTCACTCGTGGAGCTTTGTTGGTGCCCTTCTTCAGCAGCAGCTCTGGAGAAGAAGCCCCATCTTGCTCCTTCTTTGGGGGGACCTCTGGACACTGTTGGGGAGAGCTGGGGTACTCTTGCTACCATTCACAACTGAAATTTTAAGTTAAGAGGGTCTGAGAATTGCATCTAAAGTGCACACAGGGCGGAGAGCTAGTATAGCCGTTCCCGTGCTGGCTTTGCATGCTGTCGATCCCACTTCCATCTCCAGCAGTGCAGAGGGTCCCATGAGTCTAATCAGGAGGAACCTTCAAGCCCAGAGCTGGAAGTAGCCGCCAAGCAGAGCTAGTGCTCTGGAAACCGAAAATATAAAGTGAAAACAAACCAACACGGGGTATCTGGGTCAGATGTCCTGAGAACAGAAAAGTACCATTTTTTTTAAGTGTGAAATTTCTCCTTGCAACCCCTCAAAGAGAGTCATAGAGACCAAGAATTATGTGCAATTTATCGTGTGTGTGTGTGTGTGTGTGTGTGTGTGTCTTTGTGTTTCCCTCAGACCTGCAGTGGCTCAAAGTTTTGGTGGCATGCTTGGGCAGAATGGGGATCACCATGGCCTACGAGATGGTCTGTCTGGTCAACGCTGAGCTGTACCCCACATTCATCAGGTGCGTGAAGCTGCTTGGGGGTCTAGGATGTAGCCCAGAGAAAAAGCATTTGCCTGTATCCCTGGATTCTTGCCCTGGTGCTGCAGTAACAATCACAGTAATAATACACAAGGGAAGGTATTTGCTTATGGCCGGCAACAGCAATCCCAGATCAGAGCTCTGGACCTTCCCATCCTGCCCCAGTCCCAGACTATGCTGACCCACAGAAACTGGGATGAAGACAGAGCCGCCAGGGCACTGGCAGATGGGGACTGGGCCCACCCTAGCAGGAGTCTCAGTGATGGGTGTGAGACTGAGTCACATACCTACTGCCCCCACAAAAGTCAGAAAGAGATTTCATGAAGGAGAATGAGTCCTAATGCTGCACGGACAGACAGACCAGAGAGATACGGAACACTGAGACTCAGGCACAGCTTTTGGGTCCCTGCCGGACCAACAGTGTCTAGAGGTGTTCACTAGGGAATGGGGTGCTAAGGTTAAGCTCAGTTACTTCTCTGCCTTCAGGAACCTCGGCGTCCTCGTTTGCTCCTCCATGTGCGACATTGGGGGCATCCTCACGCCCTTCCTGGTCTACCGGCTCACTGATGTCTGGCAGGAGCTTCCGCTGGTGGTTTTTGGTAAGAAGCTCTCAGAGATGTCTCACGTAAAACCAATTTTCCTAGAGGTGTGTTTTTATTTGATCGTGTTTTTTTTTTAACTTTTACTTTTTCTGCATCCAAGTAGGCACCATGCCTTTGGAACAACTGCTAAGTCTGCCCAGTAATTAGTACAATGGCTATGGCAGTGCTAGCACTGTTGGCAACTGCTGATACTTGAGTATTAATGCTCTAGGACACTCGAGTATTAATGCTCTAGGACTTGCCCTTCCAAGGGTCTATGTCCAGGAAAAACAGACAGAAGTGTCTTTCTTCTCCCTGAAAAGGGCCTTTTGTCCCTCCCTGCATTGCCACCCATCCTCAGGCCCCTGGGCCAGAAAGAGGATCCTCCCTCCTCAAAGCTCAGAGGTGGAAAATGCCAACTCCTTGACTTCATGATGTCTAAGGAAAGCAGTTCTGGTTTTACAAAGGGAGCTTCTGAAGTCCAAGGAAACCAGGCCATGATGAAGCCTGTGTATCAATGACGAGGGTCTTGGTGGTGCCTGCCGCTCCAAGGGGCCTGGGTCTCAGCACAGCAGATGAGAACAGTCAAGAGGACCCCAAGCTAGGCCTCCCATCTGAGGTGTCAAGGACTCTGGAGCCATGGCAGGGAACACCCAGGCGGATCCTGAGCCCTGTCTGCCAGGCCGAGGTGGGAGTCCCCTCTCTCAGCACCCACCCCTCTCTCAGCCCCCGTGGCCTCATGCATGCTCTCTGCTCTCCCCTCCGCTCTGGGGATCCAACAGGAGAAAGTTTCCACTGCTGTCCATGTGCCAGCTAAGTCCCAGTCAGGGCGAGACTCGCCTGAAAACAGGCCTGAGGAATTCCTCCTCACTCCAGCTACGTGACAGTGAACTGGCCCGGGGACCATGGACACCAGTCCCCGGTTCTTGGATTTAGCCCCTGGGAACCTGTATGGACCCAATTTTAGCTTCTCCCATAGGTGGTCAGTGTGTGGTCCCAGGGTTGGGCAGTACTTTTGGGGGAGGAGCAGATACCCGCTGGGTCCCTGAGGACCATTTAGCAGAGCTAGGCCGCAGGCCACTGGAGCTAAGCCAGCAGGCCAGATACCGCTGGTGACCTTCCCTCAGGCCTTCCCCTTGGAGAGATGGAGAATTTTAGCTGCCGTCCCGCTGGAGAGGTCCACACACAGACAGCCCATCACTTCTTTCTCAACGCCAGTTCTTCCTTCTTCCCTTCCCAGACTTCAGCCTGAGTTTGGCAGTATGAGAATACCACATTTTAATCTCATCATCTTGCTTTTCTGCTCCGAGTACTAAGCTGGTTGTGGTCTTGAAATGGCCAAGGACACTGTTATCTGGACGTCTAGAAAAGACAAACAGGCCAGGGGCGTTATTCTTGAAAGAGCACTGAGACCATAGCTCAGAACTCTCCTGGGTGCTGAGTTCCTTCCCGGCCAATGTGAAATGCTCAGTAGACACTAATTGTCATCAAGAGCCATCCCATAATTCACCGGCTCTGGAGCTCTGGAGAGTCAAAGCCAACTGGGCACAGTTCTGATCCGCCCTAGGTACTAACCCTAGGTGCCACCAGGAGATTCTTGCTAAGTTTGAAGAGAATTTGCAAGACCATTTCAGGTGGATCCTTTCAGGCCCATAACAGCAGATCTGGGAGCATTCCCAGGGGGCATCAGCCCATCAGGAAATGGAAGAACTTCCGGGGGGGGGGGGGGGGGGGCTCCAAGACAAGTAAGAGAAGACAAGACAAGACAAGTGGGAGGTCGAGAGAGAGAAGCAGAGAGCACGGCCTCTGGCCTCAGCTAAAGGGCTCAACTGGAGTCCAGCGCACAATTTTTGACACCCCCCCCAACAAACTAGTAAGGAACACACACCCTGCTTCCTCTTTTCTGTTAAAGAAAAACATGAAAAGTTTCCTCACAATTCCAGAACTTTCAGAGGATTCTCAAAAAACGAAAACACTGTCATGTTTATATTACATGCCCCCTCGTATATGCAAAACAATTTAGAGACCAAGAAAAGAGGAGCTTGTCCAACATCTGAATCAGAGCTGAAAGGTCTGGCTATACTTATTAATTCCACTTTGCAGTAACGCGTGATTTGTTACTGGGACCGGCTAGTAATGATCCAACTTTCTGACTCATTTTCCTTACTAAGTACTGACAGGGCAGCCGTGCTCTTCCTGAGAGAGAGCTTTTGTTCCCAGAGCTATTTTCTAACTCCCAAGCATCTTACTATTGTGGCCATGGCCTCTAGCCTAGAATAACCTTGATTCAAAATGCACAGTGTTCCATTGCCCTATAAGGAATTGTAATCCAACCGAGTTTGAAATCGACATAATATTTATGATGGAAAATAGGGCAGAGATGGCAAAGGAATCTGTTAAGTATCGGAAAATACCAAAAAATAAAATCTTTTTACGAAAGGAGAGATGTTCTAATTATAGCGCCGCTTGTCTTGATTCTAAGTGATGGCTCTCTCCTTGCTTCCAGCGGTGGTCGGCCTAGTTGCTGGGGGGCTTGTGCTGCTGCTCCCAGAGACCAAAGGGAAGGCGTTGCCAGAGACCATCGAGGAAGCTGAAAACATGCAGAGGTAAGGAGCCGAGTCTCCTAACTGAACATTCCAGAACACCAAGAGGGAGGATTCGGCCACCAACTGGAAAGAAGCTGAGAGGCCGAGAGACAGTGTAGGAGATAAGTCACTTGCCTTGCATGGGATTCCTTTGTTGGCACCCCTGGTTCAATCCCAGGCACCACATATGTTGCCTTGAGTATGACCAAGGGTCACTCCTGCGCACAGAGCCAGGAATAGCCTCTGAGCACTGCTGTGTGTGGCTCAAACCTGCCCCACCCAACCCAACCCACCCCCAAAAAGAAAGAAAAATAAAGACACGGTTGAAATGTACCTCACACCATGAATAAAATCTATTCAAATATGCCCAAGATCTAAAACCACAAATAAAAGAAAGAAAAAAAGAAAAGAAACCGCAAAATTGTGGTAACACTGTAGGAAAATCATTTTTTACTTTCAGATTGGGGGAAAAATCTTTGTAAACCTGATGAGAAATTTGAGACTCATTTTTTAAACGATTGACAAGCTGGCCTTGATAAAAATAAAAAATTCCACCTTAAGGGGCCAAGGGGATAACTCAAAGGATTGGGGTGAACGCTTTGCATGCACAAAGTCCCAAGTTTAATACATGGAACCGTATGGACCCTCCCCCTAGCATTGCCAGGGTTAGGCAGTGGCTTCAGTCAGCTGGACCCAAGCAGCCCTCCCTCCAGGCCCACACTTCAGGCAATGCCAGGAGTGACCTCTGGGCTCCTGAGAACTACTGTAGAGCCCTCACTCTGACCCTCCCACACACACAAATTCTGCCTTGCAAAACTACCCAAAGCAAGACCTAACTCTCTCTTCGCATACTCACCTAATGCCCAGATAAACTGCAGGAGCAGATCTTCTAGAAGCTGATCCTATGTCTTGTTAGTATGTTGTATATGGACCCAGACAGCCTGAGTGGAATCATGGAGGGCATAAAAGTCTACCAGGTTGACTTGTCCATTAATCACCTGAAGGTTTCAATTTCTTGTCTGCAAGATGGAGATTTATATATAGTATACAAATACTTAAGTATGCTACCTGAGACAATGGAGAGAATGCTATAAACATTTTTTTAGAAAAAAAAAAAGAAAGAAAAGCTACCCAAAGCTAAATAATGATGTTGATGATGAGTTTAGAGAAAATAGTTATTACTCTTCAAAGGACTAGTTACTCCAATATATAAAAATCTAAAAGATCAACCACTCTTTAGAAAAGAGTTGTGAAGAACTTGAACAGATGAGCCAATGAAAAGAAATATGTTCAGTCCTCAGTCAATGAACAGTACAAAAAGCAGTGGGTAGTCTCTTGAGGCCCAGAAAGACTGTTCAGGGTAGAACCGTTCCCTGGCAGGCACAAAGCCATGACTTCAATCATGGCACAACACGGTCCCCCAGTGTGACCCCCTCTAGATGGAACCTGTGTATTACCCGGGTTCCGCCACTTGGACTGCAGAGTGACACGCTGCATTGAAGAGAGTGCAGAGAATCAGGAGTCATTTTCATGCCAGAGAGCACATAGTTGCCTTCTGACGGATCATGGGTGACAGGAACCAAATGACAACTATGCAACATTGCTTCACCCAGCACTTCCACACTGCCAGGAAGTCACACATGAAAAGTGATAAACTTCAGGATTATTCCATGAAAGCAATTTCTGTGTCACACAGAAAGTTGCAAACAGCCTAAATACTCTCCCTTGGGAAATAGTTACAGAAATTATGGATTACTCAGCAAGTTACTAGGCAGACTTAGAAAAGAATGAGAAGGCGTGATGTACTCTGATGAAGGATGTTCTCCCAACCTCAGACTTTTTGAACTTCCCTCTACCACAGCCCAGGGTCCCCTCCCCTCTCCCACCTGCTCAGCTCTGTAGCCCAGATCTCAGGTTTTGCTGCCTTTGGTCATTTGCTATTTTCTTACTATGTTTTTTCATAGCTCACATATCACAGAGATCTTTCTATATCCATCCCTCTCCTTCTGACTAACTTCACTTGGCATGAGACTTTCAGATCCACCCATGGAGCAGTAAATTGCATGATTCCATCTTTGCTTTTAGCTGAGTAGTATTCCATCATGCATATGAATCACAGTTTCTTTATCCAGTCAGCTGTTCTTGGACACTCCGCTTGTTTCTAGATTTGACTATCGTGAATAAGGCAGCAATGAACATAGGAATGCAGGTGCCTTTTTAGAATAGTGTCTTTGGGGCCTTGGATTGCATGCCAAGAAGTGGAATTACTGGGTCAGAGAGAAACTCAATTTTCAGGTTTTTGAGAAGTGTCCGAAAAGTTTTTCAGAGGTTGAACCAATCAACATTGCACCAGCAGAGGATAAGGGCTCCTTTTTGCACTGGTTGTTTTTATTCCTTTTTATGTGTGCCAGTCTTAGTAGAATGAGGGTATCTCGTTGTTGTTCTGGTTTTCATTTCCTTGATGATGAGTGATGCAGATCATTTTACCATATACCAACTGGTCATTGATAACGTTTCCTCTTTAAGGAATGTCTCCTTTCAGGAGATGCCTGTTCATCTCTTATCCCACTTTTTGATGGGGTTGCTTGTTTTTTGTTGTTAAGTTTTATAAGTTCCTTATATATATACATCTCGGGTTATTAATTCTTTATCAGATATTTAGTGGAAAATTTTCTCTCCCAGTCCATGGGGTGTGTTTTTTTTCTGGTCCTCATGTCTTTAGCAGTGCAGACATATCTTAATTTGATATAGTCCCACTTACTTTGCTTCTCTTTGCTTGGCCAATGGCATAGAATCAATCATTGACGATAACTCTAGCTTTAATGTCATAAAGTATCCTACCTATGTTTTCCTTGAAATAATTTATAGATTCAGGTATAATAAGGAAGTCTTTTGTCCATTTTTATTTGCACATGGTGTTAGACGGGGTCTGAATTCACTTTTTTGCATGTGACCAACCTGTTTGCCCAACACCATATGTTGATGAGGGTTTCCTTGCTCCACTTCACAGTTTTTGCTCCTTAAGACTAACCTTTATTTAATAGTGATATAATAAACAATAATATTTACAAACGATAATGCTAATAGTTTGTCTAAGTCTTTCACAACTTTCATTAAGCTGGACATTTGGGCAATAAAGAGCGCCATGCATATCTGTGCTCCTTTATTCCTTCCTATGAGACCAGTATTTCCTCCACATACATTTTTTATTTTATAAAGCAGTTCACAATATTTGATTACATTTAATATTCAAACACCAATCTCACCACCATTACACCTTCCTACCACTGCTGGAGCGATAGCACAGCAGGTAGAGAATTTGCCTTGCACGTGGCTGACCCAAGTTCGATTCTTTTGTCCTTCTCAGAGAGTCTGGCAAGCTACCGAGAGTATCCCACCCCCATGGCAGAGCCAGCAAGCTCCCCATGGTGTATTCAGTATGCCAAAAACAGTAACAACAAGTCTCACAATGGAGACGTTACTGGTGCCTGCTCGAGGAAATTGATGAACAACGGGAGGGCAGTGCTACAATGCTACCACCATATTTTGGATATTTCCATCTCGAACCCCAACCCCTGCCCGAAAGCAGAACCAAAATAATGTATTTTGTATTGTTAGTTATAAAAAAATACTGAAAATGCTACCAAAAAAGTTTCCTTAGAGGAGTGTGAAAATTGTTGTATTTCACCCAGTGGCCATTAAGCCCTTCTATAAGAGATCACTAACATGTTGTTAAAGGTTGAGCCTCGTGTGCACATATACATATATATATGTAAAAAAATATTTCCCTCTAAGATTGGTTGCCTCCTACTTTAAGCCCCATCATATGTGGTGTGGTACTCTTGGAGTATGAGTGGTATGAGGTATGAGTTGTCATGTGGTCCAGGAATAGGTTCACTCATGGGTGAGGCTCTGCCCAAGCATGTGAAGAGCGGCCATATGCATGGTGGTGATTGAGTTCTGGAGGTTTTTGGTTGACGGGACTGAGTCCCTTGGGGTGGGGAGGGTCCCTTGGGTCTCACCCGCCCCCTCCGGGGCACCCTGAATGAAACAGCCAGGCACGGGGTCCGTCGGCATGGTTATGGCAAATGTCATCTACATATATGCTTAATGGAAATATATTATAAAACATAGCATGTGTATATTTTATATACATAGATGTAAAAACTATATCTTACGTGCACGGGGAAGGGATGCGAAGATGATGATGTGTTGTTGGAGGGCTCTTGGGGCAGCTCTCCCTTGCCGCCCACGTTCGGTGCTCTCCAGTTGCTGTGTATGGACCAGATCAGGGTGGCTCCTCCTTTGTGCTTTGCTTCTGTGTGTGCTGCTGTGCTCTCTTCTGTCTGTCTCTCTATTTCTAACTCTGTCTCTGTAGTCTCTCCTCTGGTCTCTTCAATCTCTCTCTCTTTCTCTCTCTCTCTCTCTCTCTCTCTCTCTCTCTCTCTCTCTCTCTCTCTCTCTCTCTCTCTCTCTCTCTCTCGCCCTTCGCTCTGGATTCTGACTCTCACCCCCTGGATTCTGACTCTGCCCCCTCCACTCTTACAGTCTTACTTTAGATAGCAATCACATAGGGTGGTGACACAAAGGTGGGTTGAACATTAACAAATCAACAAAGAGGGGTAAGACCACTCCGCCAGGAGATTAACTCAAGGATAAAATCTCATCTAAAGAAATTACTCTGGGTTACTAGGAGATCCACTTAAGGGCAGGATCCCATTCAGAGTGTGTCGCTTTCTTCTTTCCTCAGCTAGTAATCCACTTAAATCATTGTAGTAAATCTACGTCTAATATTTCTAGCAATGTCATTCTGTATGAGCACAGTAAGAGACATATCGATTTAAAGTTTGGTTCTTCCTGAGGACGTCTTACCACAGTCGTCAGGCCAGGTTAGTCTTCCTAACCCCAGCAGGGTTCTAGTCTTATCGTTACTTTTGGATCATGACAGCATCTGTCTATGATCATGCTCTCAACTTATAGTTGAGTATTGTGGCGCTTTGGCCTGGTCCATTTCGATGTCAGGGTAGCTCACAGCTTGCGCTGGGTGCATTCAGTCCCTCGTCGGGACCCTACTTTTTGGGTGCTAGGAAGTAAGGGCAACTGAGTGGAGAGAGCAGATGCCCAAGAGTAAATATGATTGGAGTCAATCAACTCCCAGGTTACACAACATAATATTAACTGTCTTCCTGTGTCCATACAGAAAGGACATTGCTTTAAGGTAAACTAAGTTCCCTGCAGCAAGGCTGAAAGGACAAACCCATTGTTATCCTACACATAGACATTATACACATACTCTGTACACAAATGGCTCTTATACACACACACACACACACACACACACACACACAAACACTCACACACACTCTTTGATTGTTGCGGCTACTATGATTGCTACATTAGCTGCTGTTGCTCTTCCTGCCGTTTGGTTGCTGTAAGAGCTTTTGTTCCAACCTCTGCTCTTGCTCTTCTCCCTCCCCCTCCTGCCGCTGCTCTGCTCAGTGGCCCCGAGACCCTGAGAACAGAAAGACTTGCTTGGTCCCTCCACCAGGGGTCTGCCAGGACTCCAGCACCTCCAACTGATTTGGGTCACTTGCTGTCCTTCCCGTCTCAGAGTAGGACCCAGCACCGCCAGGTGGAGTCGGGGCGGGGGGCTGTCTTGAGGTGAGCTGGGGGTGCAGGAGCAGCTAAATGCTTGGTTTCAATATTGACAGTCAACTGGCAGCATCCAAAGCGTACACCTGGGAGCGCAGGAAGAAGAGCATGGTTTCTTCTCCAAGGGACTCAGAATGCTGGCTTGAGAAATTTTTCCATTTAAACATGGCTTTTGAATTAATTTTTTTTACTTGAAAATCGTTGAAAAGTCTGTGAACTTTGTAAAAATAATTTCTGAAGGGCCAGAGAAATAGGACAAGGGTAAGGTTCTTGCCTTTATGCAGCTTAACTGGGTTCGAGCCCCGGCATCACCTCTGGTCGCCCACGTGAGTGCCACCAGGAGTGATCCTGAGTGCAGAGCCAGGAGTGGGCCTTGAGCACTGCTGGGTGGAGCCCCCAAACCTAATAATAATGATAACAAAAAATATATATCAGATTTATTTGTAGGACTGATGCTTTTGTGATCATCTTTTGGGCGGAGGGCGCAACCCAAACCTGGCTGTGTTCAGGGGTTATTTCTGGGTCTGTGCTCAGGGATCACTCCTGGCAGTGCTCTAGGGACCATATAGGATGCTGGGGATCAAACCCAAGTCGTCTGCCTGCAAGGCAAGTGCCCTCCCTACTGTACTCTCAAACATCATTTTAGTGATGTAAAATGAAGAAGTTTGGGCTTCACTGGTTTCTCTGGCATAACAGCGATGACACAACATGACAGCAAGAAGCCCAGGCCAGTCCCACTCCCACAGGGCTGAGGGACCACCCATCTGTGCATTTTCTTTTTGAGAGTCACCACGTGGCTGACCCCAGGCAAAGCCAATTCCCATTTGTGCCGTTGATTTATTGTCCACCCAATTTTGCTTTCTAGTCTCCTTGTATTTTTTTTCCTCCTCTCTCAATTTTTGTTGCTGTTGTCATTGCAGATCCAGAAAAAGCAAAGAGAATATGATTTACCTCCAGGTGAAGAAAGTGGACATGTCTCAGAACTAGGAGCCCTGCCCACTGTCCCCCTCCACGGCCTTGCATCTGTGAGACTAAGCCGGGACCCAACACAGCCTATGGACGGCCACACCCGCACAGGCCGGCCCCATCACGTCCAGCCCTCCCCACTGTGAGCCAGCACCCAGCAGAGTGCACTGCCCACTCCCCGCCCCCAGCCAAACTCCTGAGGGGCGCTGGCCGAGGGTCCCCCCAGCACACACTCTGCCCACATTCTCCCCACCCCACCCCGGCCCCCACCTGACTGAACTTCTCTTCATCTCTGTCTCTCTCTGTTTTATGCCTGGCATCGGGGGAATGGTGGGCCAGCAGACAGACTAACAAACGTAAAGTGAATAAGCAAAAGAAGTTGGGACTGAGAAATAAAACCTCTCAAAGCAATTACACGTTGTCCAGGACATATGTCAAGAGCATTGTCAGTATGTCTGGGAGAAGCTCAAAGAGTCAGAATGCTGTGGGATCGGGGCTGGGGGGGGGGGGGGGCAGGATTCAAACCCTGGACCACGGGGTCCCCCAAGAACTACTAGAATGGCCTCAAAAACAAAGAATGTTGCCGGTATCATGTGGAAAAAACATGCTAAACGCATTGACCATCTTCTGCATTGGATTTTAACGGTGATAATGTGTCAGTGTGGTAAGAAAATGTTGCCACATTTGTGGATTTCCACAAAAGTTCTTGGGGCCAGGAATGCTGCTGTGCATGGAACCCTGAGGCCCACTGTGTGATTCAGGCCTCAAAGTAAATAAAAATCAAAAATCATATTACTATTCCTGGTGTGATGTAGTAACTAGATTTTTTTTAAGACCTGTAACAAATTCTGGGCATTCTTCTCCTGCTCTGAGATTTTCTCAGAAATTTCAGTGATCTGAGCTGACTCTTGTTTCCCCGAGAATTCTCTTCAGATATTTAAATAACTGACTCTATCTTGAATTTCTTGATTTATTGTTTTAGTTTTGAATGTTATCATTTGACTTTACAGCATTAAGGACGACGATTTCTTTCTTTTCACTGTTCCCTTGTCTCTCCCCCTCTTCACTCTCTGTTGCCACGTTTTCATTCCCTTGAATCACACTCCATCTCTCCGGCAGCTGCATTCCTCTTTCTTTCTTTCCCAACATTGGCTCTTCTTGAAGCTTGGATCTGATGACTTGGGTTTTTTTTTTTTTTTTGGATCTTCTCACTCATTTTCCTCCAGCCCTGGCAAACCGTCAGCCCTTGGGGCCTCTAAGCGGTCACAGATGGCCCCTGTCCTTCCGCAGCCCTCCCCCAGGCCCACCGTCCTGAACTTTCCCAGCCCCGTGTCCTAGGAGACACATCACCCAGGTCTAGGTTTACCCCCTGTGTGGAGGGAGCCATCGTGGGCCCAAGAGGGAGCACACACTTGTCCTTCTGTTTCTCTTCTGAATTCTAGAAACCAAAACCGGCCAAGTTGGATTCCCAGGTCCTGTGTCACCTGAGGATCGCGTGGTCAGATGGGAAGGAAGGAACAGGAAGGAAGCCATTTCCCCCAGCCACCACCACCACCCATCCTCCTGGGACTCAGCCAGGAGCAAACCCCCATCCCTGACCTCCTGCAAACAGCCTCTTCCTCCCTTTGCTCAGCCAACCCTTCCCTTCATAAGGGCTGGGATTAAATAGCCTCCTGGGGAAAGAACTTAGCAGGCTTTTGGGTTTGTTGCTTGAGCAAGGACTAATATTTCCCTTGGGGCCATGAGTAGCCCACACCCAGGAGAAAGACCCCTCCCCACAAGGGGACATCAAACCAGGCACCCGTCTGAAGCCAGGTCATGGAGCTAGATCACGGCCAGCGGGATTGTGGCTGCAGACCCCAGGTGAGGCTGGGAAAGTGAAGGGAAAGGGAAAATTTGAACTTCAGGCCAAAAAGAACCAGGAGAGGCCTGGCCGGGAAGGTGGCACCTTTATTAAAAGTCCTCAAAGGAAATTCTGGTGTTTGGGGGAGGAAGACAGACACCACTGAAACGCAGGCTCAGGCTGCAAAGGACACCTCGTGTCTCTAAAATGTTAGTTACATGGAGAGTGGTAAAGAGTAGACCCCTGGGAAAGAAAATGGGGCATGAGTGGGCTTAACTGGGTGGCCCCTCCCCAATCCCCGGCATCTTCTTGGCATCAGGGAGCAGCGTCCTTCTTCCCTTTGTCGAGAGAGAGACCCCTTTGCTGAAGAGGGGCAACAAAGCCTCCCCAAGCCAGGCCCCTGTTATCGCACCCAGGGACAGTGTGACTTATTCCCACCATGTCTGGGGGAGAAGCGGGAGCCTGGGTGGGGAGGACACTGCCTGGCTGCCCACGCTGCAGCGGATCTCAGCAGACACCAAGAGGGCGCTGAGGATAAGGGAGGCAAGACCCAGGATTCAACACACCGACTCGGACCCAAGGGGGCACCCAATGCTCCAGTGTCTAGAGTCGGGCTCTTCCATGTGCCTGAAGTTTGTTCTGGGGTTTTGCAGCCCAGCAATGCGAGAAAGGGGGTCAAAGGACAGAGATCCAGGATGTGAAACAAAGGCAAGAACAAATCCAGAGACCAGGAGAGTGAAGGGAGGATCGATTTGATACGCAAAGCTAAACTAAACTAAATGAGAGTAGGTCTCTCTCTCTCTCTCTCTCTCTCTCTCTCTCTCTCTCTCTCTCTCTCTCTCTCTCTCTCTCACACACACACACACACACACACACACACACACTCACACCACTAAAAATGACAGCTTTGGAAAAATACCTGAAAAACATTTAAGTGGCTAATAACCCAAAGGAAACAACCACTAAAACTCAATAAGGGAAGATGGAAAAAATTCAAAAGGGCGGTCATTCACAAAGTTGTCATTAAAATTTATTCAGTTATTTCAGAAAAATTATCCTTATGGCTAATTAGGATAATACAGAAAATAATGGAATAGTTTTCCCTGCAGATAAATAAATAGCATTAATCAAAAATGAATACAATTAGGGATTGGAGTGATAGTACAGAGAATAGGGAGCTTGCCTTGCATGTCACTGAACTGGGTTCAATCCCTGACACGCTATATGGTCCCCTGAGCCTTCCAGGAATGATTCCTGAGCACAGAGCCTGGTGTGGCCCCAAAACAGCCAAAAATGAATAAAATTAGTCCAGAGAGACAGTAGAGCAGATAAGGTATTTGCCTTAACACACAACTGGCCCCTGTTTGCTCCCCCATCACCCCAGAGGGTCCCCAAGCACCATCAGGGGTGATCCCTGACCACAGAGCCAGGGGTAAGCCCTGAGCACAACCAGATATATCCCAAAACAAAAAATAATAATAATAATAAAATTGATAGTGCCAAATGCCAATGAGGGTGTGAAGAATGTCCAACAGCTGCTGACCAGAGCCCAGACAGATCAGACAGATCAATAATGCCTTAGAGGACAATCGATATTAGGTTTCACCAAAACGGAGGCTTCATCGAATTGGAAATGCAGCTGACTCACACATAACAATGCCCCCGCCCCAGGTTTCTGTCTTCCAGAAACACAGCACACTCCAGAGACATATCAGAGGCCACCCATTTGTTGATGCTTTGGAACGAGCCAGTCCTTCACTGTGGCTATTGGGGATGCTTTAATAATCCCTCGTGTACCAACACAACTCTCAAAAGAAATAGAAAATATTCACAGTTGCTCCCTAGAAAGACCCCCACAAAAAGAGCAAAGGTGAGTTTGGGGGTAATAATATAGGCCTGAGGGACTGGATCCCTCAGTGCCAGGATGGGGAGGGGCAGACCTGAGCCAGGCCTGGGCACAGGAGACAGATGTCCAATTTTCCCAAGATTCTTGTAGTCTTGTGTTTTCTTGTGCATGTGCATGACATATGTTCATGCAAAAATTAATGACTAACTATGGAAAATAGTTTGACAGTTTCTTTTAAGCTTTTTAAAACTGAATATATATTTATAGATGACTCAGCCACCCACCACCACATTTTTGGGTATTTATCCCTGAGAAATAAAAACGTATGTCCACACATAATCCTATTCATCATTATTTGAAGCAGCTTTATCTGCACTGGCCCAAACCAGAAAATAACATAAACATCCCTCACCGGATGGATGGATAAAGAAACTGTGAAATAGCCACCACAAGGAATATTACTCAGCAAGGAAAAGGACTCAACTAGCAAAGCGTACTGATGCGGAGCGGACTCCAGGCTGTCAGAATGCTGCAGGACAGAACTCACTTCAAAGGCTGTTCTTTGTGCCAGAGATGGAGACAGTCAGTGATCAGTCATGACAGCCTCCCATGTTGGCTTCCAGCTTCCAGTCTCACACTCGAATGATTTGAGAAGAAACCTTCCAAGGAGGGAGACCTAGAACCTTCCTGCTCTCTTTGCACTCACCGCTGACTAGTCACAGACTGCTTAACTACTGACTAAGCACAGACTGCTGACCACTAAGCTTGGCTTGCTGTCCCAGGGAAGGAGGGTCTGGGTAGTGACTGCCAGGGTTGGGGTGCGCCCCAGCACAGGGAGAGTGGGGCTCCGTCAGAGCTGGTTTGCTTGCAGAATGCAAACACCCCCAACCCCCAGCACTCCCCACCCTGTGTCACTAGCACTGCGCAAGAATTCTAGGGAGTCCCGGACTTGCGACTGTCTAAGGAAACAAGTGAACTCAACACACGGCCTGAACGCAGCCTTCCAGGACGGGCACAGCAGAACGGGAAAACGCCAGCACAGAGGCAAACGCGTCCCCAGTGCCCCTTCAGAATGCTGGACACGACAGAAGACATTTTTAGAAACAGTTTTGACCAAAATGGTTAAAAGAGAAATAGAGTTCAAATGAAGGTGGGGTCCCTTTTTAACACCTGTAGAATTTTGGCATTGCCCCCAATTTTCTGTAATGTGTTCAAAGAAAAAAAGTAGATATGAATATTTTTTTAATGATAGTCAAGGGCTGGAGCAATAGCACAGTGGGTAGGGCGTTTGCCTTGCAAGTGTCCAACATGGCCAACCCAAGTTCGATTCCTCCATCCCTCTTGGAGAGCCCGGCAAGCTACCGAGAGTATCTCGGCCGCACAGCAAAGCCTGGCAAGCTACCCTTGGCATATTCGATATGCCCAATACAGTAACAGTTGTCACAATGGAGACGTTACTGGGCCCGCTCGAGCAAATTGATGAACCACGGGCGGACAGTGACGGAGACAGTGATAGTCAAGTCTCCAAGGCACAGACGCGAGGCCAGGGGTCACTGGTGAGGGTTCCTTTCCCTCTCTCAAGTATGGATCAACCCGGGGCGCCCAGCACTGTCCATTCTCTGGCTCTCACATGCTTGCATCTCTGCGTTTGGCCTTTGTTGTTTCGAACTCTGGGACGGCACCTGGCGGTGCTCAGGGAGATATGGCACTGGTGGTCAAACCCGGGGCAGTGCCCAGGTCTTTCTCCTGACGTTGCTGGGAGTACCAAGTTCAGTACCCAGGCTCAAACCTGGGCTGGCTGCAAGTGAAGCTCTGCACGACCTCTCCAGTCCCATCATCTCATTATTCTTATTTTTTCTGCATTTTTCTGACTTTGGGTTTATTCCGTGGTTCTTTTTCTAATTCTCTAACTCCGAAGAGCTTTGAGTAAGTCCCTCTGTGTATCATTTCTCTATGCTCCAAAAATATGTAACTTGTTTCAAAGAAAATTATTAGGTTTTAAATCCGCTGTTCCAGAACCGAAGTGTCTGTGCAGCAGGTAAGGCGCTTGCCTTGCACAAGTCAACCCGGATTTAATCCCCAGCATCTCAGATGGTCCCCCAAGCCCTCCAGGAGTTATGCCCAAGTTCCAAGCCAAAAGGAAACACTGAGCACCCCTGGGTGTGACCCCCAAACAAAAGACAAATCTTCTGTCCCTGTTTTTCACAGATTGGTCACTTGGGATCTTAGATTCCTGGAGCACTTGTGGTTTATTTCAATTCACACACTCTGACTTATATGTAATTGTGTTTGTGTGAACTTCGGAGTCTTTTTTGACCAAATGTAATCCAGTAATTGTAGCAAGTAGCTACCATTCCATCTCTTAAAACAAAAATAAAATCCCCTAGCCAGAATAAAACACAATCTAATTACCAATCAGTTGGTTATAACCGAGGAAAGATCTTACAAGTCTCTATTTTATGAAAGCAAATAAACTCTAGTAATTTAATAAATGTTTATCTGGAAAAAGGAACACATGGGTATACTTGAGGTTTCTTCGGTTATTGAAGATTCCAAGTCTTTTGACATGTTAGGAAACAATGTTTATTCAGTTGACCCAATAATCCTTAAGAATTGGAAAGTACCCAGATGAAATGGACTATTTGTTTTTATTCATTCGAACCAGATGCTGGTAATAAAAATCTGGTACTAATTACTTGAAAATGTGACTTAGAATAACATATCATCTTTACTTGACACACTTAAGAAAAGAAAAAAGCAGAAGTTGTCATACTTGGGACTGAAAGGGACTATCTCGTGCATATGATGCAACCTATTACTTTAGGGAGATTAAACAAGAGAGCAAGAATGTCTCTCCTCAACCTCAGAAACCCTAAAAACAGCAAGCACATGCCAGAACTTCTAAATGGGCCGCTCGGAACTGCACCAGCAAATGCTCTCCCAACCCATTCGGAGCTGAAAGGTGCCATCAGACGAAGAACCGCTTTAAACATCCGTGGTGTTGCAGCATCCTGGGCCAAGTGTCGTGTGTGGTTTTGAGCTGCCACCAGCCGCCAGCCACTTGGGTAGGTCAAAAGGCACCACTGCCAGCACAGTAAAAGGCGGTCACAGAGACGGATATAAATCCCACCGGACCCGCGTGCCTTCCTGAACACCAGCTTTGCGGTCACTTCCTGGGTACCCACCTACATCCGGAGAACCTCTCTTAGCTCCTTTGCAAGGCCCTGGTCCACCAGCTCAAGGCTGGGAAACAGGACATCTACAAGACCATGAGCAGGCAGTCCTCAGAGCCACGCGTGTGAGAGCAGGACCTCTCCCTAAAGACACTCACCTTCTGGAGGGCATCGCCGGAGGCCGCCACCCCCTGGGCAGGCCATGTGGGATTTGCTGGAATCACTGCAGGCCTTCTGGTTTAGAGAACTGGGGTGGTCTGGGGCTCTGGGCGAGAGCCCCAGCTGGGCACTGAGCAAGGCAGAGCAGCACTGCGACCCGAAGAGAGAAATTTCCCAATATTGGCCAGAGCGAACAGCCGTCTGCAGGAAATGCCCACGCTGTGTCCGCCCCGTCCATCAAGGAGCAATAGTGATCACCTCTCACACTCCTGACACCCGTCACTCCCCATTCCCACCGGCAGCCCCCAGGCTCCTGCTTCTCACTGGACACATGTGTACGTGGCAGAGACCACCGTCCACTAGAAATGGCAAAGATGCAGAAAGTGAGGGGTTTTTTTTTTGGGGGGGGGATGGAGTTGGCTCATGGCTGAAGGTCAGAGTCAGGGCCATGCCCTGGAACCCTGATGCCCCTCCCAGCACTGCCCAGGTTCCCTAGGGGGCCAGGCAGACCCTCAGCTCTGCTCCCTGCCGTCCCCACTGCCCAGAACAACCTGAGTCCCAGACTGACTGGGCCTGGGTGCCCAGAGGCCAGCAGTTACTTAACACAGGGTTCATTGCATTTCATTGTTTGTTTGCAGGGTCCACAGGTGGCTCTGTGCTCAAGGGCTGCTCCTGGTTCTGTGCTCAGGAGTGATCCCGTGGAGCGCTCGGGAGACGGTATGTGGTGCGGAGGTTCAACCTCATGCAGAGTGATGCCAGCCAAGCGCCGAGTCCCTGCACCTCCTTCCCTGCCCTTCAGCATTGTCCCCAGACCCCTGGCCAGATTCTGCTCCTGTCCCGGGTTCTGTCATACCTGCAGGGAGGTCTCTGACAGGGGGTGCTGTGACTCTGGAAGAAACGTTGGGGACGGGACTGGGAGTCATTTGTGAGGCCCCCGCTTACCTTGAGGGCACCTCAGACTCGTGTCCACTGCTTCCCTCTGAGGGGTACAGCAGGTGCCCTGCCTGGGTTTGGTGACCGAACAGCCCCACAGTGGCCCTCGGGGGGGCTCCCACGCCCCTAGCAGGAACGTTTGATAACCATGCACCAAGTTTCCGGGTCACTCGGGTCACCTGCGCCCACAGCCCTACTTCCTCCCCACTGGCTCCACTCCAAGCGCCCAGTGCCAGGGAGACCCCCGACGGCCACACACAGGACACCTTCTTCACCTACGCCAGCACAGCTATGCACTGGCCCCTCAAGGAGCACGCCGGATCCCAGCGGATCTAGCCCCGGTCCCAGCCAGCGAGGGCACTGCTGCTGCTACCTCTCTCGGAGACACTGCCTGGCCTCAGGACAACCTCGAGAAAGGTCCCCAAGGAGTCTGAAGAAAATAAGTCTGAACCTTTTGAGTACAGGTTGACAAAAATGACTCCAAGCTGCAGTTTTCCTATTTATTACCGGGAGAGGATACAATCATTCTGATCTGAAGTTTCAGTCTAAAGACTGAGCTTTGAGGATCCTGCAGAGAAGAGAGAAGAGGCCCCGCCGTGAGCCCGAGTACGTTTTGGATTTGAGGTGGCTTACTGGGGGTTGGGCCTCATCCAGCATTGTTGGGGGCTACTCCTGGCCCAGTGCTCAGGGATCACGCCCAGCATAGATGATGGGGACCATGCAGTGCTGGAATCCACCCTCATGCATCCAGCCCTTTGCACTATCTCCCTGACCCCAAGGGTCTGTAGTGTGTGTGTGTGTGTGTGTGTGTGCCTTTGTGGTGTGTATGTGTGTACGTGCGCATACACTCAGTACCAGGAGCTGAAGATCAGGCCCATATCTGGCCTCAGAGGCAGACAGAGAGCTGTTAGCTGTGTGTGGGCCCTGTGCCCACATGATCCTGAGTCTGACTCAGCTGCCCACACAGAAGGGCCTTCAGAACTCCCGGCCCTCCTCAGGCAGCCACATCCTTCCTGCGTCCCCACCAGCTCCGACGGCCTTGCCGTTACATCGTCTGTCTCACCAGTAATGAATCTTTCAAACCAAGTTTTGGTGCCATACTTGAACTTCTGAAAATTCGAAGAGCAGATTAAAAATAACAGGCTGATCTTCTTGTGGCCTGTCTTCTGAGCTATTTCATAGTTAGCATCTGAGTTCACCTTCTAGAGTTCCCAAGGAGAACCAAGCCAAGAAAACATTTCTGGAACAGAGGTGGCAGAAACTTCTTCCTCAAAGGGACCCCAGGACTTCTGACTTCGAACAAGGCTCATGTTTTGCTCGGTCATGAATATATGCACACGGCTGACATCATTTGCTAATGTGCTACCATATTTAAAAACAGTTGCATGGCGGGGAGGGAGTCTGCCTTGCGCACGGCTGACCCATGTTCAATCTCCAGCACTCCACAAGATCCCCCGTGCCCACCAGAACTGATCCCTGAGCCTAGAGGCAGGAGTCAGCCCTAAGCACCACTGGATGGACCCCAAAACGATAAAAAATTTTTTTCAATCAAATAAAGACGTCCCAGAAGACTACATGTTGACATGCTTGCCAACACAGATGCCTAGAGACCTGGAAGTACTTTCTCCCAGAATGAAGAGAGCAGTGCTTTTTCTGGGGAACTGCATTCAGGGCCACTCCCAGCAAGACTCAGGTCCTGTCAAATCTGCAGATACTTTCGGTGAAGGATTGGAGCCAGAACAATGCTCACTAGAAAGGGGAAGTAGGAAACCAGCCGCCACCTTGGAGAGTCCGGAGAAAAGTAAAGAAAGAGTACCTAGAACCTGCGGGGGGCGGGAAGCATGTCGAAAGAGGAGGAATACAGGAGAAAGCTTCTGGAAATTTCTTCAGCCACCTGCCACTGTCTCCATCTCTGCCACGTGGTCCCCAGGGAGCTCCTCTCAGGGGCCCTCTGAGGTCTGAATCCGAAGGTAGATCTTGTTTTCCTTGGGTTTTGCTTTCCTGTGAACAGCACGGGTCACGTAAATAAATCTCAAAAGAGAGCCAAAGCCGCAATCAAGCTGAACATGCATGGCTGAACAGACCAGGGTAAATCGGAAGGAGGGGAGGGCGGCTGGCTTGGAGCCGCCAAAGCAGGGCCCCCAGCAGCCACTTGCTTCCACAATTCAAAATCGCCACCCACTCCCAGCCTGACTCCACCGTCTCAGGATGGACCTCACCAAGATATCGCCTGCTGAAAATTTAGCTCTGCAGGTTTTGTGACTGAAATCTCCAGGCTTTCTTGGAGTCCGGATGGGCTACCTCCCCCCACCTTCCTGTACTTCCAGAAGCCTCAGCAGTCACATCCACACCCCCAAAGTGGCCACCTAACTGAAAAGCGACTCCAGCCTTACCGTCCTGATAAAAATACCAAGTTTCCCTGAATAAACACCATGACCTCTTAGCACCTGCATTGCAAACCATAATGCACAAAAAGAAAATGAGAGAGAGAGCAAGAAGGAAAGTGCCTCCCATAGAGGGAGGTTTAGGGGTTTGGGGCTGGGAGATGGTGGTGCGGAAACAGGGGACATTGATGGTGGGAAATGTACGCTGGTGGAGGGAGGGGTGCTGGATCATTGTATGACTGAAACCCAATTATGAACAGTTTTATAATGGTCCCAAGGTGGGACCCCGCCAGAGCTCACAGGGGGTACGGCTCAGAGATGGCTCTCAATGCAGAGCTGCCAATCTGGGGGTGCACCCGGACGGCACAGGGGACCGCAGTCCAAAACAAATGTCCTCCCCCAAGCCCACCAGTCTGTGCCCCCACGTGCTGCCCATGTCCAGCAGCTCTGGCAAGAGCAGTGGCAGACACCCCAAAACCTCCAGGAGAGGAAAAAGAGAGAGTGGGGGGCGGGGCTTATCCTGAAACCTCCAGAGGAGAGGGTGGGGCCGGTTCACCCCAAAGGCTCCCCCAGAGGAGGGCAGGGTCTATCCTGCTCACCCCAAAGGCTCCCACAGAGGAGGGCAGGGGGCCATCCATCTCACCTCCCCAGGCGCTCAGCGTCCTCGATGGTCTCCGGCAGGGCCGCCCCCCTGGTCTCAGGCAGAAGCAGCGTCAGGAACCCAGCAAAGAGCCCCAGGGCAGCTGCAAGAGAAGAGGGGTCCCACAAGTCACTGAGCCCCCTCACCCTAGGGAGGGTATGGCCAGTAGGGGGACCCCAGTGTGACACAGGCCCACCCAGAGAGCTGGACCGAGCACCAGACCCCACTGGGTAGAAAGCGAGAGGGGCTGATGCTCCCACTAGTGCTCCCGCTGCCCCTCAGAGCCAGGTCTGGACCCACGATGCTGGGCAGGGGTCGGGGTGGGGGGGCTGCTTGGGGACCCAGGAAGAACCGGGAGGGCAGAGTGTGTGGTTGGCAGCTCTGTAGGGACACCTCCTAGGCTGACTGCCCAGAACAAAGGACTCGCCACGCGAGATCTTACCGAACAGCACGAGTGGCAGACCTTGCCAGACCTCCATGAGCCTGAAGACCAGGAAAGGGGCCACGATGCCCCCCAGGTCGCTCAGGGATGAGCAGACCATCACCCCCAGGTTCCTGGGGAAAGAGACAAACCCAACGCTGCTCTAGGACTCCAGTCTCCGTCTCCCTTCCAGGCTGCAGCAGACAGCTCTGGGGTGAGGGTCTGCACAGGGCCCTCCCACCTGCCGGGGCCACACAAGGGGGTCTCCATAGAACCCCCAACTGTGGGGACAGAAGCGCCTGAGCTCGGGACCTCCCGGGCTTCATCCTGAGCTTCCCTTCCTCATCTACATTCGCATAAATATGCATCATCCTTGCGTTACATTTGCATTAAACACCTTCGCATCCTTCCTAATAAGCCAATAAAAGTGAAGCCAGCGTTTCCCTGAGTTCTAGGGGCGCCCATTGCAAATGACGCCCCAACTCCAGGAGGGGAGTGTGGACATCTATGTAGAGGGAGTCGGTTAGAGGCACGGGGGAGCCAGGTGCTGGCCTGAGTGTCGATCCACATGGGGGGGTGGGCGGGGGGGAGTGCTGATCCCAGGGGATTAGTGCCAGGACTGAAGGGAGAACCCCAGGAGCTGGGAGTGGGGGTGGCTGGCGTGAGTGGAGTTTTGCGTCTTCTATGGAGAGACAGAACGCCAGCTAGGCAGGAAACAGAAACTAGCTAAAATGAGCCTGTCAACCCTGGAAACTAAGTCGTGGGAATCAACTCCACCTTGTATGGCTTGGGGGCTACACCCAGGGTCTCAGGGCTCCCTCCCCACCACACTATTGCTCAGACCCAGCCGCCACGCCAGCTTTTCTCCTGACCCTCTGGGCGTGGAATATCTTGTTCTGTTCTTTCGCTTTTACGAAACTTCTCTGTTAGACTTCCTCTTTCTCAGGGGCCGGGGCCATAGTACAGCAGTTAGGGCCCTTGCTTGCATCCCAGGACCCCTTATGCCCCCCCAGTCCCAAGGCAGGAGAGATCCCTGATTGCAGAGCCAAGAATGTGTGATTTTTCTGGCCATCGTATGGTTTTATTTTATCCAAATAACTACCTCTATAACTTTATGGGATAGACGCGGCACTCTATTTCTTTAGTGACTTCCTATGAAAAACTGTTAAAATTCGTCTACTTCCTTCTCACACCTCTCGATGCGCTTTTTTAGTTAATTTAATCACATTTACAGTGTTTGCCTTCCTATCTTAAAATACATTTGGGGCCAGAGCCAGAGTACAGCACACATCTGACGCAGGTTGGATCCTCGGCACTCCATATGGTCCCCGGAGCCCAGCAGGAGAGATCCCTGAACCCAGAGCCCCGGGTATGTCCTGAGCACCACCAGGTATGTCCCCTCCCCCCCCCAAAAAATAACAATAAGCAAACAAAAAAGTGATGCTAACACTCAATTGTGTTGTTTTGGTAATTGGGTAATGCCTGCAGTGCTCGGGGATTACTCCTGGCAGTTCCCAGGGGACCATATGCAGTGCCAGGGATGGAGCCCAGGTCGGTGGCATGCAAGACAAGTACCCAGCCCCGTACTATCTCCCTGGACTAAAATACTCCCTTGTATGAGATTTGAACTAGACTTGGATTCTGAGCCAAGAAAGGGTGTTGAGGCACAGCTGGATGGCGGCACCGCCAACGTCCTCTCTCCTGCCAGTGTTGATGGAGCAACTCTTTAGTGTCGGGGTTAGGACACCTACTTTCTGCTCCGCAGCCCAAGAGACATTGCATTACCATCCCCTACGGAGGCTTTGAAACATCGCCCTGTTCATCACTAGATTCACGGGGAATTGTTTTCCCCAGCAGCGTTTTTGGAAAAGGTTCGCAGGAAACATGCTTGGAGACTCCAAAATGGCTGACTCTTGTGAGAGGAGAGCAGAGAGAGTCGGACCAGGCACGGCCCGTCCAGTCCCTTTCCTCTCGGGAAGAAGGACCAAGCACGGCGTTCATCCGCATGATGCGGACGGAGAGACACCAAGTGCCCCACTCTTTCTTTGCAAGAACATTCTGGCAAAGGCCAAACCATGGACAAATAGACCAGTTTGGTGGTCACTGGTGACTTGAGGTGGGGAGACAGGAGATGACCCCAGGAGACAGTGGGTCCATCTGGAGGTGCTGGGGGGGTTCTCTGTGCTCATCGTCTTGGGGGTCAACGATCTTTGGGGTCAATGATCTTTGGGATCAAAACTCATCCCAGTGTGTGCTTGGGAGGGGGGATTTGCACTAAGCAAATTTCCCCTCCTAAGAACCCTGATGGGAAGCCGTTCGTTTGTGTCCTGAGCCCCTGTCATGGTGAGGGAGAAGCACTGGGGGGCAGGGGCCCAGGGAGGCGACTCAAAGAGCTGGACCTCGTGCTTTGCAAGCTGGGAGGCCTGGGTTTTGGCGCCCACATGGCAAGGTCCCCTGAGTACCTCCAGATATGAACGTCCCCACCCCCAATTTCTTTCTCTGTAGTTGGTTCCCATCTGGCCTACTCATTCCCAAGTGGTCTGGCTCTCACAGGCCCCTGGCCTGGCCTCAGTTTCCTTCATCTCCTCCCCAGGGGGCCCAAAGCACCCAGGAACAGAGACGGGGCAGGACTCCCTGACAGGGCTGATGCTTGTCTAGGTCTCTCCAGGCATGAAGTGCCCTGTAAGGAAACCACTCCCCTGGGTCAGGGGAGCTGCTGGGACCCCTCCACGGAGCATGAATGAGAGGGGGAAACCCCTCCAGGGCTGAGCTATGCACAGTCCTGGGGAGGATGGCGGGGACCCCCTCCAGGGCTGGGATGTGCAGAGTCCCAGCAGCCTGGGTCTTCTCAGCCACCCACCCTCCCTTCCAGCCTAACAGGCACTGGCCGACTCTATACTGCCTAGGCCCTGATGCCCGAACCCTGAAAGAGACCCTGACCTCTGGGCCCCGTTCCTTGTCCCAGTGTCCCCCTGGTGCACGCACCTGATGAAGGTAGGGTACAGCTCAGTGTTCACCAGGCACACCAGCTCGAAGACAATGGTGATACCCATCCGGCCAACACAAGCCAAGGCGGTGTGCAGCCAGGGTTGTTCTGCAGAGGAGACACAGGGTGAGGGGTCCCCAGAGAGGGGTCAGTGCCCTGGTGACAGTGGCAGACACCACTCCTGGGTTTGAGAGTGGTGGGTCCTGCCTAGGTCCTGTTGTGCTGGGCCCTGGAGCCCGGGACCAGCTGCTGATGACATGCAGAGACACAGGGTCCTGGTGAACGTCCAGTGTAGCACACTGACTGCCCCATGTGCTCAGTTTCTGTGGCTGCGGGAAACCGGATGCCAACCCACGCCCCTCCCCCCACCTGGCCTGTCTGGGCTGGGCCGTGGCCACCACAGAGTCAACCACAGACACGTCACATTCAGTCCCGCAGCTCACTGGCCACGAGCCCCGAGAGATCTGGTTGTCAGCCCTGTACAAAGGGACATTCAGGCTGACAGAAAACCAGCTCCATCTGGGACCCGAGACTCCGGCACACAAAATCCCAATTATGGACTCTCAGCGGGTTTCCAGGTCCAGCGTCACCGACTGAGGATGATGCCAAGCTCACAGCGCCCCTTTCCCCATGGCAACCCGGCAGGCGAGCTGTGAGAAGCCCTCCCTGCCCCCGTGCCTCCCTCACACTGGGACCCCAGTGGGCAACAGGGGATCTGGCACCTGAATTTCTGCTCTCCGATTTGCAAATCTAAGACCCCCCAATGAATGCCTCACTTGGTTTTAGCCTCGTGTTTTTCTTGGCTGACATCCTCGGTCTGATGTTTGTTTCCAAACACACTTTTCCCAAAGAAACCTCTTTTTGGAATTGCCAGGAAGCAAATCCTTGGTGCCGTCTAGCTGGGCACAAAGCCCAGTCACGACGGTGATGACCCAACCCTTTCCAGCAGGGCACGAGCAAAGGGGTGGGCGTCACCCACTTCCCCGAGACCCCTAAATGCTCCTGCCTCATCTCCTCAGGAATAAAGCCTCTGGGGTCTCAGACATCCCTTGTGATCTTGGCCTTTGTGTCCACACTGGCCAAAGACGGGAGATGTGGCCCATTTCACGGGGCAGGGGGAGGGTCTAGGGGAGTGGGGTGCCGTGGCCAAGGGAAGGAACCTGCAGCCGGGGCTGACACAGTATCTCCGGGTCCCTGCTGCCCAGCCAGCCCTTCCGTGAGGAGTGCAGCTCCCATGCCCCCGATTTTAACAAATCTGAGAGACCTGGGTGTGGACTCAGGCAGAGAGGGAGGCCCCTGCTCCCGAGGTGCGTTTTGGAATCTTCCCTCCTGCACCCTGGACATGAGTGCATCCGAGGGGGCCCTGCGAGGCGACCCACTTGCTCCAGCTGCCTGGGGCCCTTCTCATCCGCCCCCCCAGAACCCAAGTTCCATGAAGCAAGAACGTCCCTGCACTGCCCTCTGCTGGCGTGGAGGGCCCGGGCAGTGCAGGTGCGCGAAGGCACCAGCAAAGTTCCCTGGCGGGGAATGAACGCTCCTCCTCCAAGCTGAGGTGGGTGGCTGAAGGCCAGAGCAGCCGAGCCCTGGGGTGCACGTCCCTCTGTCCAGGGAAGAGCTCAGGCCTGCTCAGCCATCGTGCTGCCCCCTGCTGGTCCCGCCTGTGTGTGGCAGCAGAGAGTCCCCAGACAGGCAGGTGGGAGGAAGCCAGGGAGACCTTGGCTCAAAGGCCCCGCCCGAGCCCCTGCCTCTCCCCGTCCTTAGTCCTTGTCCCCCAAAGTCCGGCTTCCTTGCCCGCCCTGACTCAGTCCCCTGCTGCTCAGCATAGCCTGGGCACTGAGAGTCCAGCCTCCAGAAAGGCTCCCCCAGCTTGTGCCCCGCGGCCTCAGTGACAGGCCAAACCTGCCTCCTGCCCATTCTCCCCATTTCTCTTTCTGTTTTTGTTTTGGGGCCACAGCCCGCGGTGCTCAGGGCTGACTCCTGGCTCTGCTCTCTCTGGAATCACGCCTGCAGGCTCAAGGGACCGTATGGGATGTTGGGGGCCGAGCGCGGGTCAGCTGCATACAAGGCAAGCGCTCTACCCACTGTATTATCTCTCCGGCCCCTGTACATCCCCATTTCTGACGCGGTGGAGGATCCCAGAAAGAAAGAAAGAAAGAAAGAAAGAAAGAAAGAAAGAAAGAAAGAAAGAAAGAAAGAAGGGAGGGAGGGAGGGAGGGAGGGAGGGAGGGAGGGAGGGGAAGAAGGAAGGAAGAAAGAAAGAGAAAGAAAGAGAAGGAAAGAGAGAGAAGGAAAGAAAGAAAGAAAGAAAGAAAGAGAGAGAGAGAAGGAAAGAAAGAAAGAAAGAAAGAAAGAGAGAAGGAATGAAAGAAAGAAAGAAAGAAAGAAAGAGAGAGAGAAGGAAGGAAAGAAAGAAAGAAAGAAGGAAGGAAGGAAGGGAAAGAAAGAAGGAAGGAAGGAAGAAAGAAAGAGAAGGAAAGAGAGAGAAGGAAAGAAAGAAAGAAAGAGAGAGAGAAGGAAGGAAAGAAAGAAAGAAAGAAAGAAAGAAAGAAAGAAAGAAAAAGAGAGAGAAGGAAAGAAAGAGAAGAAAAGAAAGAAAGAAAGAAAAAAAGAAAGAGAAGGAAAGAAAGAGAAGAAAAGAAAGAAAGAAAGAAAAAAAGAAAGAGAAGGAAAGAAAGAAAGAAAGAGAGAGAAGGAAGGAAAGAAGGAAGGAAGGAAGGAAGGAAGGAAAGAGAGAGAAGAAATAAAGAGAGGGAAGAAATGAAAGAAGAAAGAAACCCTGTGAAAAGGTCACCCCGCAGGGCTATTTCCATAGCCTTGAAATCAGTTTTGCAAAGGAGCGTGAGAGGAGCTTCTTTAAGGACAAGACAGACTTCTCAGCACGTTGCCATAGAGAATGACACACACTCATATATATGGCTGCCCTGCAGTAGAAGAGAGAGGTCTGTTTATGCCTAACTAGCTGTAGCACTGTCCTCCCATTGTTCATTGATCTGCTCGAGCAGGCTCGAGTAACGTCTCCATTGTGAGACTTGTTACTGTTTTTGGCATATCAAATACGCCATGGGGAGCTTGCCAGGCTCGGCCATGCGGGCGGGATACCCTCTGTAGCTTGCCGGGCTCTCCGAGAGGGACAAAGGAATCGAACCTGGGTTGGCCATGTGCAAGGTAAACGCCCTACCCACTGTGCTATTGCTCTGCCCTAACTTGCTAGAAGATTTTATACTTTTTTAATAATGAACTAATGTTTCATTAAATTGGGATGCTTTGTGTCTATTCAGGTGTTTTTTTACACCTATAGGGATTTATTGTAATCTTTCGCTTATTAATGCAGATACTTAAATATCTATAGCACAGCGGGTAGGGCGTTCGCCTTACAAGCGGCCAACATGGCCGACCCGAGTTCGATTCCTCCGCCCCTCTCGGAGAGCCCAGCAAGCTACCGAGAGTATTGGATATGCCAGACACAGTAACAACAAAGTCTCCAATGGAGACGTTACTGGGCCCGCTCGAGCAAATCGACGATCAACGGGAGGGCCTTTACCTTTTTTTTACCTTTACCTTTTCTAATGAATTGGCACGTGGTGAATTCACCGTCCAGCCCTCACAGCCACGGGAAGTCACAGTGGCTCAGTACCCCCGCCCTGCAGGTGCAAGCCCTCGAGTCTGACTCCGGGTGTCCCACGTATCCTGATCATGGTCCTGACAATGCGATCAATGCAGCCACTCCCTGCCAACTTCAGCAAGTCCCATGGCCACGCGTGCAGACTCTGTGCCAGCTGTGAGCCCAGAGAGAACCACGCAACATGCAAGCCCCACAGTGGGGGTGAGAGCTGTAAAGGAAGGAGGAAAAAAGTCCTAAAGAATTCCACATTGCAGGGCTGGAGAGATAGCACAACGGGTAGGGCATTTGCCTTGCACGTGGCCGACCCAGGTCCGATTCCCAGCATCCCATATGGCCCCCTGAGCACTGCCAGGAGTAACTCCTGAGTGCAGAGCCAGGAGCAACCCCTGTGCATTGCCGGGTGTGACCCCCCCTCCCGCAAAAAAAAAGCAAAAAAAAAAAAAAAGAATTCTCATTGCAGGGAACCAGAGAGGTAGCACAGTGGCCAGGGCACTTGCCCTGCCCACAGCCAACCTCGATGCCATCCCCAGCTCCCCCGATGGTCCCTCGGTTCCACCAGGAGTGACCCCTGAGCGCAGAGCCAGGAATAAGCCCTGAGCACCACCCGCTGTGGCCCCCACACCAGCCAAAAAGACTTCATGCCGTAAATTACGTGTCTGTGACATCTCAGCTTGGTGTCTTCAAGTCCCATCTGTGGAGACTCGGCGACAGGCACGGGTCACTCACCGTGGGCGAGCACCATGAAGAAGCAGGCAGCGCCGGACACCAGGCTGCAGCCGGCCAGCAGGTGGCGGCGGCCCACGCGGTCGATGACCCCCAGGATGATGAAGCTGGCGGGGAACTCCACGAGCGCCGAGTAGAGGAAGTCCAGGTAGAGGTGGCCGCCCGTGGCGCCCACGTGCATGATGACACCCTGGTAGAGCACGGAGCTGGTGAACCTGCCGAGAGACACAGGCCTGGTGACGGGCGCGCTCTGCAGCATCACAGCCCACGGCGCCTGCTCTCACAGGGAGCACTGCGCCCGTCCTCCCTCCCCAGCAGGTGGGGGGTCGGGGGGGCATCTGCTGGGCGAGCTGGGTGACCTTCAGCCAGTGAACGACCTCCCTGGGCCCCGAGCTTCTCCTCAGGCCTCCCAGCACTCTGGTTTGTCTCAGGGAGTATTTGAATGCCTGCACAGAGCTCTGACTGTCGTCGGCGCGAGTCAAGGGGAGCAGACGAGCAGAGTGGGTGCAATTGCTGGCCAGTCTCTGCAAGGCTGCATCGCGGTTCCCCAACTCCCCACGGCACAGCCCAGCACTGGCCGTCCACCCTGTCCCAGGAATAACAGCAACACGGCCAGGGCCCAGGTGGGTTCCTACTGGGCCCACTTAGGTGTCACTGGTGAGAAACGATCTCACACTGAAGGCCAGAACCCATACTGATACTGACCCTGGAGGAGAGAGTCCATTCCCCAGGAACCCCTGCCCTATCCCGGAACCCCAGCCCTGTCCTGAGACCCCTGCCCTGTCCCGGAACCCTGCCCTATCCCAGAACCCTGCCTATCACAGAATCCCTGCCCTGTTCCAGAACCCTGTCCTATCACAGAACCCCTGTCCTATCCCAAAACCCGGCCCTATCCTGAAACCCTGCCCCGGCCCGGAACCCTGCCTATCACAGAACCCCTGCCCTGTCCCAGAACCCTGCCCTGTCCTGGAATCCATGCCCTGACCTGGAGCCACTGCCTCGCCCTGAGGGGAGCATGGGGACTCACAGTGCAGCCCCCCAGGGGAGCTGCGAGTTGGGTTTCTAGAATCAAAGTATTCTTGGAGGGGCAGCAAGGTGGCATTGGTGAGTTGAGACCAGCCAGGGGGCCCCCTCCTTGTGCTTTGACGCTATGGGGGGAACTGTGGATGGATTTGTCCTTACTGCTGTGGCCACCCCGGCCGGCCTGTCCAGTGTTAACCCACGCCGTGCTGCCACCTGCTGGCAGATCCTATGAATTGCATGGACCGTGAGCCCAGTGTTCACTGGGGCCCCTTCTGAGCCCCTTAAAGCACATACTCCATCTTTAATGCCCCTGAGCCTTACAATGTAGGCATTTCATTACCCGCCACTTGCTGACGAAGAGATCAAGTCACGGAAGAGGTGAGGAGGTGGGTAGGAGGAGGGAGCACCCCCTCCCCAGCACTCACTGCAGTGAAATAGGGAGTTGCCAACAGATGTGCCGGCCACATGGGGGGGTTGAAGGGGGCCCTTCTGGGACCGGTGTGGGATTCCCAGCCAGGCACAGTGATGTGGAGGAATCGGTGAGCGAGGAAAGCCGGCTCTGGCGCCCTGGGCAGTGAGGAGTCACTCAGCCTGCCCCCCATGAGCTCCTATGTGCCCGTGCAGGCCCACTCCTCCGTGCCCTTCATCCCCAAAGCACACAAACCAGGGAGTGATTCCAACCCCACTGCGGGAGCTTCATGGCTTTCCCTGGCCAGGAGCTGAGCCCGCGACCCACACCTCCTTTTGAGGACTGCCAGGCCGGAGGACACATGCCAGCTTCCCCATCCCGGGCAGTGCCTGCCGCAGGCAGCCCCCAGGGAAGCCCGGCAGCCCCTGAACTCTCGCTTCTCCAGGCGGAGATGAAGGCAGAGGTGCAGGTGGCGAGCAGAGACCCTTTAGCTCAGGGCAGAAAAGGCTGTTTCTGCTGAAAGGTGCTTCTCTGATGCCAAGGGGAAATAGGGTCTTTTAGAGTTAGAGACTGTTAGATTTTGACCTCTGGAAAACCCAGTTAAATATATTTCCCTACTTGGGCTGGAGCGACAGCACAGCGGGTAGGGCATCTGCCTTGCACACGGCTGACCATGTTCAATTCCTCCGCCCCTCTCAGAGAGCCCGGCAAGCTACCAAGAGTATCTTGCCCACACGGCAAAGCCTGGCAAGCTCCCCGTGGCGTACTCGATATGTCAAACACAGTAACAACAAGTCTCACAAGTTACTGGGCCCGCTCAAGCAAATCGATGAACAACGGGAGGACAGTGCTACCGTGCTATAAAAGATGAAATTAGATTCAAGGCGGCAGTGGGGGGTGGGTCAGGGACTGCAGTGGGGGGTCAGGGGCCAGGGGCCGCAGTGGGTGTGGGTCAGGGGTCAGGGGCCGCAGTGGGGGTGGGTCAGGGGTCAGGGGTCAGGGACCGCAGTGGGGGTGGGTCAGGGACTGCAGTGAGGATGGGTTGGGGCCCACAGTGTCAGGGGCGAGTCAGGGCAGAGGTGGGAGCCTGGCGGTGGGTGTAGACACATTGGGGACTCAGTTCTGGACCAACAATGAAATCATAAACCTAGGTGTTTCCCTGGCACAGAGCCAGGAGTGAGCCCTGAGCACAGCTGGGGGTACGGCTCTCCCACAAAACAGTAAAATTTTAAAAACCACGTGTTTGGGGGCTGGGTGGCGTACGTCAGTTTGGAGGCCACCGCCTGGTCCCCAGGGGTCACTCGTAGCTCTGCTCAGGGGCCCGTGCAGGGCTAAGCCTGAGCCCACGAAGCGGCCCTGTCCCGGCGCTGTGCCCGTCTGCGGGGCCTTACCACAGGTACATGAGGATGAGGCTGTGTCGCCGCAGACGCCCCGTGCGAAACAGGTCCATGCAGGACGGCCGTGGCGCCTCTGCGTCCCCATCCCGGTCCAGGGACAGGAGCTGAGAGGGGGAGGAAATCAGCCACAGGGAGCGGGCAGGGACCACCTTGGGGCCCTCCCCGCCTCCGCCAGCCTCTCCCCGTACCCCAGCTCCACCAGCTGTGCAGCCCCAGAGTCACGTGCAGGCCCCCAGAGCCACCCGTGCAGTGACATGTCCTGCACCCCCACCCCAACCAGGCACCTTGAAGCCTGCAGGAAGCAGCTTCCCATTCTTCTGGGCGATGTGTTCCAGAACCTTCCGGGCTTGAGAGTTTTTCTTCTGGGACAGCAGCCACCGCGGAGACTCAGGCAGACGCCTGCAGACACACCACCCCACTGGGCATCGCCCCAGAGCTTGGGGGGAGGGGGCTCACTCCCGAGCCGAGTGGCGCAGAGGCTCAGGGATGCCCACCCTCAGCCGGGGCTCCCGGTTCTGAAGCAGAGATCTGGGGGTGCACAGGCCCAGGGAGGAAGCACATGGGAGCTCCATGGGCCCCTCACACTCAGCACCTCAGGGCCTTCCTCACGGGCAACAGGCTGCCCTGTCCTGTGGCCGGCCATGCCTCCCCACACCCAGCCCCTGCATTCTGGAGAGATGTCGGCATGCAACACCGGAATGAGTCTGCTTGCCCCTATCTTCCGCAGACACCCCGCTGTCCGTGCCAGGGAAGACCCCCATTCTGGGAAGCTCTGGCAGAAGACCCGAGGCTGCTTGAACCACCAAACCCAGACGGAACCCCCCAGTCCTGGAGGCCCTGTCTCACCCTGATGAGGGGAGCCCAGCAGGGCCCAATGTTGGGGTCGAGACGGAGACACCGCCCTCCCCTTGAGGCACTGGAGCAGCAAGAGGAAGCCCTAGTCAGTGCCCACTAGGGTGATTACCAACGTGAAGGGGGAGTAGGAGGAACTTCTGCTTTTAAAGGGGCCACGCCCTGGTGTTTGGGGAGCCCAGGGTCATCCTGAGGTGCACAGCCCAGCAGCCGAGGCTTACAATGGGTGCTCAGGGCCAGTGGCATCGGGACCCAGGACCTCACACACGCATGCCGGCTGCCTCCACTCCAGCCTGGTAGAGGGGCTACAGGTGGCAGGGGGACCCTGACACGTTGGTGGCGGGTGCAGGGACTCCTAAGGGATAGGTGGGTGTTCAGCTCTATCTCTGATGCTCTGTAGGGATGGAAGCCAGTAGAGACCAACTTTTCATGGGAAAATGATGTCTTTGTTTCTCTTTGCTTAAACAAAGAGGCGACCTCTTTGTTTGATCTCTGCAGGCATGGGGCTTCTTGGGGCTTCTCTGCCCCACACCACTCCCACAGTGCAAAGGACTGTCTGGCCGCCACATGCTCACATCCGCCATCAGACTTGGTTCCGTTTCCTAATGGCTCAGTGTGCATCCCCTGGGAATGTCCACTCACTCATTCTAGCAGGGCAGTGGCCACACGAGCCCTACTGCTGAGTTGGACCCACCATATTGTGTCCAGAAGGACATCCATCCCTTTTAGGGGCTCTGTCAATGAGGACCTCTGCGCTCATAGGGAGGGCCGGCTTGTGATGTCATAACACCCCGAAGCAGTGAGGGTGGCCAGGCCGGGGTGCTGAAGCAGCCTTACACCGAAACCTCGCCACAGGGAAGAAGTGACCAAGGTCTGCTCGGTGGGCGTGGTCCCAGAGGGATGGGGAGAAGCCTCGGCTTGAGGTGGAGGGGGTGTGGTCTAGGGAGGGGCACTGGCGGTGGGCGTGGTCATGGGAGGGGCCTGTTGAAGGGCGTGGTCAGAGCCGGGATTCGGCGAAGGCGTGCTCAGCCCGAGGGGGCGTGGTCAGATGACAAGGCGGGTGTGGGCGTGGCCAGGGGAGGGGCCTGATGAAGGGCGTGGACAGGGCCAGGGTTCCGTGAAGGCGGACTCAGCCCACGGGGGCGTGGTCAGATGAAGAGGGAGGGGCGGTGTGGGCGTGGCCGCGGGAGGGGCCTATTCTGGTGGGCGGGGCGGGGCCCTGGGTGGGCGGGGCCTTGGGTGGGGCCGGCCGCGGGCGCTCCCTACCAGCAGCAGAGCAGGAAGAGCAGCGCGGGCAGGGACACGGCCAGCTGCAGCCACCGCCAGTGCGGAAGGACGTAGGCCAGGCCGGGCAGCAGCACCAGCCCCACGGTGAAGGCCGCCTGGTACAGGATGGCCACGGTCCTTCTGTAGCCCGAGCCCACGAACTCTGTGACTGAGACGGGAGACGGGTCGCTTCTGGGGTTCCCGGGGGGGAAACGGGGCACGCCACCCCTGCCTCGCCCCCTGGGGACCCCCCAACCTCCTGGGCCCCCAGCTGGCAGCCGTGACCCGGGTGCCTGCTGTCCCCACTGGTCTTGAGGCGGGCCGGGCACGTGGGGAGATGCGCCAGCCGGGGAACCGCCACAGGCAGGGGAGCAGGGACCCCGGCCAGACGCAAGGACCTGGGGTCTGGGGTCTGATCAGCCATCAGGGACCCGACCCAGGGTATGCCCGGTGCTCGGGGACCCGACCCAGGGTGTGCCCGGCCCTTGGGACCCCGACCCAGGGTGTGGCAGGCCCTCGGGGACCCGACCCAGGGTGTGCCCTGCACTTACTCAGGGTGTAGCCGGCCGTCCAACTCCCCTTGCTCACCAGTCCCTGCAGCAGGCGGAGGAGCAGCAGGGACGGGTAGTTGGGGACCCCGGCCATGAGCGCGCCCGCCACAGCCGCCACCAGGGAGGTGATCAGGAGACAGAACTTGCGGCCGAACCTGTGGAACAGAGAGGAAGGGGGTGAGACCAGGCCCTGCAGGCCACAGGGCTGCCTTCCGGGAGGCCAGGGGTCCTCGGACAGCACCGGCACCTCTCAGCCCCACCTCAGCCCATAGCGACCCTCCTGGACTCAAGGGGTCACACAAAGGGGTGTTCCCACAGTGTCCTGAGGCAGCATCTGTCACCCCCATACCCTGAGTGACCGCGCATGACAGGCCCTGGCGCCAGGCTCTGCGTCTCGTTCCCCAACGTCTGCAGCACCTGGTATGAAGCCAAGGCCTGTCCCACGCGTAAGGCTCGAAGGCCCCCAAACAGGGTTTCCTCAGCCCCACTGAGAAGCTCTGGAACCGCTCAGGCCAGAGGTGAGCTGGCAAAGGATGGCAACGGACCCCAGACCCGGGACCCCACGCCTGAGGTCATATCTGGAACCCCACAAAAGGCCACACCTCACCCCACACCCAAGACAACAGACTCCAACCCACACCCAGGACCCCACACCGCACCCACTCCTCACCCGCATGTCACCCCACTCTCAGGATATCATCCCCAGGCCACCCTCCACCATGAAGCCCAACCCATGACCCCAGCCTTTCTCTGAGCCCAGCCCTCACCCGCACCCCCAGCCACCCCGGCCCCTAGCATTGTCCTTGCAGGCCCCAGAGGCCCACACTGGTGTCTGTTCGCCTCTGCCGTGAGCGCCCCAAGCATCCTCCAGAGACGTACCTGTCCGCGACGTAGCCGACAGCCAGGGAGCCCAGGAGGAAGCCCACGTTAACGCTGGCCTGGAACAGGTCCAGCTTCCAGGCTGTGTCACACACCAGGTCGAACTGCGGGGACGTGGGGAGGCAGGTGAGACGGCAGCCTGTGGCATCTGGGGCGGGGGCGGGGGACCTGTGGGCCGGCATGGGGCACCCGCGGGTGAATGAGGGTCTGGGGTGAAGGTGGGGTCCTGGGTAGGGGGCAGGGTCCGGGGTGGGGGTACGGCTGCCTGCGACCTGCCTGGCTGCCTCCTGCCACCTCCTCTGCCCTCACAGCCTCCTCCTTCCAGAATCGGGCAGGTCCCTTCCCCGTCGGGGGGGCCTCTCTCGGGGTGACAGCTGGGGGCGGGAGGCCAGGCCGGCGACAGCAGCGCAGGGGCCCAGACAGCGTGTCCGGGTCGGGGTCATGCACAGCCCCAGCCGGGGGCCACGGGTGGCCTCTCTCAGCCCCCGTCAGCAAGTTCCTGGGCACGGTTAAAGGTCGCCTGTGCAGCATGACAGCTAAGGGATTCCAGAGAGAGCACTGGGGTGGGGAGCCCCAACACCCGGCTCTTCTTTCCCAGGAGGCTTCCGCGGGGCTGTGCAGATGCCCCCTCCCCAGAACCTCCTCCCACAGTGCTCAGGACCCAGCGCCCCCTTGGGCTCCCCCGTGCCCCACCCCCCCTGAGGCCGGCGCTTCTGGGGAGGGAGGGGCCACCCAGCTGCTCTTCCCAGCCAGAACCTACAGTGTCACCAGGGAGCCAGGTTGGCACTAAAGAGGATAGGGCTCAGGGTGGTGGCGCTTGCGGCCGACGTGTACCACGCAGAGAACCTGAGCACTGTCGGGACGTCGGGGGGTGCCGCACCCCATCCCTGTCAGCTGAGAATCAGCACAGGGGCTCTGGGCCCCCACAACAGCTTACTATGAATAAAAAATTGTAACTAAACATGGCACCGGAAAGAGAGTTTGGGGCTGATGGCACTTGCTTTGCCTGTGGCCAGCCCCAGTTTCATCCCCAGCACCAAGGGCCCTGAGCACCTCAGGGAGGAAGTCCTGAGCACAGCTAAATGTGGGATAAAGAAATAAAAAGAATAATCATTGTAAGTTTTAAAAAGTCCCTCTCGGAGACCCCAGCAAGCTACCAAGAGTGTCCTGCCCACACAGCAGAGCCTGGCAAGCTCCCCATGGCATATTTGATATGCCAAACACAGTAACAACAAGTCTCACAATGGAGACGTTACTGGGCCTGCTCGAGAAAAATGATGAACAAAACGGGAGGACAGTGCTACAGTGCTCAGTTTAAAAAAAGAGAAAACCCAGATAGAGAAGGGAGCACCAAATAAAGGGTGTTTGGAGGATCCTCCCAGGATGGGAGATGCATGCTGAAAGTAGACTATAGACCAAACAAGATTGCCACTCAATGCCTCTTTTTCAAATCTCAGCACCCAAAAGGAGAGAGAGAACAAAAGGGAGTGCCATGCCACAGAGGCAGGGTGGGGTGGGAGGATGGGGGGTGGGAGGGATGCTGGGATCCATGGTGGTAGAAAATGGGCACTGGTGGAGGGATGGGTATTTGATCATTGTATAATCGAAACCCAAGCACAAAAATTTGTAAGTCTACAACTGTACCTCATGGTGTTTCACTAATAAAAATTAATTTAAAAAAATAGAGAAAGAAAAGAAAAAAAGAGAAAACCAAGGGGCTGGAGCAATAGCACAGTGGGGAGGGCACTTGCCTGGCATGCTGCTGACCTGGGTTTGATCCCTGACAGCCCACACGGTTCCCCGAGCCCCACCAGGAATGATCCCTGAGCACAAAGCCAGGAGTCAGCCCTGAGCACAGCGGGGTGCGGTCCCCAAACAAAACAGATGAAACAAAACTGGACCTAGCGCCATGGAAGGCGGCTGTCGGATCTCAGACGCGTCCCGGCCCTTCCTCCGGCGCGTGCCAAGGAGCTCAGCGTCAGCATCCCCGTCCCTGGAAGCTGTTGTTTGTCCAGGATGAGACCTGACCAGAGTCCAGGTCAAAATCTGCAACTGAGTGTGAGCACCCCTGCCGGCCAACCACGTCCTCCCCGCCTTTCCCTGTCCCTGTGTGGCCCCGGTCCACGCAGAAGGGACCCTGACTAGCAGATCTTGAGGTCCCAGCCACGTGACCGGGAAGGGACGCCTCTGTGCCCTTGGAGGTCTGGCCGCCTTTGACAGCCCGTGATCAAGGCGCACCCCAGCCGCTTCTCTGCACCCCAGCACCCCAACTCATTGGTCAGGAGCAGAGAGGTCCTCGGGCTCTGAACACTGACCCCAGACCATCAGCCACCTCTGGCTTCCGGTGAGCAGTGCCCTCACCCAAGACCCTCCAGCAGGGGGTGGCGCTGATGCCAGCCCAGCAGCTGTGACCCAACCCTTCCAAAAGGGACGGGGGCATATTTGGCGGCGTCTTACTCAGGTCTCCGTTCAGCGCCCACTCGTCCACCCGGGAAGAAGCCACAGCACGACCTGTCACTCACTTCCCTGCCACGCTGGAGGCGCCGACGAACTGAATCCCTTGGTGGTGTGCGGTCAGGGCTGATCGACCCCAGACCAGGCAGGGCCGAGACCCGGGCCCAGGACACACCGGGGGGCAGGTGCGGGGGTGCGGGGTCGCGGGGGATGGGGGCTGGGGGGAGGGAAGGGGACACGTCTCACTTGTGATGGTGGAGAAAAGGGTCCCCAGATGAGTTGTGCGGGGGGCAGACAGCAGGGAGGAGGGGGGAGGGTTCACGGGCAGGAGAGGGGGACCGCGGGCAGAGTCCAACTCGGCCATGCCTGTCCTCTGGGTCCGCCACCCCCCACCGCATCTCCGAGTCACTGCAAAGGGGAGAACGGTGAGCCCCAAGCCAGTCTGCCAGGCATCGAAGAGAACCCTGACTGCCCCCAGGAAGGAGACTCCGGGGACTCACTGTCCCCTCCTGCCCCCCACGCTGTGTCCACTCTACCTCGGTGACGATGGACGAGCCGGGCGTGTCATACTCCCAGCCGTGCATGCAGGGCCCCAGCGGCAGCTGGCTCCTGTTGGGGGCCAGGCCGGCCAGCGGGTCCACGCAGCCCAGGCTGCTGCGGTTCCAGTCCACGAGGAAACTGAGGCACTGGCGGGGGTAGGGATCCCCCGTGGGCCCCAGGCCCGGCACGGTGAAGTTGAGCACCTCGGCCGGGCTCCATCCACAGCGGGCGCTCAGCTCGGCCGCCCCGGGACTCCGGCAGTGGTGGTCGGGGGTGAAGCCCAGGAAGACGACGCCCACGTAGATGGGGGCGAAGGTGGCCGAGAGCAGAGACAGGGTCGTGAAGGCCTCTTTCTGGAAGCGGCCAAAGGCCCCCGCCTGCTCCAGGAGCTGGTCCAGGGAGGGCATCTCCGGGCAGCGGCCAGGCCAGACGCCGTCTGGATTCACACGGCCCACACATAGCACCGCTGGGAGCTGACCAGCTCAGCGACCTTTCCCCCCCAGGTGCTGACGCAGGGTGAGGAGGGCGGCACAGGGCTTCGCCGGGCGGGGGCCAACCCGGACAGGGACAGTGGGGCCCCAGCCTCTCCAGCGGTACACACTTCCCGCAAAGGTTCGCTGCGGGCGGGCGCACACCTGGGTGCCACCAGGGCCACGTCCTGGAGCTCACTGAGCCCCGCAGTGGCGGCTCCAACCCAGGACCTCAGCCACCCGGCCTGGGCCATGCTGCAGCGATCACACCACTGTCCCCAGGGTGCCCTGTGTCCCCTCTGACCCTGGCCCAGACGCCAGCACCTGAACGCTTCCAGACCCCACTTCTCGTCACATGGGGGCAGGAAAAGGGATCCAGAGGGGCTCAGAACAGAGAGAGGCCAAGGTTCAGGGGACAGGAGACCACGGGGGGGCAGCGGGGTCCGAGGTCAGAGCCACGACCAACAGCTTTGTCGGCTGACAGATGGCCCCGGGACGCCTCGCAGGGAGGAGTGCGGGTCACATACGGAGACCCCAAGTTCTATCCCCAACACCGCATGCCCTCACGCCCGTCGGCCGTGGCCGTGGTCCCCGCCCCACTGAGCACCGAGGGCTGAGCATAGCTCTGGAAGCATCTATAAGAGAAAATGAATTGGAAGTCAGTGTCCTCTCAGGAACTGCAGCTCACCTCACCCGGACACACACACACACACACACACATGCACACATGCATGTTCAATGTGCACACATGAATACATGCACACTTATACATGTGCATGCTCACATGTGCACACATTTACAGGCTCACACATGTGTATGCACACATGCACCCGCATAAATATACATGCACACACTCACATGTACACACACACACGCACACACACACACACACACACCGTGTGTCCCTCTGGATCTGAGGGCCTATTGGCCTGGATGCTGGCTGGGGTGAAGGCCCGTCCCCTGTGCGCAGAGAAGCCATGCGAGACTGGGTGCGGGCCCCCGACTCTGGCCGGAAGCCCTGGACACCAGCCCTCCGAGGCCAGGAGCCGAACTGTGGCTCCCCGCGCCCCCCAGGAATCTGCGATGGCTCCCCAGAAGCCTCTGCTGCGGGCCTGGGACCCAGACCCAGACCCCGCCACTCTGCGCCCAGCTTGCAGGCCTCAGCAGGGGGCAAGAAGCACAGTGCAGGCACTGTGTAGGGGAGAGACGTGCCCGCTGCCCTCATACTGCCCCCCCATGCTGCCCCCTGCACCTCTCCCAGACTGAGTGCATTTGCCAGGGGAAAACGTGGGGGGGAACCAAGGCAGCCAGCCCTGGGAAGGGACGCAGGACCCTGGGCTGCGGCTGGGCAGCGACTTGAAGGTGCTCAGACCCGAGCAAGTCCCCACGGGTGATGCACTGGCCCTGGGTGGGGGCCCAGGCTCACAGGGGTACCCCCTGATACTGAGTGTTCCTAGAAGCCTGACCCGAACAGACACCTGGACCCAGCACCTCATCCATCCCTGCATGAACTATGCCCCTGAACCCAGGCGCCCCGAGTGCCCTTACTGGGAGGTGGGGTGTGAGCAGGGACCCACGGGGAGCCGGACTCAGCAGCGTCTCAGCGAGGCCCACCCCGTCCCCGCCCCGCCAGGTGCTCTGGGGGCCACCAGCACCAGGGACCAACTCAGACCCTCCACATGCTGCCCATGTGCCCGACTCCTCAGCGGGAGCCTGGGACTCACCAGCCCACCAGCCGTGTCCCAAGGCCTTGGGGACACACACAAGAAGCCTCCTGCCAGCACAGGCAGGGCACTGGCGCCCACTACCAGCCTTGCCCTCGAGGCATGAGAAAGGGCATTTCTGTGTGCACCCCGGGTGGCCTTTGTCCAGGATCTCAGCAGATTACTGGGTCCCCGAAGGCCCTTGTCCTGTGCCCTGGCTGGAGCGGGGGGCTCAGCCTCTCTTCCAGGGGTCCCACGGTAGCCCCTGAGTGCAGACCCCACCCAGTTGACCCCCTCCACGCCCAGCCTTGCCTCCCAGGACACTGCAGGGGGTGCTGGACTGTGAGAACCCGACCCCTGGGTGGGGGCAGTGAGGAGATAAGGGGGCACAGGCAAGGGCTAAGTACACAGCACCCAGGGCAGCACCAGGGAGCCCCACAACCAGCTCACACAGCTTCGTGGTGCTGAGGACAGGCAGGCAGCTGATGGCCAGTACAGCAGCTGCCCCGAGCGTTGGCGGAGGGGATGCGGCACCCCTATAACCCGGGGTGGCCCCAGAGTGCCAGTCACGACAGAGCCAGAGGGGACCTTAGGTATCGAGGTTGCCATGGATCTTTCCAGATGGAAACTACAGAAATGGCAATAATGCCCACCGTGACTGGGATCGGGCCCTTTGTCTGAGCACTGGGGACCCCTGGGTCCCTGCTGGCACTAGGCCGTGGGCACCTCCAGTTCGCGAGCTCCATCTGGACTCTGGGGAACAAGGCCCTGGGGACATTGTCACTTGCTGTCCCATTGTCAGTGGGTGTGACCCGGCTTGCCCCAGGGCTGTGCCCACTGTCGCCCACAGTACCAGGCTCCACTTGGTGCTCTGGGCAATGCCCAGGGTGTCGGGAGCCAGCACTGCCCTGGCTGAAAGCAGGCGAGAGCTCAGCTCAGTGCTGCCAGGGAAACGGAAGACAGCCCCGCCAATCCTCATCCACCCGCTTCCACTGGAATCCTGTGCAACCTGGTTGAAACAGGAAACTGTGGAAGAGGTACTGGGTGCCGAGAGGGCCCGGGACGTGCCCCAGCTTCTGCGCCAGGAACTATGCGATCCTTGAGGGCTGAACCGGCGTTAATGAGGAATTGGGAGAGACCTCCAGGCCAAGTGCCCGAGGCTTACACCAGGACCTGGACAGACACACACAGACACACACATGTACACACACACAAACACACTGACACACACACAGAGACACAGATACACACACATAGACACACATAGACACACAGAACCAGAAAAGCATACAGACAGACCCACAAACACAGATACATACAGACACACAGAGATATACACACAAAACACACAGACACAGACACACACATATAGACACACACATAGACACACAGAGATGCACAGAGACACACAGACACAAACACAGACACACACACAGACACATCGACAGACACACAAACACAGACATACACACACCACACAAACATATAGACAGAGAGCACACACTCATACAGACGCACACAGATACACACATATACACAGACACAAACACATACACAGACACACAGCACAGATACACACACAGACACACAAAAACACATAGACACACAGACACAGACGCACACACATAGACACAGAGACACACAAACACAGATGCACACAGACAGACCCACAGACACATAGACACAGACACACAGAGACATACACACAAAACACAGACACATAGAGACACACAGACACACAGAGATGCACAAAGACAGACACACTGCCACACACAGACACATCGACAGAGACACACAAAGATACACACGACAGACATATAGACACACAGAGAGCACATAGACACACATACAGACGCACACACAAATACACACACAGCAGACACACACACACATACAGACACAGACACACACACACACACACACACACGCGCGCGCGCGCACGCGTAACTCAGTCTGAAGCAACGCACTTTCCCAGGCCACCGTGAGCACAGTGGGTGGAGTCGAGAGCTTGCTGGTGCCCACAAGCGGCGATGGCCTTGGTGGGCACCTCCCCCCCGTCCCGTCCCACCTCATCCCCATCAGCAGAGAACAGTGATCGGGGCTGGGCAGGACCTAGGGCAGTCAGTCAAGGTGACGCATCGGAGCCCGCCCGCATTTCAAATAGGCGGACGACAGGGGGCTGGGGCTGGGGCGAGTGTGATGTCCTCCCGTCTCAAGGTGCGCTGCTCGGTGCTCAGTGACCCGCGCTCTCGCCCACCCGCCGCCCAGCCCTGGGCCCGCGAGTGTGATGTCCTCATGCTGCTTGGTGCTCCCCGGCTCTCGATGGGAATTCCCACCATGGCCAGGAAAGGGCAGCAAGGCTACGTGCCAAGGGGCTCTGACACCAGGCGCTGTCAGACGGGCACAGCGGCCGGACCCATGCACTACCTTCCAGAGAGCACGTCAGAATACTCTAGAACTCTGCGTCAGCTTAGTTTGCCTATTTTTTTTCTGCCTGGCATCCCTGACCGTAACTCATGTACACAGTTGTTCACTTTCACGCAATTATCATTTTACACGTAAAAAACAGCTGGCAAGGGCCCTTGCTGATTTCCTTTTTTAGGTTTCAGGGTCGAGATAAGGAGAGCAGAGGCAAAGCAACTGCGCATGACATGCACACATGTGTACAAGCATGTATGTATCACTGGGCTGTGTTCTGAGTACTCGAGGCCTGAAGACCAAGTGCCCAGAATGGAGCCGCCCCGGGAGCACCCAGAGAGCCGCATAGGAGAAAGTGTCTGATGGGATGCGGCGACGGGCTGAAGGGCATCGACTTTCTGCTCTTACTCCAGAAAGCTCTAGCGCCCAGGCAGGCTGCATACCCAGGGCACTGGGCGTCCTGGGGACTTAGGGCAGCCCCAACACAGGGCCCGAGGCTTTGGGAGACGCTCGTGTTCATGGGACCCGTCAAACAGGGGCCCGCCCAGCCCCCCACCCCCGCCCCCGTGCTGCGCCGCCCGGCGGGGAACAAAATGCACACCGAATCTATAATTTATTTATTTTTTATTGAAATTGTTGAATACTTCATAATACAGTAAATTTGATTGGAAAAAAAATGAGGAAAGAAATCAATTTTTAAAAATACACTCATGTTGAAAATCGAGTATGCTGAACCGAGCGCGAACCCGGGTATCTGTAGGAGGGTCGCGACTCAGGTCTATGTACAAGTCTATAATGCGAGAAGGAACCACCGCCGCCGGGTGGGCAGGACCTCGGTCCCACCTCCCTGCACGGCTGTGCCCGGCCCGCCCCCTGCCCCCCCCATAGGGCGTGGGGACCGAGTCCGGGGCGCGGGTGGCCCACCTGCGGCCACAGCGCCTGTACGCGCGCGCTGTGCAAATTAAGGCTTCTTATAGGTCACGCGGTTGATAAACACAGTAAAAGTTGGTATGGCGAGAAGCATGAGAGAGAGCACCTGGTTCCAGGGCCGGCGTAGGCGCCGCCAGGACGGGACTCACCTCCGTTCTCTGATACACACAGATTAAAAAAAATTCAAAAAACGATAAAAGAGGAACAATAACAATCAAAAAAAAAAAAGACTCAATCTTTGGGTGGATCGTATGAGTTCACCGCCTGGTGAGGAAATACTGATACATGTGCTCTGGGCACGTAGGGTCGGAAGAGGTCATGCAAAAGGCGCAGCCGTTAACTCACTAAAGGCAAGGAGCAGGTGAGCCCTGGCCCCCCCACGCCCCCCCGCGGGGCCTGAGCCATGGGCGGGACCAGGTGCGGCAGGCCGCGCGCTCCCTGCGAAAGAAAGCGAAAGAGGAAAAAAAAAAAGAGACAGAACCGAGTATTCTAACTTAGAGGCTACATTATTGACCAGGTCCGAACTTCATATGCTCGTCGGAATCCATCCTGGCAACCCCAGCTCCCTCTCCTGCCCGTGGACGAACGGTACCTCCCCCTGCTGCTGTAGGCAGAGCCTGGTGTGTCTGTGCGTGCGTCTGTCTGTGTGTGTGTGTGTGTGCGCGCGTGCACGTCGTGTATGTCTGGGTGTATGTCTGGGTGTGTGTATGTCTGGGTGTGTGTGTGTGCACGTGTGTGTAGGTGTGTGTGCACGCGTCGTTTGTGTGCATGTGCGTTTCCTTTTCTGCAGACCTGAGTAATTGACAACGTCGGTTGGCGGGAGGGCGGGAAACGCGGCCACTTTCGAGGTCAGAGGCCGCCAAGCAAGAGGCCGTCGAAGGGCCTTGGCTCTGAGGGCAGCCCCCAGCCGGGGGCGATGCCTCACCTGATGGTCACGCTCGGGGCGCACCCGAGCGGCATTGGCCTCCCCCTGTCCCCTCCCCGCACGAAAGCTCTTCCCTTTGGAGACGGTTTCTGTTAAAGGCAAAAAACTGATGGGCGTCGCGGTGAAAGTCTTATTTGGTTGGAGGTGCCTGGCGCGGGGTGGCGAGGCCGGCCGGCCGGGCGGAGGCGCGGGGCTTAGATGTGCAGGAGATCTTCGTCGCTGTCGTCGTGGAAGGCGGCGGCCGGGTGGGCGCTGCGGGGCCGGGCCCGGCGCACCCGCTCGCCCTGCACCAGGCCCAGGCGGTCGGACGCCGGCACCGGGCGGGGTGGCATGGCCTCGGCGCCGGCCGCGGGCCCGCGGACCACCGCATGCACCTTCACCTCAGGGATGGTCAGCACCTCGTCCTCGCTGTCCTGGTCGTCCCCGCGCAGGGAGGAGAGCGCCGCGGCCGTCACGGGCTTGGCGGTGATGTGGCCATTCTCCGGGGCGTCGCGGGCGGGCTGGGGGGTGGTCACCTGGATCTCTTCCATCAGCCATTCGGTCTCGTTCTCGTCGGCCTCCTCCTCCTTGTTCACCTGCACGGCCCGAAGTCGACCCCATGGGAGCCTCCCCTGCGCCCAGGCGCCCCCTCCACCCGCACAACCCCCACCCCCCCACTCCAGCCCCGTCAGCCCCATGCTCACGGGCCGCCCCCCCAACCACACCGCCCAGCCGTGGCCGCAGGGGCGGGCAGGCTCCCAGCTCAGGCCGCATGGAAAGTTCTAGAAACAGTCCAGACCGGCCCAGCCACACGGCTCTGCCCGCGTCAGGCCGGGCACCATGCTGCCTCCACTCGGGCCGAGGGCCACCACGCGGACGCAGAAGCCCCTGACATGCCCAACGTTCCCAGGCCAGGTGGCACCGCCCACGGGGAGCCCAGAGGCGGTTAAAAACTCCAAACGACGGCAACCGAGACGGGAGGGAAAAAAACTGAAACCCCAAACGCAAAAGGCGCGGCAGGAGGAGAGGCCAGGCCCCTCTGTCTGCACGACTCGCTCCCGGCGGCGTCTTCTGCCCCACGGCCCCGTGACACGCCAACAGCGACAGAGCCCTACCTGGGGGACGGGAGGCGGCCACCCCGAGGCGTCGGCGCCGAGCTTTACCTTGGAGTATTTGTAGGACACGTTTGTGCTTCTCCGGCAGCAGGCCGCCAGCTTGCTGATCACCGTTTCCCTACAGGGGGAATCCCGTTACCCGGCGTGGCGGCGCGGGGCACCCAGGCACCCGCGCCCCACGACCACGCAGACCCCACGCGGCCGCGAGCCACTTCCAGGAGGGCCTGGCTGGCGGCTCGGGGACAGCAGCCAGCAGGGGGGTCTCCGTTGGGCGCTACTCACCACCAGTCCGCGGGGAAAGAAGTGGGCCTGGCAGGGCCGGGGAGCTAAGGGGACCCCCGGGGCGGGGATGGCCCCTGGCTCTGTCTGCCTCCCCCAGGCACTGGGCCTGCCACAGCCACGCGGGAGATGGCAAGGGCACGGCGGGGGCAGCTGGTGCTGGGGCACTCAGACTCGTGTTCATGGGACCGAACATGGCCAGACTCACACGAGGGGATGGGGCCTGGGCAGCAAGTGCCCATAGGTGTGTGGGAGGGGCCCGGGCGGGCATGCAAGTAGGTGCCCATATGTGTGGGACAGGCTCGGGCGGGCACACAGATGCCCATAGATGCATGGGAGGGGCCCAGGCGGACACAGAGGTGCCCATAGGTGTGCGGGAGGGGTCCGGGCGGGCACGCAGGTAGGTGCCCATATGTGTGGGACAGGCTCGGGCGGGCATACAGGTGCCCATAGATGTATGGGAGGGGCCCGACGGGCACACAGGTGCCCACACTGCATGGGACGGGTCCACAGGCGCTGGCCAGCATGCACTTCTGCCCGGGCGGGCATGGGTAACTGGACTCTGTCCATCTGAGGGGCAGCAGGGGCAGAAGGGCTAGACCTGGGCGGCCGCCCCCGGCCCGTCAGGCCACTGTGGAAACACAGACGCCAACACGGGGGCCGCAGGGAGCTGGAATAAAGGGGCCGGGCACAGGGGCCCAGCAGAGGGGGAAGCCGGGCAGAGACGGGGCCCGGGTCAGGCCCGCCCGGGGTGCGGGGTGCAGGCCCGAGGCTCCACTCTCACCGGCGCTCCTTCTTGTAGAGCAGCAGGCCCAGCAGGCAGGCGGTGAGCGCCACGAGCAGCAGGCTGAGCACGGCGCCCACGGCCTGGCTGCGCTCCGACAGCCCCCGGCGCTGCGGCTCCTCCCCTGCCGCGCTGCCGTCGATGGCGCCCCTGGAAGGCAGCAGAGCGGGCGAGTGAGCCGTGGCTCCCCAAGCGGGTGGGAGGGGGTGGGGGCAGCGGGAGCCCAGGAAGGGGCCGCCCCCAGGGCCCTAGAAGGGCGCGTAGAGCCGCAGCACGTCCCCGACGGGGCAGGTTCTAGCTTTCCGGCTCTGCGCTCAGGGGCCACTCCTGGCAGTGCCCGGGGGACCCCTATGGGACGCCGGGGACTGAACCTGGGTCGGCCACATGCGAGGCCAATGCCCTGCCCGCTGCACTATTGCTCCAGCCAGAGGGGCTTCTAGTTTTCAGCCCCGCACGCGGCCGACAGTGCAAGGGGGTGCAGGTAACCCGGGAGCACAGAGAGCCCCGAGGCCGAACCCGGCACTTCCTGGACTCCTGCTCATTTCCCGGGCGCCCGGGAACACCCCCAGAACACCACCCCCAGAGCACTGGTGAACGAGTCGGGGGATCTGGACTGAAAGCCGAGCCTGGTGCCCAGCAAAGCACCAGGCACGGCAGGCCTACACATCACAGATGACCTGGTCCTAGCCAAGGTCATAGCCTGGGTCTGGGAAGCACCCCCGCAGCTGGTCAAGGGCCGCCATGGCCATGCATGGCCCTCACGCACTACACCCAAGACTCTGAGACGACTCCCACAGTGGGACAGAAAAAAGCGTTAGAGCGAGCCACTCACCCTAGGGGGCACACGGCAGAGGTGTACCAGGAGAAGAGGTACTGGCAATCGGCAGTCTCGTGGCTGAACTCGGGGGTCCCCTCCTTCACCAGGGGGTCACAGTGGAAGAAGATGGTGGAGGAGACAGACTTGCTCCGGTCTTTGCCGCACTTGGAGTTGGAGGTAAACACAGCATCGAGATCGCCATCTGTGGAGAAGGGGACGGGGCTCAGGACACACCCACCACTCCCCCAAGCCTGGGGTCCAGTCCCACACCCCAGGAAGTCAGCACGGACTGACCCCTGGTGAGACATTCCCAGTGTGAGCGTGCGGGAGAGAAGGAAGACCAGCCCAGATGGGGCCTGGTCTCTGCCCCGGCTGGTAATGCGATCCGGAAGGAGAGTGAGCTGCCTGGGATTGACCCACAGGAGACCAAGACTGACCACATCCACAGCCAAGCAGGCAGACGACCAGCCAAGCTATGATCTGATGGACCAATCAATCAACCAAGCCATCAGCTGATGAGCCAATCAATCAACAAACCCATCAGTCTGAACCAGTCAATCAATCCACCCATCAGCTGATGAGCAAACCAACCAACCAGCTGATGCACTGATTAACCCATCACCAACCAATCAACTGAAGAGCAATCAGCCCACTGAGGCATCACTCATCAACTGCACCGCCCAGCCAGCCTGCATAATGGCACCCAGTGACCCCACGGCCCGGGGTGCAGGAGAGCTCCCCGGTCACGGCTCTGTGTGGTCGCTAACTGTGGCCAGGACCATCATGTGACCTGGTTCCACAGACAAGGGCCAAGGTGGCTGCTGCCCCTTCCAGGCTCTGGCACTCGGCACTGCAGGTTCCGCAAGCTCATGCCTCAGGGTCAGGGCAGGGACTCACCGCACCCTTCACTGCCAGGGTGCCACAGAGTTGGGGAGAGGCCTGTGCTCTCACGTGCACCGGCCATGGCTACAGCCACGCAAGGATGTGGCACCTTTGTGGGAGCCAACGGCAGCTCCGCGCTCAGCCCCAGGCGGGCCCCAGCTTTCTGGTCCCGGCTATCCAGGGAAGGAAAGGCCCCAGGAACCTCAGAGAAAGCTGGAACAGCATCTCTGAAGGGAACTGACCACTGGGGCTGGTGAGTGAAGGGGCCTCGGGGACATGATGGAGCAGAGTAAGATCTGTCCACTGTGCGCATGCACCAACACACACACTAGGTCAGACATGCACACACACGCCAACACACACTCACACTACAACAGACGTGCCCTCACATACCAACACACACACAACAGACATGCACTCACACGCCAACAAACACTAGCAGACATGCACATTCCAACGCACACACACATACACACTCGCCCCACACACACTCACAGATGTAGACTTACATCAACGTGTGCACACGCTCAACTCCCACACACACTGGCACACAATCACCCACCACCCACACAACACACACGCGCACACTAAACCTGACAAGCGTCTGGTTGGCCGTGGACGGCACTGGCAGAACCTGGGTACGAGTGGGCCGTGCTTGTCCGAGGAGGAACCCCAGGGCTAGGTTCTCGGGGAGCAGTGGGTGTCAGTGGCTCCCAGGACTGGCCTAAGCCCAGCGTCACCACGTCCAGAAGGGGACAGGAAAGGCCCGAGCACTTGGGGCTGCCCTGGCCACGTCTGCCCGACAGCAGCGGCCTCACCCTGCCAGCCCACAGGCGGCAGGTGTGTGTGGCTCCACGGGCCGTGGGGCTGCATCTCCTCCCACATACACTCCGCTTTTTGTGTAAATGACACATTTTTTTCTCACAACGTCAAGGCCTTGTCCACGGGCAGCATTTGCCGAGCGAGTGGTTTAAAATCGAAGCACGCCAGCTCAGGTAGGACTGGAGGTGCCCATCTGAGCCAGGAGACCCCACGGGCCAGCACGGGCCCAGGCCGTCCTCCACTAGAGGCCCAGCCGGCAGTGCTCGGGGCTGCTCCTGGCACAGTGCTCATGGAACATGTGGTGCCAGAGAGCACACAGGTCCCCCTAGGCTCAAGGTCAGTTCCTTGGGTGTCCCGGTGGATTGGTGCACCCACCCATTCCGGGCACGATCCCCCGCCCCCCGCCGGCCCAGAGAAGGTTGGGGAGAAGCCGGGGGCCGTGAAGTACACAGGCACCTTGGAGGTAGTACTTGGTGTTGGCGGGCAGCCCCACTTTGCGGCTGAAGCGCTTCTCGCCCAGCTTCAACTGGCACACGCTGGCCCCCACACAGTCAGGGCTGGAGGAGTTCTGGATGGTGGACAGCTGGATCTCGTACAGGTACTTGTCCCCGTTGGGCCGGATGTCGCCAGAGGCACTGAAGGGCCTGCAGGGTGGGAGGGAAGGGGGGCTCAGTCCTGCACCCCAAGGATGGCCTTGGTTCCTCAGACCCCGCATCCCCCCACTGCCCAGGTGGCCGCTGAGATGGGCCTTCCCGGGGCCGCCACGCCACCACGGCACAGGTCTGGGGGCTTCCAGCCCAGGGGAGGGCCGGGGGAAGGGGGGAGGAGGCAGCGCCCCGGCGCTCACTTGAAGTAGATGTCCTCAAGGCTGACAGTCTTGCCAGTGCTCGGGTGGGTCAGGGTCCCATTGGTCATGGTCACCTCCCGCGGCTTCACGGCGCAGGCCGCACGCGAGTCCCAACTGAAGTGGTAGGTGCAGTTATCCGCGTCGAACCTGTGGGGGAGAGGATGGGGAACCCCTCAGCGGCCACCGCCTACGCCACCACCGGCCAGAGACGTGGCTGCAAAGCCAGGGCTGGCCCGGTGCCCTGTGGACCCCCACTGAGGCCCTTTCACTCCACGATGTCCACTCAGCCCGTGGCCGCTATGGCTGTGCACAGCAAGAGACCCCGGGACACTCAGTACCCGCCCATTCCACGCACGGCCTACCCCCCCCCACCGGCCCCCCGGGATGCCCCAACCCCCAACTCTCACCTCTTAAAGGCCGGCTTGCCCACTGTGCCCGCACAGGCCAGCTCGATGACGGTGGACGCCGTCCTGTTCTCACCACACGGGTGACCCCGCGAGTAAGTCACCATGATCTTGTCGTCTGAAAGCAGCGAGGACGCCGCCCATGTCACGGGCAGCCCCGCAGCCCCTGATCACACGCAGAGAACCGGGTGCCCCAGCGAAGGCGTGACCCCAGAACCCCAACCGGGAGAAGCATCTGCCAAACGTAGGGCAGCCCGCCTGGCATCCCGCCCCCGGCCCGGGCCTCACCCACGACGTCCAGCCTCTGGGTGTGAATGAGCCCCAGGACCTCTACGCGCCCCACGGGGGTCTTCCTGCACACACTGGCCCGCTCCGAGCAGCCCGGGGGGCCCCGGAACACCTCGCGGCACAGGTTGACGTAGTATCTGGGAGAGAGTGGGCACGGGCGGCGGTCAGGCTGGTCACAGGGCAGCACCCCCCTCCCCCGACCCCAAGGACCCAGGCAGGGCAGCCAAAACAGACTTTCAGGGAGAGCAGGGCCCGAGTGTGGCGGCTGGCGGAGGGGGCAGCGCGGACCGCGCCCCATGGCAGCGCCCCAGGGCTGGCACCACAGGACCTGGCCCCAAGCCCTGGACGCCGCCGCTCGGGCCAACGGCGGGCACTGGGCACGCGGACGCGGGACTCACGCGGTGCCCTCGTAGTTGAAGAGCCAGGAGCCGGTGAGCGAGGACAGCGGGCGCAGGTCGTAGGTGTGGTGCTGCAGCGCGAACTGGCACTCCATCTTGCGCGGCGGGCACACCACCTTGGTCTTCCACTCGAACGTCACCTCGCAGCCACGCGTCTCGCTCATTACCTGCGGCCGCCCGATGTCCTCGTCCTCGTCGCACTTGAAGATGATGGCCGACGTGCGGTGGCTGGTGACTGGGGGGGGGGGGGGGGGGGGGGGGTGTCAGTGTGGGCCACACAGACAGCCAGGACCGCCCCCCCAGCCCCGGGCAGTCCCTCCCAGCCCACTCACGGTGTCTGCAGAAGCCCCATTCGCGGTCGCGGTCGTAGTTGGCGGTGGTGGCGCACCAGAGCTTGGCCCGGCCCTCCACCACGCACTGGTCGTAGCTCTTCCCGTTGAAGATGAAGGGGAACACACACGGCTCCCCGTCTTCCGTCTCTGCGGGCGGAGGGCGCAGTCACGTGACCCCGGCGCCCAGGGCCCCCCCCGCCCCCGCCACCCCGATATCGGGCACCGCTGCCAGGCGGTCCCCCGCAGCCCCGCGCAGCATGCTACCTGGGGGGCAGGTGTCCCCGTTGACGTAGCTCAGAATGACCGCCTCGTCCTGGTGCCGGTAGTCCAGCCGCATGGACGCCAGGCGCCCGAAGGACGCGCCCTTGTTCCCCGAGAGCAGGCACACACCGCCATCCTTGCAGCCCCCCTGCTCGGGGCCAGCCGCTGCCGTGCACACCCCCACGCTGTACGTGCGCGAGTCCCGCGTCACCTGCAGGGACACCTGCGTCACTGGCTGGCTGGGGGTCCCCTGGGCGCCTCTGCACCCTTCCCCGCCTCAGCTCCTGCGCCCCCTCCTGGTGGCAGCACATACTGCAGCGTCCAGGGGACTTCAGCAGCCCAGGAGTCAAGCCCCACCTGTATCTTGGTCCCCCGGGCCGCCCAGCGGGTAGCCCAGGAGAGGTGAGGAGGGGGCGGCCAGCGGGCACTGGAGGACTCCGGACACCACCATGGCCCCTCCCTGTGCTGCAGGGTTCATGCCCTGCACCTATCAGGAGCTGGGATGGGCTCTCCCAGCTGTGCCCATGAGCCCCAGTCAGTGGACATAGCCCTGGGGGCTCTGGGGGCTTCTGTCCAGCTCTGACCTCAAGACACCTCACCCGTCCAAAGTGCTGAGAGCCAGGGGCACAGCGCGGGTGACCCCAGAAACAGGGAACACGACCCCCCAGCATGGTGCAGGGGTGCCCCCTGGTGGCCTCCCAGCACAGTGCAGCAGCGGCCCCTGGTGGCCCCCTAGTGCAGTGCAGCAGTGTCCCTGGTGGCCCCCAGCACAGTATATAGCACCACCCCCTGGTGGCCTCCCAGCACAGTGCAGCAGCGCCACTGGTGGTCGCACACGGGCACACACCTTGAAGATGTTCTTGGACAGGCTGCTCAGGTTGAAGCTGTAGAAGAGCTGCTCGTCCGTCAGGGCACAGCCATCTGTCCTCACCTCGTCGGGGCATACCAGCGGCGTGTCCCACTGGAACACGAAGTCGCAGTCGCTGTTTCTCAGCAGCTTTGGGGTGCCCTGCGGAAGGAACACGGAGGTCTGGGCGGGCGTCTCCCGCTCCGCTCCCAGGCTCTCAGGAGCCACCAGGAGCTCCAGGCAACGTCCAGGGGGGCACCCAACACCATCCTCCAGCTCGTCGGTGGTCCCTTCCCGGCTGGGAAGGAGCCGGCTACAGTACAGCAGGGCACCACCCTGACAGGCGACGTGGGGCAGGAAGCCACGTCCTGCGGTGGCTGTGAGACTCTGGGACGCTGAGTCCCACAGTGCCAGGTAGACGGGCCCGCAGTAAGGAGGGTAGCAGCAGGGCAGCCGGAGCCCCTGGCAGGGCAGGGCCAGGCCCCAGCCCACCCACCCCCACCCCAGCAGGGCAGCTGCCTGGTGGTCCCCGAGTTCTACGAGCCAAGGAAAAGCGCTTCCCCCAAAGCCAGAAAAGGCCAAGCCAAGTGTCTGCCCACCTGCGTGTCTGCCTGACTTAACCTGACCACACCAGGGCCACCAGAGCCCGTCATGCGCTCCAGTCATGGGCTTACCAGAGAAGCCTTTAAAGGAACTTTCTGGAAAAGAAGCCACGTACAGACCAAGTCCCGGGGCCGATCAGCGACTGTGTGAGTGTGCAGACGGAGGGCGGGGCAGATACAGCACCCCTTCTGGCTGGAGCACACCGGGGCTCTGTCACCCTCATCACACTCTGTCACGTTGGGCCAGCAGCTGCCGGCCCACCCTTGAGGGCAGGGATCGCAGAGGGCCGGCGGCACTACGTTTTCTCTCCCTCCCATTCGGCACTCACCCCCACAGGCACCCCTGACCGCAGCAGGACACCCTGTTTCAGCTCCCAGTGGGCGCCACGACCACTTACCATGCTCACACCCCGCTTACAGTGGAAGGCGATGAGGGAGGTGTAGTTGGAGGAGGGGTCCGCGGCACAGGGCGTGCTGCTCTCGAAGTTCAGGTAGACCTCGTTGGCTATGGGGTTGAGGATTGGGGGGCCTGTGACACGGCCGATATCCTGAAAGACAGGCAAAAAGCCAACGGCGTTTTGGGGACAGACTGCTCCTGAGGACAGACAGCAGGGCTCGGGAGCTCCGAAGGGGAGCAGCAGCAGCTACGGAAACGGGGTCGCCTGAGCACAGACACGAATGCCATGCACACGCACACACACGCGCACACACGCGCGCGCGCGCGCACACTCACACACAGACACAAGCACACAGCAGCTTGTACGTCAACAGTGAGCAGCTCTAAGCCTTCTGAAAAGGGACAAAGTTCTATTTCAAACACAAAGCCCGGAACTCAGAGCACCACAAATTTCTCTCCAATCGTGTCGAGAAGGTTCTAGGGTCTTCCTCTCAGCTGGGCCCATGTGACATGCCCTGTCAGCCCTAGTCTCGGCCCAGGACATGAACTCTCATTCAAGAACTCAGCAGACGAGGGTGGGAACGCGGCAGCACGGACACTCACGATGGGGTCACCGTCCACGGGCACTTTGCAGATGGCGGAGCCGGCGGGACACGCCACGCGGTGCATGGGATTGAGCGGCTGGCAGATGTTGATGTAGAAGTCGGGGTACCCCTCGGAGTGCTCCTCATCCTCGCTTTCATCGTACGCCTCGTAGCCCCCGGTGCGGTGGATGAGGGGGGTCAGGTCGATGATGGAGCTGCCGTTCCGCACGAAACACTCGGTCTGCGGAAAGCAGGAGTCTGTGGGGAGCGGCTCCCGGGCCCGCGGGCTCCCCGAACAGCGGGTGACGGGGGGCCCGGCAGGGGCTCCCACGGCTGAGCACAGGCACTGTACGTGCAGCTCCAGGACTCGCCCCCGTGACCATCATCAAGGAAAGGCAGCGAGGGCGGCTGCGCATCCCCGGACGCTCCCAGCATGCAGGTGGCCAAGGTCGGCAGGACGCGGAGACTCGGGGTCTCGCCAGGTGAGGCCGGGCCGACTCACCACCTGCTCGCAGGCCAGGGGCGTATGCCAAGAGAAGAAGAGCGTGCACGTCTGCTTGTCCAGCGAGATGAGCATGGGCCGGTTGGTGGGCCCCGCCTCGGGCCGGCACACGAAGCTGATGATGCTCTTGTAGGTCTGGCCTGTCTTGGACGGGCACGGGGAGCCGCCCTCGTACGTCAACTGCAGCACCTGGTCTGAGTAGGTCAGCCGCTGGTTGGCCTTGCCCACGCTGATCCGGGTCTGCCCAAAGCAGGCGCCTGTGGCATGTGGAGGGGACGGGGACCGTGGTTAGGGCACCAGCCACCCAGCGACTCGTGGCCCAGAACTTTCTGGAGCACCAGCCTTGCAAAAAAGAGGCGCGCTGTGTGTGTGTGTGTGTGTGTGTGTGTGTGTGTGTGTGTGTGTGTGTGTTCTCTCCACCATACATGTCCACATCTGCCCCAGCCCACCCAGGCCCTGCCCACTTTCCCTGTCACAGACCACAGCCAGCTGGGACAGGCTGGGACTGACTGGGACAGGCTGAGACCAGAACGGGTTGAGGTTGGCTAGGACCAGCAAAGAGACTCGTTGGGACTGGCTGAGACACTAGCTGATACTAACCAGTACTGGCTAAGACTAGCTGGAACTGGCTGAGACTAGCTGAGAATAGCTGGGACCGGCAGGGACTAGCTGGGGCGAGTTTAGACCAGTTGGGATCGGCTGAGAGCAAGTGAAAGCGACCAAAACCGGCTGGTAATGCTTGAGATTAGCGGAGACTAGCTGGGACCAGTTGAGGCTAGCTGGGACCGGCTGAGACCAGCTGGGTGTGTGGGTTCCGGGTAGCACTCACCCACGCCGGGGGCGCAGTTCTCGTTCTCCCCACAGATGCTGAGATACACGAGCCCCTTCTCGCTGTAGGCAGCCGTGTGGCCCGCTTTCCCGCTGAGGGAGGTCAGGTCAAATAGATGTCCTGTGGAGACAGACTGGGTGACTCCAGGGCGACACGTGTCGCACGGGAACGTGGCCACCATCGAGGCCTCACGCAGCCTCTTGACCATGCACGCGGGTCACAGCACCAGAGTGGCCGGCTGGGTGCAGGTTGAGTGTCCCCACAAGAATGGCCACAGTGCCCCCAGGCCCAGAAGGCTCCTGTCCCATTGGAGGACCCACGTGAATGCAGGAGAATGTGTCACCAATGCCACCACCAGTCAGAGCAGCAGGACAGCACAGAAATGGGCGTCACCACCAGCCTGGGGAGGCCAAGTGTCTCCTACAGGGACAGCCTGGCCAGGCCAGTGTGAGAGGTCAGCGCCCGCACTGTGGGGCCAGGGTGGCTGTGTCCCCGAGAGTGTGTCAGGCGTCACTGACAGTCGGTTGGAGTCTCTGTGGGTGTTGGTTGTCATGGGTGTTGTCAGGTGTCAGCATGAGTGTGCAGGGCGTCGCTATGGGTGATTTCAGTGTCACCTGTCACCTTGGTTGTGTCGGTGAGTCTCTGTGGGTCCTGTGGATAAGTCAGGTATCACTGTGTGTGTGTCCTCATGGCGTCAGTGTCACCTGGGTGTGTGTGTCCTGTGGGCAGGTTGGGTGTCACCCGGGTGTGTATCCCTGTGGGCCTGTCAGGGTTACCAAGTGTGTGTGTTCCGTAGACGTGTCAGGTATCACTGTCTGTGTGTGTGTGTGTGTCGGGGTCATCTGGTGTATCCAGTGGACATGTCAACTATCAACCTCTGCTTGAGTGTGTGTGTAGGTGTCCCATGGGCATGTCAGGTATCACCGTGTGTGTGTGTCAGAGAGTCTCCCCGTGGGCATGGCACAGCACAGGTCGGCCGTGCGGCTCACCTGTGATGGGGTTGGAGACCTGGCAGTTGTCGTGCACGTTGCTCCTGACGGGGCAGGCGACGGGCGTGGGCCAGGAGAAGGTGTACTCGCAGTCCTCCACGGCGCTGATGAACAGGGGCCTGGAGCTCTGCAAGCAGAGGCGTGTGGCTGCAGCCCCAGGTCCCCAACGCCCCCGGGGAAGGTGAGGGCTGGACACGCCTAGAGCTGGGGCGGGACCAGCAGGGTCTGCCCACGAACGGGCAGGGAGAAGGTTCTGGAGACAAACAGACTAGACCCGGGGCTGGGAGACAGAGTGTTGGGGGTCCCCCTCCCCCCTGCCGGGAGCACCTCTGGGCACACCCCTGGGTCCCGGCAGCTGCACAGTGGCAGGAGATGCTGGGGAGTGGCGGCTCCAGCCTGGCACTGCCCTGAACGGATCCGGACCCCTGAAACTACTCAGACCAGGGGTGGAGGGGGGAGGGGGAGGACCCCTGGCATTCAGGAGCTCAGAGCAGCCCAGAGGCTGGGGGAAGGTGCTACGTGGACCCAGGCAGAGGGCGCTCACCACGGGGCCATTGGTGCAAGTGAAGCGGATGATGGTGGACTTCTTCCGGATCTTGTCTGGACACAGGTCGCCGTCCACGTACTTGATGATCGTGGCGCCATTGTCCCACTGTGGCCCGTCCCGCACCCGGCCCAGGTTCACGGGCCGCGAGTCGCTGATGAGGCAGGCGGCGGCTTCAGGTGGGCAGGGCTCTGCAGAGGAAGGGTTGAGCAGCTGCTCAGAGCAGCTGTGGACGGGGGTCACCCCAGACCCGGGCCCTTCCTGAGCCCCCGACAGACCCAAGACCGTGCATTAAGCCCATTTCCACGAGCCGGCATTTGTGCAGGGGTGGAGTTGGAAGATTCCAGAAGCCAGTTTCTGGCCCACTGTGCACTTGCTCAGGCAGTCTGGACCAGCTGGGTGGCCACGGGCACCCCACAGGGAGGAGAACCCCAACTGTAGGTGGCTGAGGACAAAACTTGTCTCTGTAGGGGCCGCACTAAGAGTCCAGCGGACAGGGCATTTGCCTTGCACGATGCCGACCTAGGTTCGATCCCCGTATGGTTCCCCGAGCACCGCCAGGATTAATTCCTGAGTGTAGAGGCAGGAGGAACCCCTGAGCATCGCTGGGTGTAACCCAAAATGAAAAAAATAAAAATAAAAAGTTGTCTCTGCATCTGCAGCCGAAAGCCAGAACCCTAAAGCCACCCCGCCGGCACATGGGGGAGGGGGGTGCTGCTTGGAAGGCCACCAGAACCCAAGGCTTCCTCCCACGGCCTGGGGCCAGAGCAGGGGTCCCCGCCCGCCCGGGCACCCGCACCAGAGCCGGCCTGTGGAGACAGGGACTTGCAGACGTTGATGAGGTAGTGCTCGGTGGAGCCCGTCCCCGTCACGGCCTCCCAGTTGTCGCTGTACTTGGATAGGGACGAGAGGTCGTAGGTGCTGCCGTCCTTGTCCCTGCAGGAGAGGTGACAGGACGGGGTCAGGGCCGGCACACGACAGCCCCCTCAGGAGGCCTCCCCACACTTACGGGCGCCCCCTGCGGCAAGGGTGGGGGACACAGGGCCCTGCAGGACAAGTGTCATCCCCCTGGGAGCAGGCCAGGTGACGAGCAGAGCTCACTCCTTCACAAGGGGCAGGAGAAGGAGAGGGACCACGAAAACCAGACACAGACACAGCCAGGCTGGGCAGAGCACCGGCCCGTAGACAGCGCGGGCCATGAGCAGGACGCGGGGGTCGGGGCCACAGGGCCACACCCCATGGGGTTCAAGGGACACACACGACAACATGGCACAGGGGAAAAGCATTGCTGGAAGCTAACAGCCCTCGCGCATGCCCCAGGTCCCGAGCTGTACCGGCCCCGGCTCGGGACTCCCTAACAACGTCCGGCAACTTACTTGAAGGAGCACTGGGTGAGGTCGAAGGGCGGGCAGGCGTACTGCGTGCGCCACTCGAACAGGTAGGAGCAGTCGGTCGTCTCCCTGAGGAACATGGGCTGCGGGGCCAGGGGCGTGGGGTCAGAGCTGGGCAGGCGGTGCCCGCCCCCCCCCCACCACCACCCTCCCCTTCCCCGGCGGGCAGGCCGTGGGCTCACCCGCTGAGTGGTGCGGTCGCAGTGGAAGTAGATGGCTGTGGAGCGCCGGTACACCTTGTGGCACGGCTCGCCCCCGGTCAGGTTCATCTTCAACAGCCCGTTCTCGTAGGTCAGCTTCTGCGAGACGAGGCCTGCGCACGGGCCAGCTGGTCAGCCGGACCCGCCTCGTGCCCACGGCAGCGGCAGCATTGGCACAGAGTGGCCGCACGAGAGAAGGCCCCGGGCACCTCCCCAGGCAGCCCCCACCCAGCCTGAGGGTCTTCCCCAAAGGGGGGAGAGGTGTGAGCAGACGGGGGAGCCGGCTCTGGGTGGGCGCACGGCTTCCTGCTCCGTTCTAGAAAGGGGGAAGGAAGAGGGGGCCCAGCTCCTGGGCGTGGGGAGGCCACCCACCTGCCACCTTGTGGAAGCCCAGTGGGCCCGGCTTCTCCTGGCAGGAGGCGATGGCCTTGGACGTGTCCCTGTCCGTGTCGGAGCCATCCACGGGGCACAGGCCGGGGCTCAGCTGCCCGCACACGCGGAAGTAGTAGTTGTACTCGCCGGCGCGCACCATGGTGTCATTGAGGGACAGCGGGCGAAGGCTGTACAGGTTCCCGTGCCGCGGGTCGCGCACCTCACAGTTGTCACCTGGGGAGCGGCAGAGCAAGCGGGCGCCTGGCTCAGCATGGGAGAGCCCCCGGGTCCAGCGGAACTGGTTCCCACTGGACCGGGCCATTTCCGGTCTGGGCTCTCGGGGAGCCCCGGGAAACGTCTCAGGGTCTCCGCAACAACCAGCGGGTTTATGTCTGCATCTGCAGAACCGCTCCCCTTTACGGGCACAGGGGTGGGGGCGTGGGGGGCGAGGCAGCCTCTCACCTTCCGCCCTGACCACGGGGCAGGCCTCCACCGTCCTCCAGACAAAGACGTACTCGCACTCGTCCCGCATCTGGAACGTGGGTGAGCCCTGCAGAGAGAAGGGGCCTGAGTGAGCACGGCCGGGCCAGGGGACCCTCGGAGGGGGGAGCCGGATGGGCCATGCTGAGGGGCTCCCACATCCGTCCCCGGCCCCGTCTGGCTCCCCAAGACCACCAGGAGCCACCGGCCCAGGACTTTCTCTTCTGGCTTTGGGGCCACCCTGACAGCACACTCAGGGATCACCCGGGGGCCTGCGGACCACCAGTGGTGTCAGGGATGGAACTGGGGCTGGCCACCGCTGTGGCTGGGGGGAAGGGGGCTGCGAGGGGCCATGGGGGGGGGGCGGGGGGGCGCTCACCGAGATCTGCGAGCACTCCAGCGTCAGCCGGGTGGAGAAGCGCTGGTTCCCGCACTTGTCCCCGTTGACATAGACAAGGCTCAGGGAGCCGTTGGCCGTGACCTGGGGGCTGACCTGGACCACGCCAAGGTTCCAGCTGCTCTCATCCGACACCAGGCACGAGCCCACGGCACTACCTGCAAGGAACGGCGAGACGTGGCTCGTGGGCGCACAGGGGTGCAGGGGAGGAGGGGAGCAGGAGCACGGGGGGAGGGGAGGCCCTCGCACCGTGGCAGCCGGGGATGTAGGGCAGAGGGTTGCACACGCTGAGGTAGAACGTCCGCCTTCCCGAGCCGTCCGAGGTGTCCACGGCCGTCCAGGGCTTCCTCACTCTGCTCAGGCCACTGAGGTCATACTCGTTCCCCGCCGAGTCTAGGGCGCGGGAAAAAGGGGCTCAGGGCCTGCCGGGCTGCACTGGAGGCCGCCACGGACCCAGGCTGGGGTGAGCCTACAGCACGGTGCGGGGCGCGGGGCCCGGCCTGCAGGTTGCCTTCCTCGGGCACGGGGGGCTCAGGGCTGCACCCGGGGTGGGCGGAGGCCTGCAGGACACTGTCGGGCCTTTGAAGGCTCATGTCAGGGGGCTGGAGCGATACCACAGCAGGGAGGGCGTTTGCCTTGCATGTGGCCGACCCGGGTTCGATTCCCAGCATCCCATATGGTCCCCCGAGCACGGCCAGGAGTAATTCCTGAGTGCAGAGTCGGGGTGACCCCTGAGCATCACCGGGTGTAACCCAAAAAGAAAAAAAAAAAAGAACACACATGATGTCAGGGCGGCTGTCCCGTGGCCCCGAGAAAACCCTGCTCAGCAAGGCCCGAGTGCACCTGCATGAAGGGCGCCAGTCTCCTGTGCAGACGGACCCCCACCCCGCTAGTTCCCTGCACCCCTCCCGCCTGACCCTGCCCTCAGCGCCCGCCTGGGCAGTGCCCCAAAACCTGCTGCCCCCCAGACCCGCCTTCAGAGAAAGGCAGCGTGCACGTGGCTGGCAGAGCATGTGGGCCTGTGACCCGCCCGCACACACAGCGGACGTCCCCTCCTGCCCGCACCTGTGACCTGACAGTCCACCGGGGACGGGACGCAGGCCAGCGCCGTCTCGAACTCAAAGTAGGTGTTGCGCATCTCCAGGTGGGAGTCGATGTCCTGGTGCAGGAACTTGGGGCTGCCCGGGTAGACGTCGGGGTTGCACACGAAGCGGATGACGAAGGTGTCAGAGGTCCCTGCGGGGCGAGGGGCGGGACAGGGGGTTAGAACCGTGCGCCCGGAAGGGGGGGGCGGTGATTTCCACGACCGTGTTCACAGGGATGAGCGGGTGAGCGAGCGCCCTCCGAGAGCGTCAGGACCAGCTCGGGAGTCTCCGTGGCAGAGACGGGAGGGCGAGGGGCCACGTCCTTCTGGGTGCAGACGGGGCCTGAGAGGCAGCTCATGCCAACTGAGGCGAGGCGGGCTGCAGCAAGCAGGGCGCCGGCCAGTGCAAGTGGCCAACACGGGTTCACTCCCCAGCACCAGGCGGCCCCGGAGTGAGCCCTGGGCACTGCTGGGTGTGGCCTCCTGCCAGAAAAAAATTTTAAAAGGCTGCCAAGGGCACGCTCCACGGACGCCACAGCCGTGTGCCTGAGTCTGTCCCAGGGGCCGCCCCTGCAGGGGGCCACAGCCTCCAGCCCCGGGTCTTGGGACCACAGTCCACAGGACGCCACCAGGGCACTGTCCCTGCCCTACCCGCCCTCTGGCTTGCGGGGAGGATGCAGGGTGGAGTGTCCACTCGGAGACGAACCATGCCGATGCCCCTTGCTCCCTAGGGAGCCTGGGTCAGGGGGACGCAGGGGCTCACCTTGGCCAGGGTGGGGGGGCCCCGTGTAGGTGAGGGACAGGAAGCCCTCGGGGGACAGCTGCAGACTCTTCTCCTGCCCCACAGGCCGCACGGGCTTCAGGTTCTTCAGCTCGTCCGTGGGCGTCTCGGCCTCGCAGCCGGAGGCCGGCTTGCCGTCAAAGGAGCCGCACACGGCCATGGTACCGCACACATTGAGCTGTGGGCGAACGGGGCGCTCAGGCCGGGCACCTGCACCCACCCCGCCACCCCCTGCCAGGCACACGGCACCCTGGGTAAGCGACTACGGTCACGAGGCCACCAGCCGCGGCTCTCAGTGCCCACCTGAGGCTCCACGGGTGGGTGGTGGCGAGGGCAGGGGACACAGAGCTCCCAGAGAGCAGAGGCGTCAGGCCATGTGTCCCTCCCCCAGCTGCTGTCCACAGGGCTCCGCGTCCTCCTCTCCGTCTCCCCACTCCCCCCACATGGGGCGGCCACCCAGACGCCACCCCGGGCTGTGACAATGCTGCCTGGCATCGCCGTTCACAGGGCAACGAGGATGCTACTTCCTCACCAGTGGTCCTCAAGGACCCAGAGACATTGCTCTAGCTAGAGGACTTGTTAAGGACACTACTGGCCGGACCCCCCAACCCTGCCTTCCTCTTCCCAGGCACCTCCCCCACCCCGCCCTTCCCGAACCGCAGTCTCGACCCACACAGCTCCCCTGGGTCACCAGCTGCCACCCGCCCAGCCAAGTCTCACCAGAAACGTCTTCCCGATGCCCGAGACGACGTATCCCTGGGTGTTGTTGAGGGGATTCAGGTCAAACACGAACCCGCTGCTGGGGTCCCTGATGGAGCAGGCCTGCGGGGAGCAGAGGGGCCGGAAGCACCGTCACGCAGGCGCCCCGGGGGAAGCCGGCCCGTGTGACAGTGCCACCACCAGACCCATCCACGGTGCCCCGAGCAAGGTCATGTCGGACCCCAGAGGGGGCGCCACAGCCGCCAAGGCTGCTGCTAGGCCGCCCTGCTTCCCGCATCCAGAGCAGCCGAGCCAGGGCAGAGGGAACCGAAGGCCACGGAGGGCACACGGGTGTGTGTAGCCAGCACTGAGCGGACAGGCGCTCAGAGCATGGGCTCAACCCGCATGCTAAAGCCCGTCCCCGTGTCCACAGATGGTGTCACCCTGGAACACGGGACCTGCTAGGACACACGTGAGCCCATCCACATGGGACGCACTAGGACATACATGGGCCCAGCTACACGGGACCGGCTAGGACATAAACGGGGGCTGGTGCACACGGTCCCTACCCTAGAAACACTGGCCAACGCGCCTTAGGGCGGCAGCAATGCCAGGGCTCAGCCAGACTGGACAGAGACAGAGCGGGCCACCACCCACAGAGCCATGGCCACGTCGGAAGACTCGGGTGAAAGCTCCATGGGCGGGCTGGGCAGCACGGCACAGAACGTCCACGAGGTGGGTGCCCAGGGACAGGCTGGGAGGCAGAGCAGGGAGCGAAGGGAGCCCCAAGACGTGCACGCCCGCCCCAGCCCCACACACGCACCTGGTCGATGTCTGTGGCGACCTGGATGGGGCAGGCGGCCTCCGTGTGCCACAGGAAGCTGACCACGCACTCCCAATTGAGGGAGAAGATGGGGTGAGTGACCTGAAGCGTGAGGACAGGGCAGCGAGCGTCAGCAGACCGCGGGGATGGACGGGACCCGGGGCCTCTGCACGGAGGAGGGGCCTAAGGCCATCATCTGCTCACGGCTGGTGCGCCCACGGCCACATGGATGACGCCTGCTCACAGCTCTGGCCACAGAGGGCCACAGGAAGTGGACAAAGGGATTCAAGAGAATTCCCAGAACTATCCAGAACATCCACAGCAACAGGCAGAGGGAACATGGGGGGGCTAGGAGCGCCCTGGGCATGCTGGAGCCCCGCCCAGGGAGCAGGGGCAAAAGCAGCCAGCCGCACTTACCGGGCCGCCCCGGGAGCAGACGAGGTGGATGCGGGTGGTGTAGGTGGTGAGCCTCCCGTCACTGGTGATGCAGGCCGAGCCGTTGACGTACTCTAGCAGGAGGCTGCCGCTCTCCTCCACCAAGGGCCCCTCTGAGGCCGAGCCCAGGTTGCTGATGGACGCCACCTCCGTGTACGTGCCCTGCGCACACACATATCGTCAGCGCCACCCGCTGGAGCTCGCTGCACATACCCAGACAGCTCCATCCCGGGGACCCCACGTCACGGGGACGCGCGCCCATAGAGCCTGGTCTTTCTCCACTTCAAATTTACGAAAGGAAAAGACAGGACCCAGAGTTGTGGCCCGGGGCGGGGGGGGGGGGTGTCGTGGGGAGACCAGGATAACGTGTCCTCCCGTCACCCACGGCCTGGGGGGTCCCGGATGGCAGCGGGTTTGCAGACAGAACCAGGAGTCAGGAGAGCCGGTTCTGCCCTGGGCTTCCGGCACCCGCCCACTGGCTCGGGAAGGGCACTGTCCACCAGGGGGCGCGCGCCGGCCTGCCGCGGCCACCTCAAGCCCAGTCCTGACTTGCTGTGTGAGACACAGGGAAAACGCTAAGACCCTCCCCACAGGGCCCAGAGCAGGGGGAGACCCCAAGGCCTGGGCAGTGGAGCGCTCAGTCGTCGGATGACGGGACACGCTCGGCGACGAGGTCACCGGTGCTGGGCCTTTCTCAGTCCAGTCACAGGGGCTTCCCCAGCGGGGACGGCCGGGCTGGGTGTCTGCGGGGCTCACCTGCTCGATGACGTATTTCATCTGGCACACGGCGGCGTAGCGGTCGCAGCCGGGCACGGGGTTGAGGGGCCTGCACACGTTGATGTAGTACTTCCTCCAGGAGCTGTGGGAGCCCGCGCTGTCCATGGCGAACCAGTTGCCCGCGGCGCCACCCTCGGACTTCGCCAGGCTGCAGGCACAGGGGCGGCGCTGAGAGGCCGGGAACGGGGCCAGGTGGGAGCCCCTGACCCCACATGGGTGCGCCTCGGGGTCCATCCCCGAGCAAGGTGAAAGGGGCAACGAGGGGACACACGTCACGCCTGTTTCTGTGTCATCAGAGAAACACGGACGTCCCGGGAAGGAGCCACCCCTGAGCCCCGTGCACTCGGTCAGTCCCAGGGTGAGCAGCCAGCACAAAACCGGGGCACTGGCCCATCCGGAACTGGCCCTGCAGCTCTACTAGTCCCAGTGGCTTCAAATCAGCGGTGCCCACGTGACGGCCCACAGACCCCCACACGCCAGATGCCAGGATGACCAAGAGGCACCAGAGACGCAAATATTCCTATTACAGACTCTGCCTTTTGTTTGGGGGCCATACCCAGCGATGCTGGACTCTGTGCCCAGGACCACTCCTGGCGGTGCTCAGGGGGCCACGTGGGCTTGGCGGAGACGGAACCCGGGTCCACCCTAAGCAAGGCCAGTGCCCTCCCTGCTGTGCTGTTGCTCCCAACACTGTCTCTCGCTTCTGCCCCAGAGGCTCAAGAACTAACTTCCCGGACACCCCTGCTCTGTGGGAGCTAAAGAAGGGGGGGAGCCAGAACTAGCCTCGGCCCAGACGGGGCTCCCACCGACACGGCCCCCTCATGAGGCCTGCGCACTCAGCCAGGCTCACCTAGACAGATCGTACTGCTCCATCGTGGTGGGGTCGGTCACCAGGCACTCCATGGGCTCCTCGGGGCACGCGAAACTGGTGTACCAGCGGAAGTTGTAGGCAGAGTCGTCCTCATCCTGGGGGACATGGGAGAGGTGGGGGGTGGGAGAGACCGAAAGGGCTTGCTGAGAAGGTAGGAGGCGGCCCGCTGCCCAGCACTCAACGAGGAAACCCACGGCCTGTGCCCCCCGACTCCTGACAAGCCGACGGGGTCCAGAGCTGCCCCTAAGCCGGGCACTGAGCCCAGGACAGGCCTGCACCAGGCACAGCATACGGGGAGGGGAGGATGCGCCGGGAAGGCCAGCGGAACAGCGGCTGTATGCCCCGGTGCCCGACCCACCGGGGTATTGGCCCCCCTCGCCCTTCCTCCCGGCCCACCTGGTACTCGGGGGCACCCACGCCCACGTCCCGGTCGCACAGGAAGGTGATGAGCGTGCTGCGTGCCGCGGCCCGGCCGTCGCTGTAGGGCGTGCCGTTCTTGTAGCTGAGCTGGATCATGCCGTCGTAGTAGGACAGCTTGGAGTTGCTCATGCCCAGGTTCCACACCTTCTTCTCACTGCAAAGCCACAGGCGCTCGGCACGGGCCCCACGCGGAGAGGGAAGAGGCCCGCCCCACCGACACCCCGACCCTCGGCAGCCCCATAAACCGGCCCCGCGCCCAGACAGACGCAAAGTCAGTGGCAGCAGGGCGGAGGGCGGTGCCAACCCTTGTCTGAGACACCCTCCGCTCCCCCCGCCCCCCGCCCACCACCCTCCCCGAGAGGCGGCTCGGCCAGAGACACCCCGCTGTCCCGCCCCACCCCCGGGCCTCCTGAAAGGCGGCTCAGCCCCGGGCAGCGCCACTTACTTCTTTGCGACCTGGCAGGCGCCCCAGCCGGCCTGGCAGGCCCCGGCGGTCACCGGCCCACACACGTTGATGTAGAAGTCGTACTTGGACGTTTCTACTTTGTAGCTGCCATTCTTCTTCTTGAGGGAGGACAAGTCGAAAGAAAAACCTGCCAGGGAGAGGTGAGGCCGGCGGCACGGTCAGGGCGGGGACCCGGGAGCTGCCCGGCCGGAGCCTCCATGGACACGGCCCCAGCAGCGGGTGGGGAGCAGGGGCCACGCCTGCCCCCAGCACTCTAGGGCAAATGACCAAAGAAGGCCACTCCAAAGGCCATTTCCAGCCGCACGCCGTTCCCCACCCCGGCCGCTGCAGAGCCCAGGGCTGCCCCACCCATCTCAGACCCCTGAGAAGACACATCCACGTTGCAGGGCTGAGGCCGAGCACCCACCTGCCTCGGGGTCAAAGACGGTGCAGTTGTCCCCCTGGGTGCGGGACAGTACGCAGGCCGCGGCCGTGTGCCACTCGAACTCGTAGAAGCAGCCGTCCTCCTCGACGGAGCGCAGCACGGGGGCGCTCTCCAGCTCTCCTGCGGGGAGACGGTGCCGTTACATGCCATTACACACGTGCACGGGCCTTAGGGCCCCAGCAGGACGCTGGCGGGCAGCCTCGTGCCAGGACGAGGGAGCCTTTCAGACTCTGGCACGCACCGGCCCTCCCGTTCGGTGGCCTGCTTTCTACTGTATCCCAAAATGGGAGCCTTAACGTTGAAGTTTTAATAACACCCTCAACTGTGCTGGGGCTTTCTCCAGAGCCAACAGCCCGGGCAGAGGGGCGAGGGGGCAGGAGGCAGTGGACACACCCCCTCCACACGCTATCCAGAAAGGGTCGTGGGCCAGTTTCTGAGCCCTGATGGAGGCCAAGGAACGGGGGACCCACTCCCACCCCCAGCTGCGTCCGGAGGGGCAGGGACACAGGGACCCTCTGAGAACCAGAGTCTATAAGGTGAGGTCACGGGACCCCCATCTGGCCCCCAAGTCCAGCACGGCTACCCACCACGCCCTCCCCGACTCTGAAGCCCGGAGCCTGGCGGCCGTGGACACAGCCGAGTGTCCGCCTGCCCCCGCCCTGCACGGCCACTCTACCTGGCTTGCACACGAGGGTGATGTTGGAGCTGATGGTCCTGCCCTGCCCGCAGCTGTCCCCGTCCGAGTAGGAGAGGACGATGTTCCTCTTCTCCTTTATGGGAGAGGACAGGAATCGGCCCAGATTCTTACTTCCAGTTTTATCTGGGAAAGAGAAACGGAGAAGAATGAGGGCAAGGGACAGGGGGCCAGGAGATGGCGCCTGATCACCAACGGTCAACACCCCCCGCAAGGGACACAAACACATAAACTCGGCCTCCCGCAAGCCCTTTCCTAAGGGTGGGGGGCAAGCGGGTAGCCCCAAGAACTCCCAGAGGATGCGTCAAAGAAGAAAAAAAGCAGAGGGGTGCTGGGGAACGCATGCAGTGGGCAGAACTCTTGCCTTACTTACACATGGTGGGCTGGGGCTCAACCCCCAGCACCCCAGAGCCCCCCCAGCCCCGCCAGGAGTGATCCCTGGGCACCGCCAAGTGTGGCTCAAAAACCAAAAAATGAAGCAAAACAGAAAAACCATGGGCGGGTGGACACAGTGACAAGGGCCGTCAGGACACCCGGCGGCCCAGTCCTCCGGACACCAGGAAGAAGCTGGTCTCTCTGGGGGAGAAGGAAGCTCCTGGCTGAGGTCAGACCCCCAGGGCTATTCCCTTAGTGGATGGGAGCCGGGGAGATGGTGCCAGGCAGCGCCCCGGCCTCTGCACCCCCCCGGGCCTGTCTCTCCGGTCACCTCCAGCCAAGGGCACGAGGACACGGGCCTTTGAAAGCTCATGTCGGGGCGGCTGTCCCGGGACCCCGAGGAAACCCTGTTCGGCACGCCCCGTCTGTGAGGTGGTCCCAATGTCCTGTGCAGACCCCACCCTGCTAGCTCCCCATGTCCCTCCCGCCTGACCCTGCAGAAGGCCGGGCTCCGTCTGCTGCACACCCCAGCAGGACGGGGACTCAAGCAGACTCAGTGCGTCCCGGGAGTCACCCGCCTCAGGGACCCCCACACTGTCCCCAGGAGGCACCAAGCCGATGGCCTCCGGGCTTTTCTTTACTCCCGACTCAAGCATGGCTCGGAAAATGTGCTCCTGGATCTGGGGTCGGAGGCCAGCGCGGGCCATGCGCCCACCCCATCCCTGAGATGACCAGGTGACCGGCCCCACCTGAGCCCCACCCGAGCCCCACCCATCTGATTTCAGAGGTTCCGGCACCCAGACTCCTCCCGGGCTGGGCCCCGGCAGGGAGGGCAGGGAGCCCCAAGCGCCTGTCTGGCCACTCACCCACAGAACACGCAGCCGCCTCGCCAGGACAGCCCCTGGCCTTGCCCCGCTGCAGCACCCGGTGACAGATATTCACGAAGTAATGCTTCTTCTCGGCCTCCCGCTGGCTGTCGTCCACGGCCTCCCAATTCTGCTCGGGATCTGCGTGTTGGAAGGGAGAGGAAGCAGCTCCGTCAGCCCCGGGGCCGGGATTGCTCCTGCGTGAGTCACCCACGGCCGCGGCACGAGCCCTGGCACGGAGTGGCGCTCCTCCGCCACGGCGACGGCGACCGGGAGCAGGGCGGGTGGTGGGAGGGGGGAGGCAGAGCCAACAGCAGGACTCTCCCAGCCCCAAACCCAGGGGGCAGCCGGACCTCACGGCCCGCCCCCGGGCGTGGGCAGCCTGCCGGGCCTGGAGGGGGCACGCAGCTGAGAGCCAAGGGAAGGGCGGGAGGGGCACGGGAGTGGGAAAAACACCCCGACCCGGGGCCAGGGGCTGAGGGAACCACAGGAGACGCCAGCTCTCACCCGGGGTTCACAGCACAGCAGCACAGCTGGGCCCCCCCCAAATCGAAAGACAGCTGCCCTGGGCACCAACACCCCTCTGGCCCCACAGAGCCCAACAGACAAACGTCTGGATGGCGTCTCGCATCCCCCACGCCCCCACCTGGCGCCAGGCGCACCCCCAGTCTCCCCACCTGCAGGGCAGCCGCACCCCCAGTGCTCAGACCTGCACGCCAGCTGCACCCCGTCTCCCCACCTGCATGCCAGACCACACCCTCGGCTCCCCCTGGTGCCAGACCATGCCCCCTGCTCCCCACCTGCGTGCCCGACCACGCCCCTGGGTCCCCGGGAGTGCCAGACCACGCCCCCGACCCCACCCCCAGTGTTAGGCCACACCCCCGGCTCCACCCCCAGTGCCAAACCACGCCCCCAGCTCCCCACCTGCATTCCGAACCAAGGCAGACAGGTCAAAGCGCTGCTTCTTGCCGTCGCTGACGCTGCACGGCAGCTCCTCCTTCTCCTTGACGCAGGCGTGCTTGGTCTCCCAGGTGAAGAAGTAGGTGCAGTCCACCTCACCCGTGTACACAGGGGCACCTCGCCCGTTGTTGCCTGCACCGTCGGGGAAGAACAGGAGAAACGCCATTTAGGTGCGCAGGGAGAGAGGCGGAGGGTCCCAGCACACCCCAAGCCCGCCCCTTCCGTGCATTCTAGTGAAGCTCTGGGAGCCACAGCTGGAGGGGTGACATCAGGGCCGCAGAGGGCTGGCGCAGGGGCGGGCAGGGCTCCAGGCACGGTCAGCCCAGGCTCTGGCCAGAAGGTGGATGGGGACCAGGCCAGGGTGCCCACCCCACAGGTCAGCTCCGAGTGGGCCCCTTCCCTGGGCGCCACCAGCCTCCACTGACTTCCCCTTTGTGGAAACACTATCCTGCTCACAGCGGGCTGGCGCGCTCTGGCTGCCAGCGCCTGTTTCCACCCCTGGATGGTTTCACAGTCCTTGGGAGGGACTTCCCCAGCTTCCCTTTCTTGCGGTCGCGTGTCCCCGAATTGCACAATGTTCACAGGGAAAGGGAAATGATACTTTTGTATCAAAGGCAAGTGATGTTTCAACTGCAATGTCCATTAAACCCTTCAGATCCCAGACCTTCCAAGTGCCAGCGCAGCAGCACAACTGGCCCAGCGCCCACCGGCCCGGAGCCCTGGAACCAGAGGCGCTTCTCGGGCTGGCTGGCAGCAAAGGCAGACCGGGGAGACTGTGCGGGACAGGGACACTCAGCGCCCCGTGGCACGGGCAAGACTTGGCCCCTCTGGTCTCTCCCAGGGTGGAGGGAGAGTCTGCTCAAAGATTCTTTGCAAGGAAGGAGAGCGCGTGCCAGGCCCCTCCCTGGGTACCCTTTCTCCCTTGCCTTTGTGAGAGCCTCTCCTCAGGGCTGCTCCTTGCATCGGGGGCAGAGCTGCCAGCAACCTAGGGTACCACCAAGGGCTCACCCTCCACACACCAGCCGCCGGCTCCTCTGCCTCTTTCCAAGCACATACTCACACACACGCACGCTCGAATGCACAAACAGACGCACACACGAACACACATGTGGACACACACAAGGACGGACGCACACATGGATGGACACACAATGACAGGCACACACATACCACAAGCACAGACAGCCACACACGGGCATGAACACATGGATAGATGCACACATGGAAGGACGCACACACACACAGCCAGTAACACACACGCAGAAATGCACATACATCACACGCACAGACAAAACACGCACACACAGACACGCATGCACGGGCAGATACACACACGGACAAGCACTCATGCACACAATGGCAGACATACACAAACCAGCAGACGTGCGCGCGCGCACACACACACACACACACACACACAGAGACGCATGCACACACTGCCAGGCAAAAGCACATACACATCAACAGACACACGCATGCACACACTGGCAGATACACACACACAAACACATGCACACACACAGAGGCAGGCAGACACACACACGCACACATGCGCACACACAGGCAGGAAGGTACACGCACACACATACACACACAGGCAAGCAGACACAGGCGCACGCACACACACACAGGCAGGCAGACATACACACACAGGCAGGCAGGCAGACATGCACACACACACACAGGCAGGCAGGCAGACATATGCAGGCACACACACACACACACACAAAGGCAGGCAGACACACGCACGCACACACACACGCACGCACGCAGGCACGGATAGACAAGCACACGCACATACAGACAGGCGCACGCACTGATGGACACTCAGACAGAAGGCCATCCACATACATGCACACGCTCGTCTCCAGTCCCAGCCCCGGGTCACGTTCACCAGCAGGGCCAGGTGACCCAGGGGCCCCTGCCAGCTCCCAGCGCCGGCCGGGGGCTGCACTGCTCCCAAGGTCCCACGTGCCCGCCTGTACCCCGACATCCAAGGGGCTCCCGGGCCTGTCGGGGCCAAGGTGCAACCCACCCTTCTCTGGGCCTCACTCGGGGCGGCGCCTCAGTAACAGTCCGGCTAGCGGGTGACACTGGCGACCCAACAGTCAGCCTGGGAACCAGCGTGAGGGCCGCACCCGCCCACCAGCTCCCCGGGATGGAATCACGGCCTGTTGGGTTTCACCAAGAATGGAGCGAGCCTGTTAGCACCAATTAACCTTTTTTTTTAAACTGCTTACCTCAACTTCCTCTTTTTCCCTCCATAAAAAACCCTATATTTTGTCCCTCCCGAGGGAGCATTTTGGGTTTCTACCCGATTCTCTGCTCTCGGAACTCTGAACTCTGGTCCCAGCAAACGTGCTCTGCCTTTCAATTGCCTCCCTAGTTTTCGGTTAACAGCCTTGAAAATGCATGAGCTCCAGATTCACAACCCTCAATAATTCCTTGAGAGGTGAGTTAAACTACAAACCACACAAGCCCTGGTTACTGTAACACCCACCCGGGCACGAAAGCCCGCCTCTGCGTCCATCTGACCAGCACTGACCCACGTAGGGCAGCCTCCGAGAATCTCGGCCTCAAACCTTAAGCCCAGGTGCGATCAGGCGGAGTGTGGACGGCAACAGAGTGCGGGAAGTCCACTTCAAGTGACCGCAGGGCGCTCGACACCCCCACCCCCCACCCCAGCATTTTTTGAGCCTGTCTCTGCCCTCACCCGATGACAGACCCGCATGGGAAAGAGACACCTGGGGCTCACTGGGACGGACCCTAACAAGGGGCCTGACCCTGGCTCAGGCCGTGGACACCCTGCTGGACAAGAGGCAAGGGCATGGGAAAGGTTTGGAAGGAGGCAGACCGGGCAGGCCTTGAACTGCATGAAACCCAAGTGGGAACGGCACGTGCATTTTCACAGCACATGGAATGCTCCTCCCGCTTATGTGCCTGGGGGAAAAAAAATGTAGAAGGAAGGAAAGGGGAGGGCGTGAGAGGGAACGGCCTTGAGGAAATTCTGCAGGCTGCAGCTCATCTGGGCTTTCGCTCTCCAGAACTCTTGGCTGTGCCACGCACGTCTTCCCTGAGTCCCTGCCTCACAGCCCTTCCCAGGATCCTCCTGGTCTGCTGGGATCTTTCTGGAATGTTCCATCTCCCAGCATGCCCAAATGAGATCAGCACACTTGCGAAGGTCTCGGCCAAGTCGTTCGCGGAAAGCCCAGAGCAGAGTGGGGCCCGGGGAGGTAACGACAGGGTCGGGGGGGAGGCCAGCCGCCCAGCTGCACTTCTGGGAGAGGGTGGGGCGGGCAGAGGGGTCGCCTGGAGGCGCCCCGAAAGTGGGCTGGGAGGGGTGAGGCAGGAAGGGCGGTCAGCAGAGGGGGCCAACGGCCTCGCCCCTCGCCTTCGCTGCCCGCGGCTGCTGCTCCCACTCCAGCCCAGGCCCCTGCAGGGTGCCCTGCTGGACCCGCTCTGCCCTGCCCCGTGTGCGCCCCCCGCCCCCGGTCCAGGAAACGCCTCTTCTCCCCTCAACTGCCTCGATCCCACCACCCACCCCAAGAGCGCAGCCCAGACGCGGCGCATGATGGCCGCCAGTCTCGCTCCGTGTCAGCACTGCCCCCTCTCCTCACGAGTGTCGGCCTCGGGGGGTCTGGTCCACGTGCACACGGGGGCAGAGAACAGACATGGGGACAGTCTGGTCTCAGGCTCACTGGCACAGACAGCAGAGGGTCCCGCCGCCCCCCGGCCACACACACTCCGGGCAGCAACAGGCACTGGGTGTCCACTCCTTTCCCTGCCCGGGGTGACCAGAGCACACCGCCCCCACCGAGCCCGGACGGGAGACCCAGCACACAGAAGGGACTGTGACACTCACCCCAGCGGCCAGCCTGCACCCGTCTCTGGGGCGGGCGAACTCTGAATCCCCCCTTCCCATTTTGAGTCTGAGGACCCACCATTAGAACCAAGTCGACGCAGAACCCAACGGGGCTGGGGGTGACCCCCGGGATGGGAGGGGGCATAGGTCTGGGGGTCACAGTCCCCCCTGGAGCCACATGACTCACTCAGCAGCTTCCCCAGAATAGGTGCTCAGGGTTCGGCCCTAGCAACTCACCCAACAAATGGCGAAGGGGAGGGGGACCTGGGGGTGTCGGGTAGGGGGGGTCATGGCGACAGGGATAGGAGCCGAGCCCCTCCCCCCAGAAGCCAAGGGCCCCCCAGGAAAGGCTGGAGCCACAGAATAACAGAGGGACATCCCTTCTCACTCGGGCCAGCGAGCACCCCACTCCAGCCCGCCCTCTGACCCACTGAGACGCATGTCCCCCACCCGCTTCGAGCCCGGGGCTGCACAAATGACCTCCCGAAAGGATGTGCCGGCCGCAGCCCAGTGGGTGAACAGTGCCGGCCTGGCGGGGCCGGACGCAAGACAGAAACTCATTCCCAGCCAGCCCGGGACTGGGCCCCTGCCCAAAACAAACAGGCCAGCAGAGGAAAATGGAAACAGGATGTGGCGTCACCGGCAGCCCGGTGGGCTGGGGGCGGAGGGGTCCCCTACCCGCCCCACAGCCAGAGCCAGCCAGGCCCGAGGGAGGGCACCTCCCCCCTCCGTCCCACGACCCGAGCCCCAGGCGCCCCCGGGCCCCCCCGCTCACCCGCAGTCTTGTTGCACTCCAGGTTGATGACGGTCATGCGCTGAAAGCCCGAGCTGCACTCGTCGCCCCCGCGGTAGATCAGGGTGAGGTCCCCGTCCGAGTAGCTGCGGGCGAAGAAGGCAGAGGCGGCCCACGGGTCAGCGGGCCAGGAGAGGAACGGGCTTGCAACCACAACGGACAACGCGAGCGAGCCCTTGGGCGGCTCATCGACGAATCGGCCATCACGCGAGAGCAGCAGCAGCTCTCCAGCCAGCTCGGGGGTGGCCGGGGGGGCGGGGGGCGCAGGGCATCGTGACACAAGACCCCACCGGCCGGGAGGGGTCTTCAGAGTCAGACCTGGCAGGGGTGCGGGGCACATTCCCCCGGACGCAGGAAGACCCTCGTGTGTGGAGTCTCGCATCGCGTACAGAACAAATAAGGCTGGAGGGGCCCAAGAAGCACCCCAACAGATCTTAGCAGGGTAGTCTGGAACGTCTGGGGCGCTGACAAAACTTCCAGAATCTCCGACTACAAGGGGTTGGGGGATCAACACCCTCCCTGCAAAATGCGACTGCAAACACTGGAAACCTCATCCACGGTGTGCCCACTTAAGGGCTTTGCCCAGCAGGGGTGGGGGCAGCCTCTGAAACATCATGCAGAGCAGAGTGCCCGGCCCACCTCAGACTCCAGCACCCCGGGCGCAACCCACAGTGACGGGGCAGGAGAGGCCGGTGCGGGCGGCTACCCACCGGAGCGTCTGGTTCTGGAATCTGCCGGCGATCTTGGTTTGCTTGCGGTCGGCATTTTTCACCTGGCAGACGGCGGCGTCCTTCTTGCCACAGACCCCCACGCTGGTGTCCCCGCAGACGCTCAGGAAGAAGGTGTACTCCCTGCCGCCGGGGGCCGAGTAGAACGGGAGGGGGACCGCTAAGGGGGAAGGAGCAGAGGGCCCGTCACTCCCACGCACGCCGTCCCTGCAGCCCTCGGGAGCACCCGAGTCACCCTCATGACAGACACGCGTGCGGCCCCCCTCCCAAGCCCCAGGCCCAAGGGGCGTGCCGTCCCCGCCCGCACCGCCATGCTGGCTGAGGGGCCGCAGGTCCACACTGATGTCGTGCTGCTCGCTGTTGAGGGTGCAGCCGTCACTCTGCAGGTAGTCCCGCGTGCAGGCGTACTCGGTGAGCCACTCCACCTCATAGCGGCAGTTGGATTTCGCTGTCAGCCTAGGGGTGGTGCCCTGCGGGGGGTGGGGGGGCGGTCACAACGTGACATCTGTCACTGCCCAGACGCACAGCCGAGCTCACGCAGGCTGCCGTGTTTCCCGCAGTCTCCCACTGCGTGCGTGCGGCTCTTAGGCTTCCCACGCCATGCCCCACGGTCCCCGTCCCGGCCTGCGGGGGCTGGGGTTGCTCCTCTCGGCCCCGGGGAGCCAGGAGTGCGTGGGCATCCCGGCCCACGCCAGGAGGGGCCCCCTCCCTGCCGGGTGAAGCTCAGAGTCCACCAACGGCAACGCCGGCTGCCTCTTGCGCAGACGCACACGCCCTTTACAAACAGGGCTCCTGGCGCGCGCAGGCTCGCGGCCGCGGCTGTCGGCAGCAGGAGAAACTCGGTGTCATTTTTTCCCTCTTAGAGGAGACGTGGGGGAGCTGTGGCGGGTAATGGGGGAAGCTGTAGGTACAGGGGCGGCCAGGGGACCCCCCAGGTCCCACCGCCCCTGCAGATGTTGGCCGGATGCGCTCGACGTCCCGTGGGAGCACATCACATGGCCCCAAGGTGCCAAGCGGGTCAGAACCCACGTTTCTCGTGACTGGGCTCGGGTGCCCACGGGCTGAGTGCAGGGGAAGGAGCTGACACACAGGATTCACTCGGGAAACTGCGAGCAGCGGGAGAAGGGCAAAGCCACGGAGCTGGAGAGACACGCCATGGCTGGGGTGAGGTGTGGCGTGGGCAGTGCGCGAGGCCGCCCATGCCGCTGCTGCTTCCCCACGCACACCGGGGGCCCCTGAGCCACAGGCCACGGCCATGGCACACCAGCGCAGAGATGCGCACCTGGGAGCACGTTCCGCAGCCCCCCCGCCCCCCCACCCCCGGCAGCCACCAAGCCGTGCCCCACCGGACACGAGCCACACATGGACACGCGCCAGCAACAGACTTAGCCAGAAGAAACGACAGTCACTGGTCAGTCTGGGGACCCCAGGAGGGAGAAGCCGTGAGGAGGGGGCCAGCGTCCTGACCACGCAGCCTGAGGAGGGGAGGGGAGGCCCCTGGCCGCAGCCAGGACTCCCAGGGCCGTGAGCGGACAGAGAACTGTGGGGTCGGGAAGCCGCTCCCACCACGTGGCAGTCCAGGCTGCAGACAGGAGCGGGGGGTGGGTGGGAGAAAGAGTCGATGGCACTCTTGTCTCCCGGCTACACACACACACACACACACACACACACACACACACACACACACGCACACGCACACGCGCGCGCATACACACACGCACACGCACACACACGCAGTCACTCACTCTCTCACACTCTCTCTTACACGCACACACTCACTCACTCTCTCTCACACTCACACACAAAACGGGCCCACTGCCAGCCCCAAACAGAGCACAGAGCACATTCCGAGCTGGTTTGGAGGAAGGGGAGGGCTGCCTGGCAAAGGAATTCGGCTCCTCCTCCTTCATTCTAGTAGAAGAAGGCGAGGGGGGGACCCCAAAGGAAAACCCTACGCCCTCCCCCCAGCACCCCCCTGCAGCAGCACCCCACACCTGCTAAAACACGTAACCAGCACGGGACACGTGCAGGGCCCGGGCAGGGGCCCAAGGACAAAGAAAACTGCAAGCTTAGACCCTGCCCTCCAGGAGTTTATGACTCTGCGGAGCAGCGAATAAATAGCCAGAGGCCAGAGCAATAAATCAGGGGAGTGGGGAGGGGGAGGCGGCAGGGAGGGGCCCCCTCCCCCACCAGCCATAATTCTCCCAGCCTTTCCCCACCCCCCCTGCCCGGCCCGCCAGGCCTGCACACCATCTGCAGACTCACTCCTTCCTCGCCCTGCACCAATTAGCTCTGGGCTACCTTGTCCCCTTCCACCAAACTGAGCAATCAAGGGACCCGGGGCTTGACACAGGGTGCCCACGGTTGCTGCTTTAATATTCCTTCTAACCAGCGACACCCTAGAAAACTTTCTGGAATCTGCCCGTGGAGTTCGGGCCTCGGTCCCTCCCCGCCCAGCTCCCCAAAGCCTACCTCTCTCCTCTCCGAGGGACACAGGAAAGTGACGGTCACCGCCGGGCTGCGGCCATTGCAGAAGTCTGGCTTCCCGGCCCCTTCTTTCACGTAGGTCAGGGTAAGCCTGGACGAGCCACTAAGCGCGCAGCGAAAGGGGGAGAGAGACGGGCGGGCGGGTGAGCCGGCCACCTCACACAGGGAGCACCCGCCTGCTCTGCTCTCAACGTGCTCTCTCGGGGTGCGGAAGAGACAAAGGCCACCGCACCCGCCCACCCGCAGAAACCGATTCCCGCCATCAGAAAGAAGGGAAAAAACATTTAAGTCAACTCCAATGAGTGTCCTTCCTTAAAAAAGGGTAAAATAAATAAAGCCGACCAACATGTAAATTCGAAACGCTAACAAGAACTGCTGGAGTAAAACAAACAAAAAAACAATTATAAAGGATCTAACAAAACAAACGCCGCACAGCTGGGCAGCAGCTTCTGGGGGCCAGGCGCCACTTCCTGCCCCCAGGGAGCCCGCGGGGGTGGGGGTGCCTGCTCCAGGCAGGAGAGGAGAAGGGTGCCCCCAGCACACACACTCCTCAGCAACCTGCCCGTAGGAAGGGGCAGCTGCCTCACGCACCCCGAATTCCTCCTCCCCAGAACCCCCAAACTAGGCTCTCGAAAGAGGAGATGAAGTGGAAGGGGGGCAGCTCGGGTGGGGGGTTGGGGGGGCAGCAGACAAGCCCTCGGGGCTCCCTCCCCCCAGGAGGGCGCTGCTGCCGGACAGTAACCAGGACACAGCAATGACCAGAACACCAGTGAGTGGCCACCAGCCCCGACCCGGGTGTCCGGGACGTGTCATGGTGCCGACTGGTGGGGCCCGATCCCCCATTTCACAAAGAGCGTCTGGGATGGGGCTCCCGCCACGCACACCCACCTGTCCTTGCCCCAGAATCTCAGGCCATCCTTGGGCTGGCCCACGTCGAACGCCTGGTCCCCACGCAGCAGGCAGGCGGCGGTGCCCGTGGGGCAGGCGCGCAGCTGAGGGCTGGGGTCCCGCAGGGCATCTGGAAGGGGCGGGCAACAGTCAGGCCCGGCTGCCTTCCTCGGCAGCAGGCAGCACCCGTCGGCCTCGCTCTGGTTTGTTTCTGTGTCTGGTTTTTTGGTGTTTTTTTTTCCCCGTCTCGTTTTGTTTCTACATCTCCTTAAGGAACATGAAGTAGGATGACTCTGGGGCCGGGGTTGCCCTGCAGGAGGCAGGCTGGCAGCACACCCTAGAGCCCCGCGAGGCTATTCATAGAGGAGAATGTCCCCCTGCTCCGTGCTCCCCTCCAGGACTATAAATAGCTGGGAAAGAGGGCTGCTCCCTGCTGGGAGGTGGTGGCACTCTGGGGGCGGCCCCCAACCCTGCTGGTCTGCCTCCATACCGGTTGGCTCTGATGACCCAACTGAACCCACTGGCTGCCTGCAAGTCAGTCTTGGGGAAGCAGAAAAGGCACGAAATGTGCCCGCCAGCCCGGTCACCACACGGCTGAAACGGACTTGGTGAGAGTCGGCAGCCTGAGTGCCTGGCCGGCTCCGGGGCTCTCCAGGGCGCCCCTCCTGGCCGGCTGTGGGACTCGCCAGGGCGCGCCTCCTGCCCTGGGCTTCTCTGAGAGCCTTCTCAGTGGGGGCAGGGTGAGCAGGCACCAGAGTACCAGGCGGGTGGGGCCCTGCCTCCCCGGGATGAAAAGGCAGAGCACCTTCACACCACAGAAGGGGCTTCCGGCCCCCAGCAGCCTCTGCCCTGCGTCTGCGGGGCTTGGGGAAGAGGCAAGCAGTCAGGGCTGAAGCCAGGAGCTCTGGCTCCAAACTGGGTCTGAGGCTCCCGCGGGGAGCAGAGGGTGTGGGCACGAAACACAGTCCCGGGGCGCAGATGCCCCGGAGCCCGACTCCGGCTACCAGAGGGGCAGAGGAAACAGTTCCGTGAAAACATACCCGAGAATTCGGGTCGTCTTCGAAACAACTTGGAAAAAAGGAAAATAAATTAAGGGAACCATGGTTTCCCCAACCAACAGGGTCTTTTCATTTCCGAAGCCGTTCCTTCTCTACGTGTCCTCAAGTTAGAGCGACGGCGTAAAACTAAGCTGCGGACCCACGAGGGTCAAAGACTGTCTGCTCACCTTTCTCCCAAAAGAATGTTAAAAGCTGTTCTGGAGAATAAAGGAACATGTTCCTTTGTCAATAACAGTCTGAATTTTCTTTTTCTTTTTTAAATATGAAATTATCACGGGTCACTTGTAGCTGAACACGTAGGTGGGATATTCACTTTATAAAATGAATAAATTTTTTAAATGAATAAACTGAAACAAAACTCGTAGCAAAATGCCAGTGACCCCTCCCCCCCACCCCGGGGAAGAATATCCACACGGCTGGATGGGGGCCTGGAGCCACTCACCGGCTGCCCAGGAAAATTCTCCCACCCTGATATATTCTTTTCTTTCTTTTTTTTTTTGCTTTTTGGGTCATACTCAGTGATGCTCAGGGGTTACTCCTGGCTCATGCACTCAGAAATCACTCCTGGCGGTGCTCGGGGGACCATATGGGATGCTGGGAATTGAACCCAGGTCAGCCGTGTGCAAGGCAAATGCCCTTACCGCCGTGCTATCGTGGTAAGATTTGAGATTTTCTTTCTTTCCCTTTGGGGTAGATGGGAACTGAAGGTCTCATTTGGAGAGAGCCTTGCTCGACCACTGAGCCACACCCTCAAGACTTGAGAGTGGGATAGAGTGGGGGATTTTAAAAAAAAAAAAATTCCCAAACTGTGTCAGACCAAACTCCTATGTAGCAAGTGGGAAAGGGAAGCTGAGCGGGTGGGGAGAACCACCACTAAAAAAAAACGCTCTTAGTAGACGATCACTGCAGAACGCTCTGGGGGTGCTGGCTGTTAAGGGCAGAGGGAAGGGCCTGGCTTGACGATTCCCAGATCTCAGGGGGAGGGAGGGAGGCGGGAAGGTGTCAGCGACCCGTGATAAACCCACAGGCGCAGCTAGACTTGCGAGGGGCTTCGAGTCGGGCAGCCTCTGGCCTCCACGGTCCCTTCAACAAAGAGGCCGGAATCACGGCGGCCCCGCCCTCTCACAGAGACCGAGATGGAGAGACGGAGAGACCGACCCTCGTCACTGGGACCCTCCCAGAGACCAGGAGGCAGCATCCCGCTACTCCTGTGGGCCCAGTCAGTGCCACAGACGTGCAGACGACAAAGATCGGGCGGGTGAGGGGTACGGGCTCCCCAACAACCCCCACGCTCCCACTGACCGATATCTCTGCACACATTGATGATCAGGGAGGTGTCAGGGTCCGAGTCGTCCACCAGGTAGCCGCCACTCAACTTAATAAGCGGGTTCAAGTCGTGCTTCTTGTACTCGCTGTCGAATGCGTAACATGGCACCTACGGCGACAAGTGGGCGGTGAGTCCCCGGCCGGCGCCCCCACACTGCTCTCTGCTGCCCGTGACGGCCCCCGAGATAGGATGGCGCCAGGCCGCTCTCGCTTCCTCTCCCCAGCTGCTCCGGGTCTGGTCCCTGCACCCCGGCCAGCCAGTGCTCCTTCCCCGCCTGAGTCGCTCCGTGCAGGGCTCTGCAACTACCCCCGGGCCTCTCGCCTCCTGCTCCAGCCACCTGGGTCCTGCCGCTGGACGCCCCCAGAGCCTCCAACCTTGCTCTCTCCCCTGTGTGCCATTCCCAGGAACCCACCGCCGGGGCCGGGGTCAGGCCAGGCCTTCCTTCCTTCCTGCCACACTGGCCTGGGACTTGCTACCCACGCACCTTCCCGGCACAAGCTTCCCTGGTCTGTCAGAAGCCCCTGAACAAAAGCTGGAGGGCTTCGCTTTCGACTTCCGGCTCTTTTTCAGAAAAGAAAGGTCTGGGGAGCAGGGGAGATGGCGCGAAGGGCAGGCGTGCATGCCGGACCCGTGAGCCCTGGGGTCCATCCCTGGCACCGCGGAGGCAGCCCCCACCCCCAGAAGAAAAAAAAAAAAGATGATGTAGGACGCACAGGAATGCGCCGCGTCCCTCTTCTTCCGCCCCGTCCTGGCCGGTTTCCTCTTTTTCCCCTCGGAGATTCCACAGAGCTTCTGGATTAACTCAGGCACCAGCCCTCCTCGGAGCCCGGGGGCAACACGCTCGGCCGAGCACGCCTGCCTTTGTCTACACGGCTGACCGGCCTCCCCGCTGGTGTGTGTGGACACCGGGGCATGGGAACTCGGGATGACGATGGGAGACATCGCCCGAGGCGGGTTCAGGCGGGTCCCCCTCAGAAAAACAGAGCCAGAGCACAGAACGACTGTGGCTTGGGGGCTGAAGAAGTGACCGCGGCGTCCAAAGCCTGTCCACACAGCCTGAAACTCAGGCAGCGAGGGATCGATAGCACAGAGCCGGGTGGGAAGATTCTGAGGACCCCGGGAAGGGGAGAGGCGCGTGGAGGGGAGTGGGAGGGCCGGGACACGGCAAGAGTGAGGAAGACGGGGTACACCTGAAGAACCCGAGGGCCGAAACCGGCTCGGGGAGTCACGCCAACCAACCGGGAGAGCGGCGAGCGCCTGGCCGCGTCCCCCCTGCAGGAAGGACAGGAAGACACACCTCACACAGCATCCCCCCCAACCCCAGCGCCCACCAAATTGGAGCGTGCATGGGAAAAAAACAGTCCAGGCTCCTGGGGAAAATCTCCCACTTCCTGCTCCGCCGGCCGAGCAATGGAGACATTCATAAGGGCAGGAATGCGGCGGCGGGAGGGGGAGGGCGGCCACGGCCCCACACCACACACTGAATCAACCTTGGCAGGGGGAATGCGCCGAGCGCCGAGGAGCCCTGGGCGGCGCAGGGCAGCGTGGGGCCCTGCGCTCGCAGCCCCCCGAGAAGCAGCGGGGGGGGGGGGGGGGGCAAGGAAGGAAAAGCGGGGCGGGAGTGTCGAGGAATGCGGGTCCTCTCCCCACAGAGGCTGGGGGTCAGACCCCCCACCGAGCCCAGCAAAATTAGCACCAGGAGGCGGAGAGAGGATGAGGTGTGGGAAGCGGGAAACAGGGCCCATGGACACACGTGGGGGGCTGGGGGGCAGCGGCTGATGTCTGGCCGGGAAACCAGGGGACTTCGGGAGCTGCACCGCGGGCAGTGCGGACAAAGGAAGGCGTGTGCTGGGGGGGCGGGCAGGAGGTGCCGGGGCGCCCCTCCTTGCTGGGCAGCCATCACACCACACTCCCTGCGTGCCCGGGGACCCAGGTCTCGGGCCTCTTCCACTCACGCGTGGGGGCTTCCCTGGCACGGAAACGCTTTCCGATCCCAGCGGCATCCTCAGTGCTCACCCCGCAGCCCCAAATCCCGGGTGAGAGAGAAACGGGATGAGCGGAGTCCCGGCCGCCAACCGTCCCCGGAGAGATCGGGGCTGACGGCACACTGCAAACGTTTCTCAGGCAGCTTCAGCTCGGCCCCAAAAGGGGTGCTGGTACCCGGGTCCCCCTCCACCGCCCCGGCCCCGAGCCCCCCCCTTCGTCCAAACTGAGGCTGAACTGCAGTTTCAAGCCCTCCCAGGAATGTTATCTTAACCAGTCAGTCAGAAATTTCTCAACTACACTAGCCAGGCACGCAAAAACCCACCCGCCCCCCACCTCCCCCAAAGGGGGCCTCCCAGGAACAAGCCTCTCTCTTATCTGCAGGCCCTCCTGTCAACTTTCTTCTCTCCTGCCCCAGGGAGCGCCTCTCCACTCGCTGGCGGGGGGCGGCGGGGCACGAGCCCCCGCAGGAAAGGCTAGGGCCCACGCAAAGCACGGCCTCTGCAAAGCACGAAGGCTGCGGCAGCTCTGCGGGTCTATTTTTCCTGTTCTCGTTGGCCATGATTTAAAATAAAAATGGGGGGAAAAAAAAAACATGGAAACCCAGGTTTCAGTTCGAGGGGCTACACTCGGAGGCCCAGGCAGGGGCTGGTCCCTGCATTTCTTTACACAGGAAAGTGAAATGTCTCTGGTCAAACTGGGGGAAAAGGACAGAGGAGCAAAGACCCTTCCAGGTGGACCATCGAAGACCCTGAGAGGACGAGGGTGTGCTGGAGTCTAGGAGGGACTCAGTGCTGTCCGTTGCCCATGAGGCCCAGCGTGTCCCCAGCCCCGGCCACCCCCACCCTCGGCGGCGCACACGGGCTCTTTCTGGGGGGACAGCCTTCTGCCTCTCCCCCTGGCCCGACGTGCTGTCTTTCCTTTCGCAGACTGTCATGTTTGAAAACTCGGCGATCATTTATCACGCGTAACTTCATCTGGCTGCGTTTCTTAAACACAAACATCTCTCCCTGCCCTTCTGGAAGGGCCCGGCCCTCCCTCTCGGGGGAAAGTGACTGATTACGGCCATTTGTCAGGTCCCAGCACCTGAGAGGGGCTTTGAACTCAATCCTTCCAAACAGAAAACTAATGGAGAAAAGTGAGACTAATCCGCCATGAGGCCGCTGTCTCGGGGAACACAGAAAACCAGACGTGGAGAGCGGGCAGGGGCAGGGGGCCCGCGGGAGGGGGGCAGAGTGAGGCGGGGTGGGCTCCTGGGGGCCGGCCGCGGGGAGAAGTCCAGCTCTGAGCCCTGAGCCCGGGCTCCAGGCTCCGAAGGGGATGCCTCATTAATCACCAGGCAAGATTTGACCCAGATAACGGAGAAAGAGCAGAAGCATGAAGCACGGGCCACGTAGGCGCTGAGGTGCGCCAGCAAGGAATGTCGCGGCGGGAACACTCAGGGGCCCGCAGCCACGCGGCGCCTGCCGGCCACGGCGGCGATGGGAACTGCGGGCAGCGACGGCCGGAGGCGTTAGGTGCTGGGGCTCCAGAAACCGTGACCTGATATGCTTGGCGGGGTGACCATGTAAGGGCAATCGCACCCGCCGCTATTTTGAATGTGCGGTCCTAAAAATAGGAACCGCTTAAGCCGCACTTTCAACAATGAAGCCACGTGGCTCCCGGCGTGGCGCGACTGGGACTCCGAAAAGGAAGGGGGGGGGGACATTTCACCCCAATAGGTTGAATGTCCTTCTTTCCGCTCAATCTTCAAGAAGCAGGAAACGCACCTATTTTTGCAAAAGGGTTTTCCAAACAACAACCTGTTACCTCTTTGTTAGCTTTAAAAATATCCTTCTTGCAGGCAGCCGAAGTCCTCCACTCAAAGTAATGGACGCAGCCTGTGGTCATGACAAACTCCGGGGTTCCCTGTGAAAAAACACAGCGGTCACCCGAGCAGCGGGGGGGGGGGTGTGGGGGGGGAGTGACACATGTTCATTGTTTCACGGTGACAGTGAAGGCGAGTGTGAAATTTGAAGGGAGCAAAAGGAAGCTGGGGTGGGAGCCCAGTGGTTTTGTTAAACAAGGTCATCGAGAAACTCTCCACCCCAGAAGTTCAGAGACAAAAGCTTCATGAAATCATGCTGGAATCTGGGGGAATGACCGATCCAAACTGTTCTACTGCCCCAGCTATGCGAACACAGTGAGCTCATGGGAAGGGTTCCTCCGAGCCGCTCTGCTCCCAAAACTCCAAATGTTCTCTCCACCCCATGCCAACAGAATCCCGCCAGAAAGGGTGACCTCATGCTTCCTGTAAGCCTGAGGGAGGAGGCCCATCTGGACCGATCGGGCTCGCTCCAGACGCCCCCACACGCCAGGGAAGCCCCTCCTGACCCAGGGCGGACTCCAAATGGGTCGCCCACAGGATCCCAGCAGGATTCTAACTCCTCGCGTCCAGGTGCAAATCCCAGGCTGCTTCTCCCCAGTTCCGCTTCTGGGGCGGGAGTGCAGAACAGCTGAAGGCATCCGGCACTGGGGGAAGGGGGCTGTGATGGCGAGTCCGTCCTGCAGACCTCCAGGATCCGGGGGGCTGAGCACGCCACCGGGGTGTTGGGGTCACGTACAGCCTCGCCTGGTGCCCAAGGAACCCTATGAAACCCATTTTTCGAGTTCTTCAGATGAGACAACACGAGCCCAAGGGCGGGTGCAGCACCAAAACAGTCTTTAGGAGCAATTTTTAAAACAGTCTTTGAAAGCAATCTGGGGCTTCCCCCGAAACTCAATTTTCCCCAACACTCAGTTTCTACCTTCCTCTGAACAGCGAAGATTCACAGGATCTACACAGCCGTGGCTTTTGCTGAAAGCTAACAGCTGCTTCCTAAAAGTCCTTTTCTAAATGCTAAAGATTAAAATTCCCCACAGAAAAAAATACACACACACCCCAAAAATAAAATCACGAAATTCACAGGGTGAGAACAAACGTGGGGTGCACTTTCAACACTTGTGTTTAATAGGGCTGGAAACCCCATTACCCTCACAATAAGCTTCCTCCTTACTTACCTCTACTTATGTCAGTTTCTCTGATTTAATGGGGAAAAATGAAGAGAACCATTAAAAACCCAAGCACTGACCTGAAAAGTATGGAAATGAAAAAGCTGCAAGAACCGGCTTTAGAACTACTGGGACGCGCACTTGCAACAGTGATTTAAAAAAATCTATCGAGACTTAAACTGCTTTGAGTTTACACACATCCATCACCTTGAGCTACGGTTTCACACAGATGCAGTTCAAGTTTCTCCCGAAACGTGTGACTTTAGGCTCAGGGCTTGTTTGCGGACGGTTCTTCGTGGCGACGGTGATTTAATGGGGCTTCTGTTTGTGTGTTCAAGACTGCGCTCACCCCGAATCCCCGGAGCCGTGCGCGAGCGAACAAAGCTGAGACCACGTGGGCTCTGCCCGACTCACCAGAGTTTTCCCGCACAGAAAGGCAATGCTACTCTGCAGCCTCAGATTGGGGTTCTGAACGCCGCAGCTCAGCGTGGTGTTGAACTCCATCAGCGATCTGGTTGCGCTCTTCAGAGTGGGGTCACCTGTTTGGAGAACGAACGCACGTGAGCCAGTGGGGAATAAAGCCAGACCTCTCCACACCCCTCTCTGCCGTGCACAACTCAAAATCCATTCAAGGGCAAATGTCCTTAAGCTCTTCCAAAGTCAGAGGTCTTTTTTTTTTTTTTATGTAGGAGTATTGCTATTTATTCAGCCATTGATTAGGCTGAACCTTTGAGATCTTAATACAGAAAAAAACTAGGATTTCTTAAAACTCAATAGCATTCATTACAAAAAGAAATTTTTTTTTTCAATTCATTCGACTTACTGAATTTTAAAGATTTCTATTTTGGGAAAAGATAAAATAGAAACGTGTGACACAATGGAAATACAGAATAAGGAAACAGGAGCAAAAAACAAGCATACTTGTATGTGTTACACATCCTCACAAATAAATAAGAATAAATTATTTTATGAAGCTTTGAAATTCAGGCCCTCTAGCTAGGAAAAAAAAAAAGACGCAAAGGACACAGTTACTTTATGGTGAATTTACTGTCAAAAGCAAAGAGAAAAACCCAAACGTTTCTAGAGAAAAAGAACAGGGCACGTGGAATGGAAAGTCAAGAGATAACAGCCACGGCCCAGTCAGACAGACAAACACGTGTCAATGAATTCAGGGGGAGATGTTCAACAGCTCTGGTGCTCAAGGCCTGCAAATCAAGGCTACCTACACGTGGATCACAGCCGTCCTGCTGACGAAAATGAGAGCTGGGCGAGAGGATTGCAGAGTGCCCACGTGCCAGGAGTATGGCTCCACTAAAGCCAGGTCCCCTCCGGAGACCCCGGAGGCTCCCGGTCCCCCTCCTGGCTATTCCACTCTCCAGACACCCACAGAACACAGCCCCCCGCATATGCACATTCTCAGGAGCCCACAGGGAAGAGAACATCCCCCGTTCATTACATTAGCAAGAACCCTGGAAACATCCCAAGAACGCCTGGATTAACTTTGATAGGGTCTGGATTTGAAGTTTTATCTGGGAGTTGTAACAACCCTGATGACCATCACAGTGAGGGTCTTTGAGCAACTGGGCAATTTGAGCAATTCGCTCACTCTTGTAGGTGCTGAAAGATCACCCCGAATGTGATACTTTCTACATATTTGTCCAGCACCATATATACCACGTGTAAAAAGACTCTGGGCCAAAATAATAGTTATTACTGTATATAATTATACGTATAATGATTAATATCTCCAGGTTGTAGAGTGATGATTATTTCCAACAAAGGGAAGGGAAACAGGGAAAGTAGGGAACACAGAGATCATGGTTACTGACTAGTTCTGAGATGAAGCTTATCACTTTTATTTCAAACAACTAATTAAAAAACAAAAAAGGTTAGCCCACGGCCTAAGGACAAGCGTGTATCCCGACCTGGGGCAGCCTTGCTCCAACCCACCATACGCCCTAGTGGTAGCTGCTGCGTTTGGGGGTTTTCATTTCTGTTTTGTTTTTTGTTTTTTTAATGGGGATGGGGAGGAAGGAATGGAGTGCAAGACGTTCCAGGGACCGGTGGGGAGTCGCGGCACTGCTACCGCAACGCCAGGCGGGCCACAGGATGGTTCTCCCGGCGGCCCGCCAGCGCAAAGGTCTTCGGGAACCGGGCACCTCCGCTGGAACGCAGCAGAGATTCTGGGACCGAGGACAGCAACGTGACCGGCGTCGTGGCCAGCGCCCGCGCTTTGCGCACCGAGGACAGCGACGTGGCCAGCGCCCGCGCTTTGCGCACCGAGGACAGCGACGTGGCCAGCGCCCGCGCTTTGCGCACCGAGGACAGCGATGTGGCCAGCGGACGCGCTTTGCGCACCGAGGACAGCGACGTGGCCAGTGCCCGCGCTTTGCGCACCGAGGACAGCGCCGTGGCCAGCGGACGCGCTTTGCGCACCGAGGACAGCGACGTGGCCAGCGCCCGCGCTTTGCGCACCGAGGACAGCGACGTGGCCAGCGATCGCGCTTTGCGCACCGAGGACAGCGACGTGGCCAGTGCCCGCGCTTTGCGCACCGAGGACAGCGCAGTGCCGTGGCCCGCGCCCACGGCTTTGCGCACCGTGGACAGCGCCGGAGGCCCAGCCTCACAGCAGGTGCAGCGGGAGTCGGGGCTGCACCCCCAATTGCGCGCTAAGGGGCGCTCGAGCGCACGCGCGCACCGGACCGGCGCAAGGCGGTGCGCTCGGCGACCGCAAGAGGGCGCGCACGGGCCACGCCCCCCCCCACGTCAAAGACCCTCCCCCAAGCGCGTCCCCCCCAAAAGGCGGCCACTTCCGGCCCGGTGCGGAGCGTTCCCGGGGGCTCGCCGCAACCGCGGACTCCGCGCGCGCGGCCGACCCCCGCCGCCGCCTGCACGGGCAGTTGCCATCGGCCTCGCGCCCACGATCCAGCGGCCCGTCCACCACCTCCGCCGGGCAGATCACCCCGGCCCCCGGCCACCGCGGGGCCGTGGCCAGCACGCCAGGCCGGCGGCCAGCTCCCGAGGACGGCGCCAAATGGGCCGGGCCGCGCTCGGCGGACCCGCCAGACCGCGCCGGGTCCTGCAGAGCGCGCGCCGCCGCCGCCGCCGCCGCCGCTGCTGCAGCCGCCGCCGCCGCCTCTGCTGCCGCCGCCGCCGCCGCCGCCAGGCCCGCCAGACCTCGCTCGCCGGGCGAGCTCCGCCAGCTCCGCCAGCCCTGAGCGCCCCGCCGGGGCCCCGGAACCTCCAGGCCGCGCTCGCCGGGCTGGGTGGTCCCGACCAGGCTGCGCGCGCCAGGCCCGCCCGCCCGAGCCGCAGTGCGCGCCGAGTCCGCCAGCCCAGGCCCGCCGCGCCCGCGCCGCGCCGGGCCCGCCAGCGCGCGCGCCCCAGACCGGGTTCGCCGGGCCGCGCTGGGTTCTGCAGACTGCGCGCTGGGCCCGCCGCACGGCACGCTGGGTCCGCCAGACCGCGCGCTGGGTCCGCCGCACCGCGCCGGGCCCGCCGTACCCGCCGGACCTCGGGCCCCAGGCCCTGCCGACCGCGCTCTCCAGGCCAGCTCCGCCTGACCGCGCCGCGTTCGCCGGGCCCGCCCGACTGGGCCGCGTTCGCCGAGCCCGCCAGATCGCGCCGAGTCCTCCGGACTGCGCCGCGCCGGGGTTGCCGGACCCGAATCGGCCGGCGGAGTCCTCCCGGCCAGACCTCGAGCACCGCGCCCAGCAGACGGCGCTCTCCAGGCCGGGGCCGCCAGACCGGGCCACACTCTCCGGGCCAGACCTGGCCGGGTCCTACAGACCCAGCGTGCCCGGCCAGCCCGGCCGCGTTCATCGGGCCCCTCCAGGCCCCGCCGTGTCCTCCAGACCGCGCTCTCCAGGCTGGGTCCGCAAGACCCGGCCGAGTTTGTACGCCCCCATCCGACGAGACCGCTCTGGCGGGACCCCACCAGACTAGACGGCACCGGGACCCTCTGGCCGCGCACGCCAAACCCGGTCACCCGGACCAGGCAGCGCGCGCCGAGTCCGCCTGACGCTCTCCAGGCTCGGCCCGTCCGGCCACACCGAGCTCGCCTGGGCCCGCTGGACCCTCCAGTGCTTCCCCGGCGGAGGCGCATCCGCCGGACCGCGGCATCCAGGCCAGGGCCACCCGCCCGCGCCGGGGCCGCCCAAGAGCGCTCGCCAGGCCACACCTTGTGGGCCGTGCTCGTCCGGGTCCGCCAGACCGGACCGCGCTCACCAGTACCCGCCCGTCCCGGCCGCACCGGGTCATCCCAAGCCTGCGTCCCCGAGGGGCGGCCCGGGTGCGCTCGCCCATCTCCAGCGGGCCCGGCCACGCTCTGCGGCTCCGGGCGCGCCGGGTCCTGCCGACCCTGCGCGTCCGACCCGCCAGGCCGCGCTCGCCCGTCCCCACTGGATCCAGCCACGCTGCTCCGCCGCTGCAGCCGCTGCGCCGGGTAGCGCAGACGCAGCGCGCTCACCCGAGCCCGCCTGAGCCCGCGCGAGCCCGCGCGAGCCCACCGCGCTCCGAGCCTAGCCGGCCTCGCCTGCCGCCCTCGGCGGACCCCGGCCGAGCCCAGCCGAGCTCGCGGCAACCCGACCTCGCCGAGGCTGCAGCGCCCGGCTCTCCCCGCGCCGCCCGCCGCCTCCGAGTCTCCGCCGGGCACAGGGGCCGCTCCGTGCAAGGCACCAGGGTGCCAGGCGGCCCCACCACCCACCCCGGACCGCATCGTGTGCTCCAGCCTGCCAGCACGTGCTGTGTCACCACGTTCCAACAGAAGCCTGTCGGCCTGATTTTTCCCTCCAGCTACTGCGTCCTCTTTCTGCTCCTCTTTATAGTAACACTCTATAAAAGAAATTTCTATTCTTGCTACCACCGGCTCCCCCGACCCCCGGAAAGGGACAACTCCCCCCCCCCCCCCAACCCAGCCCCGTGCTGCTCTAGAACTGCCTCAGCTCCAAGTCTTCGCTTTGGTGTCACTCTGCGAGGAGGTCGGGGGGAGAGGCTCTGACCCCCCCACCCGAACACACACCATGAAACCCCAGCACTCCTCACCCCACCCCCACACCCCTTCCCTGATTTTTCTACAGTGTTGGTCACGTCCTAACCCAACTACTATCCGCTGTTGTTTCTGTCTCCAGATGTTAAACTCCAGGAGAAAAGGGATTTTTTTTTCTTTTGGGTCTGTTTTGTGATTGATTCAAGTATTTGTTACAGATAAATAAATGGGCATTAAGTGTTAACTGTATCAAAACATAATTTATATCTTTTAAGAACTGGTTCAACCAAGTAAATGAGAACAAAAGCGTGCTACAATGTCTCGAACTACGCCCATGCAGTTAGATTTTCCAGCTTATGTGCTACAATGAGCCACGGCTGCCAAAGAAACATTTTTTCCTCTGCACAGAAATCTGTGCACGGTACTAATCTGTCTCTCAGTGAGATTTACCAAGGTAAGTTATGGGAAGAGAGACTTTGAGATTTAACAGGCCCTGCCAGAGTATCAGCAGAGACAATAAATGAGACAAAGACATGACTCATACCCCGAATTCAACCAGATCTCATCTTAAATATCCAACAGAAATATATGGCTTTAAGAAAATGAAAGACTAACAGGACTTAAGAAGAAAAGACTTTAAAAAAAAATCTTGAAGCCAGAGGCACAAAATGCAATCCAGGGAGCGGCTGGGATGGCAGCGGCCGATTGTGGGGGCTGCCCACAAGAGTGAGGGCCAGGCTCCTGCAGGCCAAAGAAGCCACTTGGCACAGCACCGGCCTTACAGTTCTCCTCATCCTCCCCAGGTCACCAACCGGAAGCCGCTCCAGTCCCAAGCGTTAGTGGGGACGGTAAGAAGCTCAACTCACACTGCTCCTGGTGGGAGGGCCCCGTGTCCATCCGCCTGGAAACAGGTTTCCCAAGGTGCACAGATTTTTAACCCTCTGACTCATTCCCTGGAAACCAGAGTATTCGTCAGGGCTGCCCAGAGGCACATGAACACGTTCAGTTATTTACACATATTCATGACACTTGAATTCAGAAAGCTGTAACTGACCATCTGATCTCGGCTCAGGACAAAATTAGAACAAGGCAACTACAGGCTTACTACATTTATAAGTTTAATATTAAATTTGTTAAAAAAAATATTGTTGTACTTAAGTTTTCAATGTGAGATCAGACAGCTGAAATACTTAAAAAAGGAAATCAAGTACATAAAATGTATAAATCATTTTAAAACGCAGGGATACTTCCACTAGGTTGTAAATGGAACCAAATGTTGTTCCCAGGCCCCGTAAAAATGTTCAACTCTGCTACATTTACATATGGAACAGCCTCATTTCCCTAAGGAAGAACCAGTGTTGTTGTTGTTGTTGTTTTGTGTGTGTGTGTGTGTGTGTAAGTCAAAATGATGCAATACGGCTTGAACCAAAGCTGACGTCTGAAAAATCATTTCTAAGTGTGAAAATGGCCCTTGGGCACTATGAAACTCACATCAACAATTATCTTCCCAAAGGGTTCTCTAGAAAACCATCTTCCTTTTTGTAAGCAACAGACAAATGCGCCCGTTTCCAGGCTCCTTGCTGGCACTCTATGATTCAACCATTTCCACTTCTGCTGATTTGATGAAAGAGAAATGAGATGGCACATTTCTTAGGCGTTGCGCCTGGGTACTGCCGGCGTAGCAACGGCCATCTGGATCACCTCCTCTGTGACCTTTAACCTATTCCTCCTGTGCTGTTTGTCTTTCTTATCATTTATTCAGAGACACTCTCAGCTCTCCCGAATCCAGTTATATATTTTACTTGCTAGGGTCCTCCCCCACCCAATGTTCTATTATCTTTTTTGGCTCTTTTCTGTTTGCTATTTGGGGGTTGGGGGGGCCTGACCCCCAATAGTGCAGTTGCGCCTGGAGGACTAACTTGGTGCCCTGACTTCGGCCTATGCTCCAGGCCTCTGCGCACTCTCTGGGCCTTAGAGTTCCTCTTGAACTCGAATTGCTCCCCAAGTTCTGTGTTAGGCTTCCACAGGGAGGGCTAACCTTGTTTCTTACTAAAGGGTCTAATTACAACCAGTTTTTGTCGTTTTTCCTCCACGTTCACTGTCACGTATTTTGAGATCTCTGTTCGATCCTCAGTTCCCCTCTTCTGCTAAGAGTCTGTTCTTTGTGAATGTTCTCAGAACACACCCCACCCTACCCTTCCCCCCCCCCACACACACACCCGTCTTTCTAGCAAGTTCATGAGAAGTTTCAGCTGCCTTCTCAGAATCAGGAGTTCAGATTTCCCATCTCAGTTCCCATTTTAGCTCTGCCCCGTCTGGTGTGACCCAGTGACTCACAACACACAGCCCTGGAGAAGAACCCGGACTCTGGAGTCGGCACCTCAGTACCCAAAGCCTTAACCACGCCACCGCCCCTGGCAAAGCCGCAGACCCTCGGAAGACAAGGGGAAATGGGATCTCCGAGTTCCGAAGTGGCTGAATGAATTTAAACAGCGCCAAAGCAGAACACCTGGCACAGAAGTGCATGACAAATCTCGTTATTAAGTTACAAAACTAAATTTACAGTAACAAATTTGGTGCTTTTGCTGGAGAGCAGAAACCGGCCCAAGTAGGGGACCCAGGCAGGCTCTCAGTGTGATGCTGATGTCTGGCTCTTGCGGGCTTTGCTGCTCTCCTGAGTGACAGCGGAAGGTCAGAGGTCAGAGCGCGTTCTCGCAGACCACCCTTCTCTCCCCATTCGGGAGGTCGGATGCTTGGGGGAAGTATCCGCCACATGCATCTTTGAGTAAAAATCAGACTGGACTGACAGTGCTGGCTTCCAGCCTCACCCAGGACTCAGCCCGTGACTTGGCGTTTAACTCCTCTGGTTAGCTCTCTGCCTCTACCCTTTCTCCATCCTCTCCCGACCCACCCGCGGGACTCAGGCTTCCAGAAACCAGTCTGGACACGCAATGACCCTCCCAGGACCTATCAAGCATGAACCCCTGAAGGGTGACCCACGTCCATCAACTCCACGAACTGGCTTTCCACGCCGACTGGTTGGTCCCCGCAACTGTCTGTCTGGGGGGCCCTGGGGGCCTCACCGCCCAGGCTCCACAACCCCACACCGGCCACTCCCGGCACCCACAAGAAGACTCGCTTTTCATCAGAAAATATTATCAAAGTCGACAAGGAAACCAAGGAGAAAATGACTTTTCCTTTTCCTGAAAACCGGAGTGAAGACTGCCAACAAGCCTCTTGCGGCCTCGCTCTGAGGATTGTCGAAAAGATCCCAACCAGGAAACTGGCGATCTCATTTGCAAAGTTTCTCAGAATCATAAAACATGTCTGAGCCGAGAGTTCAGCGCACCTGCCGCTTCCTCGGATGGCTACCCGGGGCCTCAAATCCGTCTGGCCACCTTCACCCGTCTAGACAGGGCTCTCTCGGGGCGGGCGGAAAACCAAACAGGAGTTCGGCCCGCAGACCTCCCGGGCCCGACTCCGAGGAGGCGAAACCCGACTTTTCTAAAAAGCCCTTTGAACCGTGAGCTCAGGAATTCCCACTCGGAACTGTGGCCTCGCTGCCCATCGGCGGCTGCTGAGCCCCTGGGCTCCCTGTATGCCCTCCCAGCGCCATGCCATTGGCCTGGCCGTGGGGGGGTGGGGGGGAACGGCCCGCAGCCGCCCTGCTGCTCCCTTGCAGGCCTAGAGGTAACACTGAGCAGAGCTGCGGGGGGAACGGGGCCCAAGTGGGGGTGAACATGAGAGCAACACACAGGGAGGGCTGAAGAGCCACGGGAGAAGAACACAGCCCTGTGGGGTTGTACCCTGCCGAAACTTCCAGAGCCCCAGAAATGGGAGGAATGGTTCTGGGGCTGCCGGGGGCGGCCTGAGCACCCCTGTTCCGGAGGTCTTCCAGGGAGGTGGGTTCAGACCTCACGTGGGATATTTTGAAATATTTCCAGGTGCACCAACGTGTCTCGGGGACCTTGCGCCAGACACGTCCCTGTCCACAGAGCCAGGGGGTCACGGGGCGAAGCCGGGCTGCCTGGGTACTCTGACTCACCCACGGAGCGGTAGGTCTTTGTCTTCCAGTTATACATACAAATGGCACTGGAGGAGCCGCACTGGGCAATGTTCACATTTCCGCAGACGCTGATCTTATAAAGTATGTTATTTTTGGTATCAACAGCTTCCCACGTAGCACTAGAAAGGAAGAAAAACAATTTGTCACTGTCATTGATCCGCCAATAATTAAGCTTCTCTCCAGTTTTACATTCGAGCCACATTAGCTTAAGACTCCCACAGCCTAGAAGACACACGCTCATCAGCCAAAAATACTAAAGTCGAAGGATGTTACGTGGGATGGGGGCCAGGACCGCCAAACCACTAAATACCGCCTCACTCTGGTTCAATCCGCCCCGAAGCCGCCTCGGGACTCCATGGTCATCAAAATACTTATAAGTCCATGGTGAAGGTTAAGAATATCAATTCAGATAAGTAACTGCCCGGGAGCCATGTTGAAGAGCGGACACCTTCCTCAGTGAAGGTGAGGGACGACCTTCCCATCACACTGGACGCTCCAATGCCAGGGAACTGCTTTCAACCTGGGGAGTGTGTTTTAGAAACTTTGAAATATTTTGAAACCATGGTTCGAAAGAAAGTTCCGCTTCCCACTTTCACCTCCAAAGAGACAGTTCAGAGGCCCAGGAGTCAAATACCTGATTCAACATCCGACGGACTTGAAACGGACCCGCTACCCGGAGCCTCTCGCAGGCCTCGCAACCCACTGCCCGCTCAGACCTTTGGCAAGGCAGACCCGGATTACTCATTAATGGGCCGAACTGCGAGCTTGGGGTAGAATAATGGCCCCTCCTGACCAAACAATGATTCCCAATTCCTCCTTTTTCCCAGGGAGCAATGTGTCTGGTCTGGTTTTACAAACAAAATGGGGCTCGCTTCCTCCTCGGCAAGGGCAGAGACTTTGAAAAAGGAGGCGAGAGGCTCAAAAGAGCCATTTGCGAGACGCGAAGCCGATGGCGTATCAATTCCACAGTCTTGCTGAAAGGAAGATTGATTGAATGAGAATTGCGGGGGTGAGCTCCACCCGGCCTTGTGGGGAGTCTGGGGAGCAAGGGGAGGCCCTGGAGTCTCTAAGCCCTGAGACAAAGCACATGTTTCAAGGGTCCATCTGTAGAAGCAACAGCGCACATCCCAGAGCCACATGGACAAGCCCACCCCCTCCTTGTCCGGAACAATCTCCTGCAGTCGCCCCCAGGAGTGGAGGGGTCGCAGACAAGGAGCTGGAGTCTAGGGCGGCAAATCCCCCCTGCTGAAGCTGAGCACAGAGCAGCAGGACAGAATGCTCCCCGGGGAGAAACCTGAAAAACAGGCCGGCCGGGGCCACTTCCTGACCGTGGGGTGACTCCAGGCTCACCCCAGGCTGAAGGCAGCTGCCACGGAACCCACTGCCTCCTCCCCCTCCCGTAACACCTTCGCCTTCTCCCCCAGGGCTGGTCAGGAGGGGTAATGAGCTGAGAAAAGCGGGGAGTGGATTAGCGGGCACGGGCAGGGGTGAGGGTCTGGCTCCCGGACCTTCATTAACCTTTCCTTCGGGCCTCCAGTCTCCAGCGTTTCCGCCAGCCGGGGCACAAAGGGGCCTGGGGGGGTGGGGCGGGGAGGGCTGTTTTCTCCCGGGCAGGTGAGGAAACCTGCAGGCAAACAAATCCCCAGACAGCCCTCCTCCCGAGCGGGGCGCTGACAAAGCAGAAACAGCTGCCGCAGACAGAGATAGGAAATGAAGGGGACTCATCGCACTCTTGAATGACAAAAAAAAAAAAAAAAAGAGGACGGACGGGCGGGAAAGCAATCCCAGCAGGGCAGGCCCTCGGCGGCACCCCATGGAAAGGGAGCGGGCTGGAATGTGAGCAGGGAGGCCCACTCGGCCAGTCCCGAGGTCCACCCGGCAGGCTGAGTGGGGGGCAGGGTGGGACACTCGCCATGTGCCTTTCTTAAAACTTTGATGCAAGCGCCTTTTTTTTGTTTGTTTTTTACTTGCAGACTACTTAGCGAGGCTCTTCTATTAATTACCGCTCATTAGAGGGGCATACTCATCCCGTGTTCAGGAGCTAGGACTAATTTTTTGTCCTTTTTTTTTTCCCCCAGGATATGGAGGCATCAAATGGAAAACCTCGGCATTGCATGTTCCAGTTCTAAGCAGAGAGAGTCGGATGGAAAGGGATCGGCTGAGAACAGGGCAGCGGGGAAGGATCCACTGTGAGCAGCTGTGCAGTACCTGACGCTAAGCTTGCCTACAGCAAAGGAAGGAAGGAAGGAAGGGAGGGAGGGAGGGAGGGAGGAAGGAAGGAAGGAAGGAAGGAAGGAAGGAAGGAAGGAAGGAAGGAAGGAAGGAAGGGCGGGCCCGGGGAAGTGGAGGACCACGGGGAAAGTGTGTGTGAGGGGAGCAGGAAACAGAGATGGGGGAGACGGGGGACACGCTGTCCTGATTTTCTTTCTGTTAATCAGAAAGGCCCTGCGGGGAGGAAATCTGGCTTGATGCGAGAGTGTATTCCTCTTCTTTCCTGACATTTCATATTCTGTTGTCAAGATTGATCCAGGTGGCCCCGGAGAAGGAAGGGCTCGGGGGCCCGCGCCTGCCTTGCAAGCACCTGGGCCTGAGTTCCAATCCCCTGTGTCTCTCGTGTGTTCAGTGTGAGCCTGCCGGCAATGAAAACCATTTCCTGCCGCACCACGGGGTGCGAGGGGCCCTGTGTGAGGGAGCCCCGCGACTAAAGCCTGGTGAACCCTGTGAACCCTCCTGAACACCATGACGGCAGTGACCGTGATGGGAAGGGAAAGGAAGGGCAGGGCAGGGAAGGGGGATGAGGGAGTTAAAGAAACAAAACTGAAAAGCCTCGGCGGGGCGACGAGGGCCCTGGAGTCGGGGCCGCGCTCCTCCTCAAGAGGGCTGATCCCGGCCTTCATTGTCACTCACAAAAGCGAATGCTGCTGAGCAGCTGGGGGACGGGACCAGAGTCACATTTTCAAACAGAAGAGCCGGTCGCCTGTTTCCGGACGCCTCTCCCGAGACATCTGCAGGCCATCCACACTTGAGACATTCAGATTCCAACGGACACGGGGCGGCTTTGAAACAAAGAAAAGGGCCTGACGGCTGGATCACCAGGCACCCAGGAATCCGTGTTCAGCTGAAATCATCTTTTTTGATTATTCATGAAGACTTGCGAGCACAAGGCCCTTAGCTCCCGCCGTTCCCGGCATCAGCCAGGCACACTTACACTCGCAAATATATATATATTTTTTTAAGCAAAAAAAAAAAAACTTTTTAAAGGCGACTCCATCATAAACTTGAAAGTCACGTCAAATATCGGAGAGTACCCTTTCAGAAAATTACACATTCACAGGGAGCCGACTCCAGGCTCTCCCAGATGAAAGGACAGGCCACCAGCGAGGCCTCGGCTGAAATCACTCGCTCCCGACTGACAGTGCCGTTTAACAGCGCCGTGATCACATGAGGCAACCAGAGAACGGTTGCAGAAGCGATGAAAGTATTATAAACGGAATAAATTTCATTATATCTTTGAGGAATAATAAATTTTTGCCCAAAAGCTTGTCCACCAGAAAATCCTCTACCCACCCAAAGCAAGCAAGCCTGGTCAAACGCAGGAAACCCCCCAACAGTGGCCCGCAGAACAACTAAGCGGAGAAGCCTGCTGTTCTAGAAGGCTTGCTCTGACCCTGGGAAAGATAGAGGAGGGGGAAACAGGAGGGGAGAGAGACCTAGAGAGAGAGAGAGGGAGAGAGGGAGAGACAAGAGCGGGAGAGAGGAGAGACAGAGAGGAGAGGGGGGGAGGCCGAGGGAGGGAGGGAGAGACCGCATAGCCTCTCAAAGAGCCAACTCAGCTTTTTAATAGTCAAGTTTTTAACTTTACCAAGAAACAAACCTCCAAGAGGGGCTATTTGCAAGCTATGTGGAAATGTAGACTCCACAAACACACACGTGTTTCACATAAATTTCCTGACAGACACGTCCTGCGGCCAGGCAGGTGGGAGCCCAAAGGCCATTTCCCTGGAGCTCTCCCGGGGCCTTTCCAGAGCCAAAGGGCCTGGGTCCCAGCCCGCCCCACCTGTGGGAAGAGCCAGGGCCCAGGACGCAGATGGACAAAGAGAAGCCTGGCCGGAAACCCTGCCCAGGGTCCCAGTCCTGCAACCCTCACTCAACAGCCCCCCCTCCACCCCCCCCCCACCCCAGCTGCTCCCCTGCACAGCCCAGGGTGAGAACTCCCAGGCTCTGAAATGAGCCAAAAGCATGCACCCGCCCCCCCCCACCCCTGCCCTCCGTCCTTGAGGGCCGAGTGCCCGCCCACTCCCAAACAAAGCAACCCCAGCCCGACCCCAGCGAGCAGGCCCGCCAAGTCCTCTGGGCCATGTGGGTGGTCCCGCTGAGCCCCTAACTCTGCCGCCACCCTGCAGGGGTCCTTCCCATCCTGGGTGCTGCATCCGCTTCACGTCTATTGCCCCCTGGACAGGAGGCACCCCTGTCTCGAGAACAAGGCCCGTGGGCACCGAGGGGCGGGCGCCACTGCCAAAGAGAGGCTGGGTTAGCAGGGTGCGGGGGTTCAGGGCTGAGGGGTCGAAGATGTCTGGGCCCCACGCCACCCATCGCAGGGACAAGGCCAGGGGCAAGGCCAGGCCGACAGGGCCCCAAGGGCAACTGCCTCATTGATTTTCAATCCTTAAGTTTCTTTTTAACTTTTCAGAAAATATTTGGTTTCCACTACAGTCCTGAAACTTAACTCTCTCTCTCTCTCTCTCTCTCTCTCTCTCTCTCTCTCTCTCTCTCTCTCTCTCTCTCTCAGCGGGCCCTCCCATCAGGAGCTGTGTGGCAGAAAGAACTCAGAGCAGATGGGGGTGCAGCAGCCTCAGCGGCCTCCTCCCCAGCCCCCAATCTCACCCTCTGGTGGCCCCTCGCCTCCCCAGTTCTGCATTCTCTCTCATGCAGTGTGAGAGGCACCCCTCCGGCATGGCCGCCCCACCCCACAGAGCCACTGCTGCTCCCGTCTCTCTCCGCTCCCACCCACACCACCCCCAAAAGGGCTCCTTGCCTCGGCACTGCCTTCTGGAACCCCCTTGTCGAGAGGGACCTCACAAGGGGGGGGGGGGAGCGCCACGTGGCACCCTTGCACCCT